TTTCACACTGACATCAAAACAAAACATAATTTGAAAATAAAAGGCATAAAATAGCCATTAAAAGTACATTTTTGAACAAAAGTATCAACTTATATTACACTGCACGCAAATACAAAGTGAAAAGAACGTCTTCCCGGAGATTGAAATACGGATCGGTAAGTCAACAAATCTAACTGTTAAATAAACAAGCTTAGCCTATGTCTGCGATTGTTTGTCTGAGTGGCTAGATGTTATCCGTTTCGGATAATAAATTTCTGAGAATACTACTGATATCTAGAATACATCTTCCGTGATATTTTTCATAAAACAGGCATCTTAGCTGCAATTTTGAATAAAAGCGTAAATTCATGACACAATATAAATTAACCCGCCTCTGTTTAATTCAAATATGCATTACCCTTAAGATTTATATACTTAGACACCTTTTCATTCTTGATTCGAATTTTTATCTTGTCTTCATCTAAATTTGTGGATTAATAACAGTTTTTAGTATACAAATTGAACATACAAAATGTAGCGTATTGATTATACGTTACAGTGGCGTAGCGGCTTTCAGTCGGGGGAGGGGGGGGGGGGGGGGCTGGTGCGATCGTGGCATAAAAAATGTTTTTGAAGATTTGTTTTGAATTTTACAAAAATTGGTGCAACTTCGTTCAAAATCGAGCTAGAAGCTTCAAATAAAAAGCATTTTAAGACTTTTTTCTTCTATCTAATGGTTCTATTTTCATTGGTTATGGAGGGGGGGGGGGTGCGATCGCACCCATCGCATCCCCCTGGCTACGCCTATGCGCTATATTAATATAACAAGGTTATCATATCATGCCAATAGTTAGATGGTTAACTAATATCAACAAAAAATAATAATACACGATAATTAAAAAAATAAACCTCGGTATTCGGGCCTAAAATCCAAGGATACGTGTACCATTACTTAAGTGTAAGCTGCAATACCATATCGAATACCTGTACCATTACTCAATAATAACCACTAGTAAGACCATAATAACAAGCTTAATAACTAGCTTATCGCAAGTTATTCCATACGATTTTGTCTTGTGAAAGAATGTTAAATAACACACGTAAAAATGGCCACCTACTACCCAAAATGTCATGAGACATTGTGCCATGCTTGTAGTATTCACATACCAAATATGAACAAAATCGCTCAAATACTTTTCAAGTTACAGCAAAAATCATAAAATGACGCGCAATGGCTGCCATGTATTTCTTCTTTATTTACATTTCTAGCTTAATCAATGTCCTATATAACTTTTTTACATTTAAAACATATTGCTATAAAGGTTTTATATGCAGTACCTAAATGACTGTAAAATCGGCACTAAAATGGCCGCCATTTTTTAATGAGTGGCCATTTTGAAAATCAGTTTTCGAGCAGAACTTCTACCCCCATTGGGTATATGTGTACAAAATATGAATTAAATCGGGTCAAAAGTATTTGAGTTATTGGCCGGATGGACAGACGGACGGACGGACGTACGGACGGATGGAGGCATTCCCTATATCCCTCCGAACTTTGTTCGTTGGGATAATAAAATATCAGAATCCTTAAACTGACTGAAGTATATGGAAAAATCAACTTAGAAGATTTTGACTTAATATGAACTGAAATAGCTATAAAAGTTAAGCAGACAAAATCTACATATTAAGAGGAACATCAAGATTGTCTATTTAGTACTGTTTACATCCATGCTATCTTACCAGGGGTAGAACTACTGGTATCTCATCATTTCTACATCTCTCACAAGTAGGTATTTTAAATACATTTACAAGTACTGTACATATACGAATACATACCATTTTCTGGCATAAAATGTGGCTCAATTTGATTGATCCTTTGGCAATATCTAATGGCAAAACAATCAGATTATATCGTCCATGTTGTCATGTCTCAAATTATACTTTGGCTTGTGATCATATCGGAAGCCTGAATCTATGAATTCAAATCTTGGGGTCACCACTGTTAAAATGATAATACACAATATTTTAGTTTAGAGCTCAAGGATATTATAGCAAAATGACCAATAAAGAGTTCATGTGTTTTAATATGCAACTTCATGCTTGAGGTCTAAATTAAAATTACATATTAAAATGGTTCAAGTCTCAACATGTGCAAGCTCCACTTTAAAGGGGCTGAAACCTCCCACCAGAGACGGGGTGAACTTGTAGTTAGAACCTCACTGACCCTGCAGGCAGGCTACTATTGCAGAGTCTGTAGAACCTCAGGTCATTCACAAACCTATGTACACTTGAGGTGAAAGATGGAAGATCCTGAAAGTATAGATAAAGTAATATGAAACTAAAATTTGTATGTTAAGTAATCTGTGATGGATCAATTTTACTATATCGACCTGAGCAATATGTGATGTCATAGTGGTGGTCAAGAATGCATTTCAGACTGGTCGAGAATTCATTTAACGACCGGCAATTTTCCCCGGGAAACTAGATATCGTTCAGTGCGTAGATTTTCTTGCTGTTTCAGTCCTGGTCGTTAACGGTGGTAATAATACTTGTAATGTCATTTCTGCGGGCAATATAGTGAAATATAATAAAGAAATGGTTTCAAAAGTTACAAATCTACATGTAGTTGGAAATCTATCAAAACAAGAAAAGTTAGGGAATCTAAGATTTTCAAGACATTATATTGTTTATATCATTTGTTATTGTTATTTAAGTGTACGGGTCCCATATTTTAGCTCATTCTTTGGATTAACTCATAGCCTTTTTAAATAACTCACTCTGTCTTTATTGAAATTTTCTCCCAAAATCCGTTTCTGACTTTCATCCAATCCATCAACCTCTCTGAGGAATTGTGGGAGGAATTCACTATAGAAACGGTCAAAGTCTACAGATGCCATACTATATATGGTAAGGCCGATCTCTTCCTGGAGAAGGTCATGTGACTTGTGTACGAGAACTTGGATAAGTACGTTTAGGTATTGTGAAAGCATCATCTCTTTGAATATAGCCTGAAAATATAAAATGATTCAACGTGGATCAATATTCATATTGCTTTCATTTTTCAGTTTCACTCACTTCATAAAATGAAATGAATTGAATTTAGAATAAAAAATTATGAGTTTTCAGGTGGTTTGTATAGTTTTATCAGAAGAGTGAATTTCTGAAAAGTTGTGTTGAAACCAAAAGGAACAACCCGAGTTATTTCAATAATATGTGAAATGAAGACCCAACAAATATTTAATACTGACGTGTATACATGTACTTGCATTTATATTATATTTTGAATAGGATGCATCGACATAAACCAATAGTGAATACAACAAAATGTTTATCATATCATCCTCAATGAAAATTAAACAATGCAACAATATACAAAAGAGGATGTCAAACCATTTGTGGAGTTACAATTATTTAATTGTTTTTGTGTTGATACGATACAATTTTATGTCATCATTAAATATCCTACTTTAGTGTGTCAACATTGTTTTGCAATGTTTAATACATTATAAACTGGAAAACAGTAACTCCACGGAGTGGCTAATCCCAATTGTGAATGGTGATATGGGTTTTACAATTCAGGCGATCTGAAATTACTTATAAGGTATTTAATAATAGTTTAATTATGACAACGCAAGAACACCTTATTAATATGATAGTAAGTATTATCGCTCACTGACATTCAAAATGGCTGCCATGACTGAGCCAACATGTCCAAAACCTAATCAGATGTAAAATGAAGTGAGTTGAACAAGATGTTAAAGTTTTAAGTGTGTGTGAAACTATATAGAGTGCGCAGGTGTCCGTACTCGGGGACTATGAATAGGCTCAAGTTTGGCTCAGATAGGTGTGGGAGGATGGTCAAAATCAGTTACACAATAATCCATATGTTTGCAAGTCTAGCTATGTAATATGAGGTTATATAATGGTTCTTTCTGTATATCGTTTTTATACTCGAGTGAGTATATGATATATTCACAAGTGAGCGTAGCGAACGAGTGAATATATTATATTCTCACGAGAGTATAAAATGCACGATATACAGAATGAACCATTATATAATCTTATTATGCCACTCTAAATTCAATTACAGTTGATTCGAACACAATCATAAAAATATCCCATAGCCAACTCAATAATGCTGATGTTGATCTCGAACCATTTATGACGTCACTTGATTCCAGGAAATCCTGAACATTTTCATGATTTTTTTATTCATTAGTTCCCAGAATGCTCTTCTACAGTGGTATACGCTGGAGTGTATACGGAGGAGTTGTATACGATAACGATATACCACTCTCCACTGTATATCATTGTTATAGACCCATGTTATACAACTGTAATTGGACTTAGAGTGGTATAATATATTGTATATTGCAAATACTTATTCAGATGTTAATCATAAGGTATATTTCATGTATTGATATAGTTTTGAGTATATTTTGGATGAATATTGAAAACGTACAACATTATTTATCAGACCAATACATATAAATTATCATGGATGATTATACACCAAGATACGTACATGATTACATACATATCTTACTGGGTAAATGTATATGTACAATACATTGTATGTACTGTATATTGGCAGACTTTGAAATGCTACATTTCAAGTAATTTTATTTAGTAACTTTTGTTGTAATTTAGGAATTAAAGATTGTTATAATTTCAAAATCTTAATATATTATTAAATACCTTCGATTGAAATATGCCAAACAAACGGACAAAGGGCGTCACCATATCCCTTCAAAAGTTTGTTTGTTGGGATAATAATCAACTTTTTCAAACACAGACAAATACAGAGCTATTTGAATTATTGAAATCTTCTTTGCGTAATTCATGTAAATTACTTAAATAAATATTACCAAGTTAAACAATGAACAAAACAATAGCATTTTCAAATAATAAAACGTCAACTCATTATGAATAAGATTATCTTTGAGGAATTTGCTATTAACTACTTAACAGCAGATACATTAAACGATTAATTACTCCACTTGCTGCAGAACGACACACATCAGGACTTTCATAATTAGCAAGATGATGGGTGCTTACACTGTACAAGCATTATATGTTCTATTTTTTGGTTATTTTGTTGGTTCTTCACTTGCGTGTAGCTGTAGAGGAAGGCATATTCCACAAAATGCTTACTGCTCTGCCGATTTTGGTAAGTTGGTCGTTTTTAACAAATTATCAAACCAGGAATCCAAGTTCTATTGAAAGAACTTTCAAGGAAATGCCAGAACTGTAATTATTGAATATAAAAAGAAATTGGACATTTCATAATTAATTCCCACTCAATACTCTGCTGCAATATAACAAAAAATACCTTATACACATACTTCACCCCTTCACCCAATATACTAGATACGAGTAGAAATAATTTTGATTTACTTCATTAAATATTCAAAATCTAGGTCGGGGAGATTCCATGCAGACCCATGTTAAAATATCACAAAAAGTGAATATATTTTCTTCTGTTGAGCAGATAATATTTTCTTTTACTGGACATATTTTCATTTGTTTAATTATCAGACACATAAGGATTATATATTTGATCCACTTAAACTGATAATATTCAAGTTTAAGGGAACTTTCTTATATACCTGCCATGTTAATTAACCCGAATCAGCCTGGTGGTGAAACTGATAACTACCTACTAGCATCTGGATAATTATACAATTAGATACATTTATTTACCCTACTTTATAAATACGAATATTTCAGGCCATTTGTCATAAATAATACCACAAGCACTCAAATGCTCAAGCAATTTATGTCTGCCTGTGTCAATAGTCAGGATGTATATCATTTTTACCATAAAGGGTAAAACTTTAAATCATGCTGAATAATTTAATCAGATCATTTTTTGTATTGTAAAGTGAGGTAGAAATTGTAGATTTGTTTTGATTTTTGATCCCTGATATCATGGCCCCTGTATTTGTCATGTAACGAAAATTCTATTGATAATGCTATAATAAGAATGCCCATGAGTGCTAAATATAAGGGTAAACTATATAATATATTTTCATCATGTTATACACTAAATAATAATTTGTAATAGACCTAAAATAGAAATGACCCTAATTTCTATTAAGATTGTGAGAAATGCTTAAAATCTAAAGTAAACACCAGACTGTACATATCATTTCAAACATGTCTAATTTTAGCAATATTGGGTAAGGTGATCAGGCATGTTAAGACAAAAGGACGTAAAATATTCACTGTTAATGTCATAGCTGATTATAAGGTAAGCCAGAAAAAACAATACATTCACTATAAAAGTTTAAAAAAATTAAATTCGACAACAAAGCAGTGATTAAAAATGAACAGTGTATGTGATTATAGTGTACAGGATGGTTCATGCTAGCAAAGTAAGTCAAATGAACATAAAATGTTAAAAGAATATTTCATGTCAGGGCCGTCAGATGGGGGGGGTGCGATGGGTGCGACCGCACCCCCCTTTGTTACCCCCCAAAATAAATTTGAAAAAAAAAATTGAAAATTTTTTTTTTTTTGAAAAATATTTTTTGTAATTTTTTTTCATTGACTCATACACTTTGAAAGTACCCAGAAAGCACCAAATAGCATCTTAAAATTGTAAAATTTTCTAGGGGTGTTGGCCACCCCTCACACCCCCCACAAAACAATGGAAAAGTTCTAAATTTATTTTAGTGTTTTGTCTCAGACACTTTTAAAGTGCCCAGACATCATCAAATAGCTCTTTGATATAGTTGGTGTTTCTGGGGGACTTGCTCCCCCTCTTGCATCTTGCACTTGCATAACCCCCCCCTCTGGCGCCCCCCTTGACCCCTCCTCTGGCGCCCCCCCCCCTCTTGACCCCCCCAAAAAAAATAAAATTTTGATTTTCTCAAATTCTTTAATTGACTCATACAATTTGAAAATGCCCAAAAAGCACCAAATAGCGTCGTAAAATTGTAAAATTTTCTAGGAGGAGTGGGCCACCCCTCACACCCCAAACAAAACAATGAAAAAGTTCTGAATTTGTTTTATGTATTGTCTCAGACACTTTTAAATTGCCCAGACATCATAAAATAGCTCCTTGATAAAGTTAATGATTCTGGAAGACTAACACTCGCCCTCTGGCATCCCCACTCCACCTCCACCTCTGGCAGCCCCCCCCCCCCCTTAACACCCCCCCCCCAAAAAAAAATTGGGATGAGATTTTTCAATTTTTTTTATTGACTCATACATTTTGAAAGTGGCCAGAAAGCACCAAATAGCATCTTAAAATTGTAAAATTTTCTTGGGAAATATGCGCTTTTAGGCACAGACACTTTTAAAGTGCCCAAACTTCTAATGGAATAGCACCTTGATATTGTAAGTTTTGATATGGGGGACAAACACTTGCTCCCCCTCTGGCACCCCTCTCCCCCCCTCTCTTTGACACCCCCAAAATTTGAAAAAATTGTGATTGTTTTTCAATGTTTTTATTGACTAATACCTTTAAAAGTGCCCAGAAGCACCAAATATCATCTTTAAATTGTAAAATTTTCTAGGAGAGTTAGCTACCCCTCACATCCCCCACAAAACAAAATAAATATTCTGAATTTCATGTATTGTCTCAGACATTTTTTAAGTGCCCAGACATCATCAAATAGCACCTTGATATGGTCAATGTTTCTGGGGGACATCCCTTGCTCCCCTACTGGCACCCCACCCAACTTCACCCTCTCATCCTCTTTGACACCCCCAAAAGAATTTGAAAAAAAATCACATTTTTGTTATTGACTCATAACGCACAGGCGTACCAGATGGTTCCAAATTCGCTCCAAATACAAGCAAATTTCAAAATTTTCCTGGAGGAGTACCCCCAGACCCCCCTGAATGCTCAGTTTTTTATTCACTCAACTCTTATTCTTGTGGTGGTGGCGTACTACTAACTTAGAAACCTACACTTTGAAAGTGCCCAGGAAGCACCAAATAGCATCTCAAAACTGTAAATTTTCTAGGGGGAGTGGACCACTCCTCATACCCCCCACAAAACAATTGGAACGTTTGGATGTTGCATTTGTTAATTCCAAACCAAAATAGGGAGTAACTCACCCCCCCCCTCTGTCTTACGCGATTTGATTTACGCGGTAAAAAAAATTGACAATCTTATATTCTCTTAAGTAAGCTAAAAACCGCACCCCCCTTGGAGAAAAGTGTCTTACGGGCCTGCATGTGATAATAAACAAATACTGGATGACCATGAGGTGGATATGCCAGAATACCTATCCGAGGAAAAAAATACTAGACGAGGCGTATATTCCTACCATTTAATTTACTGTAGATAAATAAAAGATGGTGTTAAATTGTCAAGAAATACTTTATTTTAAAGAACGGGTCTACTAAAACAGAACCCGAGCCTAGTATTTTCTTTTTGAGGATAGGTATTCTGGCATGTGGGATGGTTGGTATCTTATTGCTTCAATACTGGATAGAGCGAGATCTTGCTGCCACGCATGACAATAGACCCTGCATGCAGCTCTTAACCAATCAGATATGAGTATTTTAATGAGGTGCATAATAACTTAAAATACATCAAATGAACAATTTATATGATAATAACAAAAATAAAATCAACAGTTATGTAAAAATAATGTAGATGAATATACACTTCAACATTTTTAGAACATGTGAAATTGCAGGAATTGGGGTGGGCAGGACAGACAAAGAAAATATATACACCATCCAGCGATGGGTTGTGTGGAGTCAGTTTACAAAACAATAAGAATTACATTCTTATAGGTAATAGGAATTGAGTATGAGCATTGGTAGCAAACTATAAAAAATTATGATTTAATGACACATGTTATATTGTGTTTGGCCCGAATCTGTTCATCCATATTAAATACCACATGATACATTTACATAAACAGATCTAAAACTTGCAGCACTATGTAAGTTTCATTATGACATTTCCCAGGAAAGCTTTTGTCCCATACTGCTTGATGTCATAGTTTACTTTTATATCCCTCGGGAAATATGATCTATATTTGAATTATCTATATTTACCTCAGGTTAACCCCATATCCAAAACCTCCCATAATATAACCCTCATTTATTCAATACTTAGTAGTGTTATAGGTAAATAACATGCAGGAATATAATTGCTATCTGAAGTGAGCGGATGATATAAAAAACCTCCCATTAAATAACCTCTATTTATATAGCTAGACAAATATATTTTCCTACAAAAGTAGCTATGAAAATATATTTTCCCTCTAAGTTTATACATAGTTATAAATAAATATTGCCCTTTAAAGTTGTTTATGTAGCTATAAAAATTATTTTCTAAGAATTATATCTTGGATTAGCAAAAAAATTTCCTACAAAAGCAAAAATAATGTTTTAGGAACGTTTACTGAAAGAGACAGTGTCCCATATATAGAACATTGTGGCTATAACAGAGAGGCAAACAGGGTATACAAAGCTGTATTGAATGGTTTTAAGAAACTTTACAAAGCAAACTGCAAGTGTGAGGTATTACAATGACATTTTACCAACTAGATGTAACAAAATATGCAACATGGGAAAGAAAAGGAAATTATCATTATACAAACATACTACCAATCTGATCAAATCAGTAAACAATTAATTTTGTCAATTTTGACAAATTCAAAAACTGTTATTTTAAGCTACAGCAACTGAAGTCAATTGTTCCTTCAGGGATCATTAGGACTAAAATTTATGCTATCTGCATTTTGATTCAAAAACACCATTTTTAGATTTGTAGGTTTCGTAATAAATGTAAACCAGGGAATTGCTATTTGCCAAACTCTGGGAACACCAGATGCTATGATTATGCAGTCTGTCAGAAGGCATGCAAGGATTCTGCAGGTAAATATATTAATTTAAACAGCTCTCAATGTGAACACTTTTACTCGAATCTCCCTTCTTAGACTTATATGTAAAGAAAAGTTGTAAATGATGAACACCTAGGAATCTGAACACTTTTGACCAGTTTAAGTGGCATTCAGTTATATTAAGTATATATAGGGTAGGAAATTGATGAAATGAATATTAGTGGGGGGGGGGGAGAGAAAAATGAAACATGGGGATGTTTTTGCTAAGAATACTAGGTGTTATTGTGAACAGTAATGGGTGCATTTGAATCAATGAATTAAGGATTTAAGCCCTGGACTCAAATGCAATGTGAAATGGCCATTCCTTAAAGGTGCATCCTCCTAAGCAGGTGTCCAGAATCCGTACCTCCTTCTTCCCCCTGCTATAAGCAGTTAGCATTTTCCCGATTAAGAACTCGCAATTTGATTAGCTGTCGCAACACTGCGACAGAAATCATGTATACGTCATCGGCGCATAATAAGATCACGTGATTTAGTTTAATCGGGCGCGTCCAACTTGGTTATAGCAGGGGGTAAAAAGAAAGAAGATATTCTGGATTTTGAAGCCCTGTGATCGGAGGATGTTATACTCTAGTAGCTCATGCTGGTTGAGTATGCACTTCTATGTCCAGAGATTTTCTCTTCAGAAATCATCTATGTGAAGGTCATTGATCAATTTTGGCTTGGTAACATATTTGCCACAGAAGGCGAAATAGGTCAAATGGCCACGCCCTTTTTTACGCGAATACTCCCCCCCCATTTTTGCATCTCCGGAACCGTTGGACATAGAAGGTTGTGTGACCACTCAAAATGTCCGGAATGGCCACATTATAGGGGGTCAATAATACATATGTATTTAAAAAAGTCAATGGTCCTCAAGATATTTGCCAAAAACTGATTTTAGAATGAAAACTCCACTATTTTCTCCATGGTAAAGTATGATATTCCTGCTGGCAGATATACCCGAATGTCGAACAAATATTGGTATAAAACCCAAAGGACTAAATATGTTTGTAATGTTGCTCGTTTTGATATTGTGTACATTGGTTTGATTATATACAAAAAAGACAAACTATAAGTGAGCATTCTCTAAACATGATATGGAATGGGGGAATTGGATATATGGGAGGTACTCTCAATACACCCCAATGGGGATTTGGATTTATGGGAGGTACTCTCAATACACCCATTGGGGGATTTGGATATATGGGAGGTACTCTCAATACACCCCAATGGGGAATTGGATATATGGGAGGTACTCTCAATATACCCCAATATATGGGAGGTACTCTCAATACACCCCAATGGGGGATTTGGATATATGGGAGGTACTCTCAATACACCCCAATGGGGAATTGGATATATGGGAGGTACTCTCAATATACCCCAATATATGGGAGGTACTCTCAATACACCCCAATGGGGGATTTGGATATATGGGAGGTACTCTCAATACACCCCAATGGGGAATTGGATATATGGGAGGTACTCTCAATACACCCCAATGGGGAATTGGATATATGGGAGGTACTCTCAATATACCCCAATATATGGGAGGTACTCTCAATACACCCCAATGGGGGATTTGGATATATGGGAGGTACTCTCAATACACCCCAATGGGGATTTGGATTTATGGGAGGTACTCTCAATACACCCAATGGGGGATATGGATATATGGGAGGTACTCTCAATACACCCCAATGGGGAATTGGATATCTGGGAGGTACTCTCAATATACCCCAATATATGGGAGGTACTCTCAATACACCCCAATGGGGGATTTGGATATATGGGAGGTACTCTCAATACATCCCAATGGGGGAATTGGATATATGGGAGGTACTCTCAATACACCCTAAACATTAACATTCCTCGACTTCAGATGACACTGTAAATATTAGGATATGTAAAATATATCACTGTCAAGTTTGTATGATTACATGGTCAATGTTACCGGACAGAACAGACTAATTTATATAAAATCAGATCACATGGCATGAAAGATCAGGCATTATTATATCAATGTTGCAATAGTATGTCTGGTCAATTTTCCTGTTAATAACCACCATGAATCTTGCATCTTGGTTCAGTTGCTTGGACTTCACCTTGATATCTCTAGTGCTGTGTATAATCCCATTGCCTGAATAAATAAAATACAAATGATACTCTAAGAGCAAAGCCTAAATTCAACTGACCCCAGTATGTTATACAAGGCACGAAGGCAACTATCAATTCAATAGCTTCTTTCAATTAAATAAAGCTTCTGATAATTTAAACCTTAACCCAACAAAAGTTGAAAGTCCAACAAGTGCCAGCCTTGCTACAAGTTTTATGCCTTAGAATCTTGTGATTAGTATATACACAGGTAATTTATACTGGGCACCATACAAGTTTGAACGAGCATGTACGAGGCTCGTATTTGAACTATTATTCAAGCATGCAAAAGGATGTGGGTCAAAAGTTATGGGTTCTTACGAGCAAGTACGGGACGCATCACTAGACCCGTACAAGGTTGTACAGAGCCTATATAGGGAATGTGGCTTGTACAAGGGGCGATCCATATATTCTGATAAAAATGCTCTAATTTTGTGATTTTTTCACATATCCCTCAAATTTTTTCAGAAAATGTAGATTATGTAATTACTCATACAATGCTAAAATATTATAGCTATATCTTAGATTATCAATGAGATAAGGTTGCCATGGTAACCTGTATTAAGGATAGGCAGGTCAATTAAATTATGACATATAAATATCATAATAACTTGTTATTTTAATTATTTCAAAGCATGCGGAAATCATGCATTTTTTCTAAAAAAGTTTGGTATTGTTACTCGTTGTTTGTTGCTAAACAAATGTTTATATGTGCTCACTATAACATCACAACAAATCACAATAGCATTGTAGGACAGAATGGGCCAATTGACATTACATGTTATGAGACACACCAAAAATCAAATTGTCAGATGAGGTCAATGTGGCTGATGCAGAGTATGACATTAACGGATACATTAGGGAATACCATTAGATTTTCTTTTCTTTCAAGAACAAGTAAGAGGACACTGTCAGAGACATACATGGACTCATTAAGTGCATGGGCAAGGTGTTATATCTGTATCTGTGTATTATATATTATATATTTTAGCATCATATATGTAATTACATAATCTACATGTTCTGAAAAAATGAAAGGGATATGTGAAAAAAAATCACAAAATGAGAGCATTTTTATCAGAATATATGGATCGCTCCTTGTATAACCTTGTACAGGACCTAATGTAATTTGCCTGCAGGCCCGTAGCCCCCCCCCCAGCCAAAAAAATCTTTCAAAATCATGCAATTTTTCACCTTTCTGAGCACTCTATAAGTTATTTTGGCCATATTAGGACCAAAATTGTCACAAGTGAACCCCCCTGGGGTTTTTTTTTTCAAAAAATGAACCCCCCTTGGCAAATCCTGGCTACGGGCCTGGCCTGTGTACCAGGCATGTATACTACATGTATATAATTTTCATATTAAATATCCATGTATATTACAAATTTGTATACTTTTTAAAATAATGACTTTTATTTACAATAAAGAACTCCATGTAACATGCTTACATCTATCAAATCAAGTGCTGAATAACTATGTTAATTCAAAATATGTTATATATAATAAAGTAACTGAGGCATAAACTAGGCCACTTTGTCAGCAAAAGACCCATTTGCCACTAGTGTATTAATTATTTGATCTAACAGATCTTTTTTTTTATCTTTTCCACTAAAATATTAATTTTTCTCAGTACCCTGGAGAATTGAAATGCAAACATTATGTCAATTTTTAATTACAACATTGAAAAGGTATGATACAATTTTGATTGTATTATTTTACATCTTAGAACGCTGATTTACAGTACTAGCACCTTATACTTATGGCCAACTCAACAACCAAAAAAGTTTGTTTCCTTCGCTGATCTGACTAGATAGAGGCTGCGGATTCAATCTTAAATGATGCAGGATAGATGAAAACTGTTGTGCGTAACATGCTAAAATCAGTTTTTGGCAAATATCTTGAGAACCATTGACTTTTTTAAAAACATATGTATTATTGACCTCCTATAATAAGGCCATTCCGGACATTTTGAGTGGTCACACAATCTTCTATGTCAAACGGTTCAGGAGATGCAAAAATGGGGGGGGGAGTATTCGCGTAAAAAAGGGCGTGGCCATTTGACCTATTTCGCCTTCTGTGGCAAATATGTTACCAAGCCAAAATTGATCAATGACCTTCACATAGATGATTTCTGAAGAGAAAATCTCTGGACATAGAAGTGCATACTCAACCAGCATGAGCTACTAGAGTAAAGGTGTTGCTTTCCAAAAACACGAGATACCCCAGCACCGAGTGTTAATTTTAAGAAACAACATCCGAAAGGAGCGGTCATTCCGCAATGCATTAAGGGTTTAAATTCTTTTCACACATTGCAAAATGTTTTATACAATATCACTGAAAAGATATAAAATGATCTAAATATATATAACTTTTATTGACATATAGTATCATAACATGATTACATTAGTCAGAACTATGGTAGACTACATATCTAAACTACAAAACACCAACTAAACTAAAAAATACAAAAAATATATAAAAATATATATGGTAACAATAATAGTGTGGTGCACACACAATGCATTATGACCATGCTAAATTCTTAAATGAATGGTAAATGAATTTGCCAATATGTCTTTGCAAGGTTACATTTTTATTAGAAATGAATACATTTTCAAGTAAAGGGTCAATTTGTTACTTCTGTTTGTGTTAGTCGGTATCATGGATAATAAAACACTTACCATTTGACCTGCATAAGCATGTAGCTTGTTAATCCCTGTGATACTATTCGTAGAATTTTAGTCAAATGTGAACTTATCAGGTAATTGGTTTCATTAGTTTAAATAGAATCTAGAATGAGTGACCTTGGGTGAATTGCTGGTTATATAATAGCATGCATTTATTTGGAAAGGCGTGTTCGGATTGGCTGGAAAATGGAATTAAGCATTAGGGTGACCATTTATTCATAATTTGAAGAAATATCTAAGTGGTGATCTCCCCAGCATTAAAGCGGGTTGGTGCAGCAGCTACCTGAGATTTTGAAAACAGGCTTGCACCCACCTAAGACTTCATTTGCACTCACTTGAAAATGAGATTTCTCTCTAAATTGTGCAAATGAGAATTATGCACCTACTTGAGAAAAAATCCTGTGGAGAACACTGCTAAATAATTCCTGTTCTAGGCAGCAATTTTGAATTTTCACAAGTCAGAAAAACAATACCATGATTGTGATCTACTCTAACATTTCTTCAGTTTGAGTATAGTATAGCCATACTTTGAAGAGATTATTGCGAAATACCACATTAGGCAGCCATTTTAAATTTTACAAGGCCCTAATCATAAAAATTATACAATACAGTAACTGGGGGTCAGGGTCAAAAACATAGAATATGTGAAGTAGACAGATGTTCTGAATATACTATCCACATAACATAACAAAATGTCACCACCTACATGTAGTTGCTCACAATATTATGAATCTTTTTTGACATTGAGAAGGTCATTAAAGGTCAACATCACAAACCTATAATCAGATTTGAACTTTTGAGAACTTGTAGATGATTTTGAAAAAAAACTTGGTCAATTTGAAGCAACTTGAGAAATGACCTTTTTAACCCTTTAACCCTTTTTGACCTTTCGAAAGTCAAATCTTAAATCTTTCAATATGCTTTTGAAATATCTAAATGCATCTGCTGACAGCCAAGACCCTTATAGGATTTCCACGATTCAAACAATACCTCCCCATGTTAATATTCTTCTATATATTTTTGGTTTGGACAGTCGTGCCCCGAGCCGTTCCCCTCCCAATATCTATTTTCCCCCAAATGTGTTAAAGACATTGTGTTAGAATGACAAGGGATGACAACAATTGTGCTTCATATATTCATGGACAATACTTGTTTTTAGGAAACGTAATGTGTACATGGAATCTACCATGGCAATGGTGGAAATGTGTGGCCCAATCTAATAGATGCAGTGTGCCAGGATGCCCTATGATTGAAAATGCTGGTTGAGGATGCAAAAACCATAAGCTGTACATGAATGTGTTATCTGTCAATGAATCATTGTACAATTAAATAATTGTTGTGTTATAGTTCTGGGATCAAGGCCAAGGTCAAAATGTTATAATATTTGTAAATGAATTACTCATTAACCCTTGACCATCTAGAAGATTCCTCAAAATTGTGAGCATTTCCTAGATTTAATCATGTGACCAGAGATGTCCAATCAATGAACAGTTCTAGAATTTGTCAAATTCTAGAAATTCTAAAATAGCCATGACTATGGTTATAACATTTCAGGCAAATCGTTGATGGAAACATGCGTTTCTCAAATGTTTCAAATAATAAAGATAAGAGAACAGAACAAACCCAGTGATTGATTGTGCAACTCTCAGGTCTGAGTTACCAAACAACTTAAATATATTGAACATTTGAAATAGATTCATCGATAAAGTCAAATGAAAAATCAAGAGCAGCCAACTAAAAATCCATCACAATTTATTAAGGTCATGTGTGTACGAGAACTTGGATAAGTACGTTTAGGTATTGTGAGAGCATCATCTCTTTGAATATAGCCTGAATATATAAAATGATTCAGAATGCGTCAATATTGATATTGCTCTCATTTTTCAGTTTGAATCCCTTGATTCCTGTTAAATCTACTGAATATAAAAATAATATTGAAAATGTAATGTAATGTAAAGATTAAGTCAATTTTATTGAATTTAGAACAAATTCAGATTTTTCTATATAATATCAGATGTTTTGTATAGTCTTTTCATAAGTGTGACTTTCTGTTGTGTTGAAACCAAAAGGAACAACCCGAGTTATTAGTTATTAGTTTGAATAGTTTGTGAAATGAAGACCCTACAAATATTTATTCTGATGTCTATTATTGCATGCATTTTATATTTTGAATAGCATGCATCAACATAAACCAATAGTGAATTAATGAATACAATAAAATATTTGTCATATCATCCTCATTGAAAATGAAACAATGTAACAAAATACAAAAAGCATGTCAAACCGTAGGTGGAGTTGCAATTTTTTAATTGTTTTTCTGTTGATACAATTCAATTTTATGTCTTCATAAATATCCTACTTTAGTGCATCAACATTATTTTGCAAAATTTAATGGAAAAATATTCATTGCATTATAAACTAGAAAAACAGTAACTCCCCTAATAGTGGCTTATCCCAATTGCCCTTTTTCCATATAAATGGAAAATAGATGGCATCCTGGGTATTGGTAGGGCTAGAATACATGTGTATGTATTGCCAGAGTCACTTAATTTCTTGATTTTGGAAGTAAATCCATTTAGATCAACTTAAAACACCATTGGATTATAACTACATGATCTTATTGACATGTGGATTGTGATTTCACATTAGAATTGTGATCCTTGTACGAGTAAATTAACTTTTAAAGGTTTTTCAGCATTGTGTCAATGGGGATTTAGCCCGAACTTTTTTTAGACAACTAGAAAATCATAAGAATTTAAATAAAGGTAAATAATGGTGCAAATCAAAGCTGTTTTATACAAAATTACACATAGAATTCAAATTTGCCATCAAATAGAAAAAATGTTAGTCTTCGATGGTTAAAAATGCAGATCTCCTAAATAGATCTCATTAAAAACGAGACTTGAACAAGATTTCAAAGCTATACAGAAAAAGGACCATTGAAAATGTTTTTACAAAATTTTGTTGGATAATACTAAAAAAAATTTCAAGAATGTGAAAAATACAGATACTGTAGGTGATCTGCTGTTAAATGTTATTTGAATAACTTATAATTAATGAAAAACTTCTGCAAGTGAATTTGGGATTTTACAAGGTACAATTCTGAACAATATTTATGCTGTATTCTAAAATAATTTCGCTTTGAATATAATAAAAGCATACTTTGGAAAGCTCTAAAATAACTTTATAGGAATTAAAAATTGTTATAGTTTCAAAATTTACTCATAAATATTATATACCTTGGATTTGAATTTGACAAACAAATCGACAGAGGGCTTCACTATATATACCTTACTTTGTTCATTGGGATAATAAACAATCATATTTTTTTATTTTATTTTTTTTATTTTTTTTAATCATATTTTTGTATTTCAAACAGACAAACACAGAGCTATTTGAATTATTGAAATACTCTTTCTGTTTTGAACCAGGTAATTTATGTAAATCACCTAAATAAACATTAATCAAGTTCAACAATGAACAAAAGAATGGCATTTTCAAATAATCAAACGTCAACTCACCATGATTAACACAATTTTAGAAGCATTTAATTAGAGAAATAAGTCAAATGCTATTAACTATTTAACAGCAGATACATGAAGCGATGAATTAATCAACTAACTGCAGAACGCGCACATCAGGACTTTCATAATTAACAAGATGATGGGTGCTTACACTGTGCAAGCATTATATGTTCTATTTTTTGGTTATTTTGTTGGTTCGTCACTGGCATGTAGCTGTATGAGAATTCACCCACAAGAGGCTTACTGCTCTGCAGATTTTGGTAAGTTAAAGAATTCTTAATTTTTAATTTTTATGTTGGTTAATACAACAAATTAAACAAGGCATCAACATGACAAAATGTCACCACCTCGTTGCTCACAATAATATAAGTTCAATCTTAAGTCAGAATTGAACTTCTGAGAACTTGTAGATGATTTTGAAAAAATTGGTCAATTTGAAGCAAGATGAAAGAAAAACCTTTTTGACCATGATAATGTCACTGAAGGTCAAATACTTTTTGACCTTGAGAATGCCATTGATGGTCAAATCTTTAGTAAGATTTGAACTTTTGAGAACTTCTAGATGATTTTGAAAAAAATTGGTCAATTTGAAGCAAGTTGAAAAAATACCTTTTTGACCTTTTTTGACCTTGAAAAGGTCATTGAAGGTCAAATCTCAAATCTAAAGTCAGATTTGAACTTTTGATAACTTGTAGATGATTTTGAAAAAAAATTGGTTAGTTTGAACCAAGTTGAAAAATACCCTTTTTACCTTTTTTTACCTTGAAAATGTCATTTAAGTCAGATTTGAACTTCTGAAAACATGAAGATGATTCTGAAAAAATTGAAGTCAGTCTAAACAGTATTTGTTAAGTTATTGGAGGTTGAAAGAATTTTTTACATATGTCAATTGCCAACTGCCAACCGCCAACCACCATCGATAAAAACGGAGACCATAACAATATGTCACTACTTTTTGAAGGTGACATAAAAACATTAACTTGAAGTTAATTCTATTTTAGCAATATTGGGTAGAGTGATCAGTCATGTTGATACGGATAAAGACGACATAAATAGGGGACACATTATATTCACTGTTAAAGTTATAGCTGACTATAAAGTAAGTCATACATTTGACTACAAGAAAAATAAATTAAATTAGACAATAAAACAGTGAATCATTTTTGTATGATTCAGGTCTCCTAGATTTTGACTCATAGGGTCGTCAGTTCAGATGTTGCTGACCTCCTTCCTTCCTCCCAACCAAACCACTTTCTCCCAATGCAAATATTGGTTCTTTAGTTGCAAACCAGTTCCTCTCTCCTGAACTTATTCCAGTCATGCACTCAGTTCCCACATCGCGAAACTGGTGGTTCACAACTATATATCCAATATTCACATTGTGAGAACGTGGTTCAGGTGGAAGGAACTGACAACTGCATGAGTCGAAGTCTAGGAGGCCTGTGATTGCAAATGAACATTTTGTGTGTTAACAAAGAGAACATTGATTAATATGGCAAAGTAAGTCAAATGAACATACAATGTTAAAAAAATATTTTATGTGATAACTTTAAGTACAAAAATCAAATCAACAGTTATGTCACTTTCACATTATTTATGAACATGTGTTTATCATAATTTTGAAATTGCAGGGATTGGGGTGGGCAGGACAGACCAAGAAAATATATACAGCCCCCAATAGTGCTTTGTGTGGAGTCTATTTACAAGACAGTAACAACTACATTCTTATAGGTAAATTAACAGCCATTGGGTATGAATATAGTTGCACCTTACTTTCATATGACATCATCACACTGATTCTATATGTACATGTATATCATTGAACACATTCATGCCCATCACTTACTATTGTCGTTCATTCAATGCGCTCACACATTCATTTATAAACATGACTCCTTGTATGTACAAATGATATATCTTATGAATCAGTATTTAATATATCATTCTCTTTACTGTACTGTATAAGCGATGCTAAATGATTCAAATATCACCTGTGATCAGACTTAAAGATCAAAAGTAACAACAAGAAGTCAAATCAATATAAAACAGAATATCAACTAGAGTTATTTCAACATTGTATTGTTACATTTATAGCAATGGATAATTTAAGGTTCATTAAATTGCAATTATACAAGCGTTTATTGATTGGTTTTAGGAGGCTTTAACAAGGGAGATCCCTTTACAGGTATGTTTGTAAATAATATTTATTACATTAACATTTTCATGTTGCTGTTGGCTTTAAAAAGTGAGGAGTACAGGGTGGGGCATGAAAATAGGATACTGCATCATTCTTTGATCACATTCTAAGATCACATCGCACCTTTTATACTAAACGGTGAGCAACACCAAAAACCAGGGTTTGATTTGCTATATGTAACATGGTCATTTTTACATTTTTATATTTCTACTATTCATGGTGATCAATCCCCATTCAGGTCATTTTAACAGGTCCCTTTGCTTACTTTTGCATCAGTGTGTTAGGTTTTAATCCTGTTGTTTATGTTCTTTTGTATGTGCTTTGTATGTTCACTTTCACTTACTTTTCTTTTGTTTAAACCTGTTTTGTATGTTGTGTCATGCTGTGTTTGTTTTATGTTATGTTTTATGTTCCATATTTGGTATTATTCACTCACATCTGAGTTGGGGTGTTGCCCCAGTTTTTGTCAATAGTTGCCTAGAGGTATATGATAGATTGTGTACAGAACACTGTGTTTTCACAGGGGCTTGTCTGGAGGGTCGGGCAAGCCCTCCGATGAGTCTACTGCTTATTAAGAGTATTAAGGGGGGTCGGTTTTGATGCAACCTGAAATTTGTAGAAAATGATTGTTTATAAGTTGTTAGATATATCAAGTAAAAATATATGGAATCCTTTCAATAATCGACATGCTGATTCAAACAACACTACAGAGTAAACTTACCTAAAATGGTAGCAATCCATCCACTAGTTGCTGAGATGTGTGAAGAACATGTAAGGAAGTGATGAAATTTAATTGAAAATGCAAAACACGACAATTTTCACCCTCAAATTGTTAGCTCCAGAGTCAATTTCTTCCCAAAGACACGTCCACTGTTAAAAAATGGTAGTTCCTAGAGTTCTTTGTTTCCTTAGGTTCATTCCCGTATATTATTTTAAACGAAGGACAGCCTATAACGACTGCTATACGCAAAATAGATGCATGAAATTATGTTTCGAAACTGAAAGTTGAAAAATGGCCGAATATCCCGTGTTCTATGCGCATGCGCAAAAAAGAAAGTACTTCATTCCCACGATTCAGAACGATTCGAATTACTTTTCGGCGGTTGGATTGGTACCAAATGAAAGATTATTGCCAAGGAACGGAAAACATATTTCGAAGATGAGAGTTATTTGTTTTATCACTAAAGGAAAATATTCCCGCAATATTAGGTGCATCATGGGAAGGGACTGGTGTGAAATAATGAACGCAAGTGACATCTATCTAGAAAAATATGTGGTCATTGCGCATGCGTTCATATAATATGAACTAATCAAATTGCTGGATTGAACGCAACTGCGCATGGAACACATTTTCAGTTTCGAAACATAATTTCATGCATCTATTTTGCGTATAGCAGTCGTTATAGGCTGTCCTTCGTTAAAAATAATATACGGAAATGAACCTAAGGAAACAAAGAACTCTAGGAACTACCGATTTTTAACAGTGGACGTGTCTTGAGGAAGAAATCGACTCTGGAGCTAACAATTTGAGGGTGAAAATTGTCGTGTTTTGCATTTTCAATTAAATTTCATCACTTCCTTACATGTTCTTCACACATCTCAGCAACTAGTGGATGGATTGCTATCATTTTAGGTAAGTTTACTCTGTAGTGTTGTTTGAATCAGCATGTCGATTATTGAAAGGATTCCATATATTTTTACTTGATATATCTAACAACTTATAAACAATCATTTTCTACAAATTTCAGGTTGCATCAAAACCGACCCCCCTTAATACTCTTAATAAGCAGTAGACTCATCGGAGGGCTTGCCCGACGCCTCGAGACAAGCCCCTGTGTGTGTTTTGAAGTTGGAAATATATATTTTTTGAGACATTTTACTTAAATCTTACGTTTTATTATTTGCCACCCACGGCCTTCCATCGCCCATTTACAATGGTACTGCGGTTGGGGTAGGCAAGGATATACAGTGGGGTAAGGCAGATATATTATTAGGCAATCAAGGATATTCAATTAGTAAACAAGAAGCTGTCAAAATGGAGAAAAAGATTTCTGAAACTTTAGGAACAATGACTAACATTATGTCATCTTTCTTCGAACACTTGGATAAAATGCGAAGTGATTTGGAAAACATCAATGGATATTTATTTCGTGACACGCAATACTCTTCAATTCAAACTTGTTGGTTTTGCAAAATTCCTGGACATCATAAAGCAACATGTAAGAGATACAAGATGGCACGTCACTATTGTTCATTATGCGCCACATATGGACACCGTAACAAGGATCATTGTGAGCCAACAACGAATACTAATTGCATCAAAATTCCGAACAACATGCATCCTGACCTTAAAACGGCATCCGTGCAAACCAAGAAAATAAAGGAAACTGACAAACCGAACCACAGCAAGTATTCGCAGACACAGACGTTTGACATGGATAAATATATAACTGCTGTCAAAAACTACAAGAAAATAGAAAGCGAACTTTATGGACAAAAACATGGTAATGACATTTATCGTGAGAAAATTCGCACAATGGAGACGGATACAGCTGATCTTAAATTACAATTGAAGTCACAAAAGAAACGTATTTTATCTTTAGAAGAGGAACTCACTGCATATGCAACAAATGATCAAAAAGCTGATTTAAATCCAGATCATCTAATATCTCAACTACAGGAATCGCAGAAACTTATTACATCTCTTCAATCTCGGAACAACGAATACTCGACAATGATACGTGATATGAATGCTAAACTCGACAATCAACTTCAGAGAAATATACTGGTTGGAAAATGTGATTATGCAACAAATTCAACGGATTCAAATTTGGACCTATGGAAACTTGGACTGCATATGTTTGGAATGCCTCGTATAGCCCCAAGTAAGTGTAAAACTAAAACCACTGAGCAGCCATTCGACAACACAATATGTAGGTCTTAAGAAGATCAACATTTTATCTACAATGGAACTGCAAACATTTATTCATACTATTCTAGTATATTTTGCATTAAGAACATGTTATTTAAAGGGTTGATTCATTTGAATGAAAAACCTTTAGCTATCAGAACATTTCATGGTGTATTTTAAGCCTATAATGGTGTACTTTAAACCTAATGAGGTGTGTAATTCAAGCTGTAATAGTGTATTTCAAGCCTTTATGTGGTGTATATTAGCCAATATGGTGTTTCCTAACATTGCCTTAAATGGTGTTATTAGTAGCCTTAAATGGTGTACTCATAGCCTTACATGGTGTACTTATAGCCTTAAATGGTGTACTCATATAGCCTACATGGTGTTACAATTTGCCTTTTATGGTGTTAAACATGTATATATAAGCCTGAAATGGTTTTGTTTAAAATATTCTTTGAAATTTAAATTACCTGTCATTTAACTTAATCAACACTTCAATTATAGAGATATGTAATATTGTGCTTTATAATTTTGAAGGTAGTGGTTGTTTAGGGGAGGAATACCCTCATTTTTATACAGAGATGTTATATTTCTTTACAATTAGTAGTATTTTAACTCTCATGTTCACACTTTACATAATGTATACTTGATATTAGTGGCCGAATAAGGTTTAATGCGGAACGCATTAGGACGTGTCCGTGTGGATGTAACATGGTCATTTTTACATTTTTATATTTCTACTATTCATGGTGATCAATCCCCATTCAGGTCATTTTAACAGGTCCCTTTGCTTACTTTTGCATCAGTGTGTTAGGTTTTAATCCTGTTGTTTATGTTCTTTTGTATGTGCTTTGTATGTTCACTTTCACTTACTTTTCTTTTGTTTAAACCTGTTTTGTATGTTGTGTCATGCTGTGTTTGTTTTATGTTATGTTTTATGTTCCATATTTGGTATTATTTACTCACATCTGAGTTGGGGTGTTGCCCCAGTTTTTGTCAATAGTTGCTTAGAGGTATATGATAGATTGTGTACAGAACACTGTGTTTTGAAGTTGGAAATATATATTTTTTGAGACATTTTACTTAAATCTTACGTTTTATTATTTGCCACCCACGGCCTTCCATCGCCCATTTACATATATGATATGCCTTACCCTTTAAAAGTAATTTTCTGATAAAAGTATAGACTAGGGCATAAAAATAGGACACTGCATCATTATTCAAAATATTTAAGATCACCTTGATGAACATATGTGGCATACCAAAAGATGAGGATTAATGATGGGAAAAATAATTCCCCTTTGAAAGCAAAACACTAATTTTTAGGAACGTTTCCTGGAGAGGGTGTTCCATTCATAGGGCTATGTGGTTATAACCTAGAGGCAAGCAGGGTTCCCAAAGCTGTAATGAAAGGTTTAGAGAAACTTTACAAAGCAAACTGCAAGTGTGAGGTATTACATAATACATATTCTAACTGAAAAAATGTGACAAAATATGCAACATGAGAAAGAAAGGGAAATAATAATAATGCAAACATATTACCAATTTAATCTGATGAAATCAAGAAATAATCAATATTGACAAAGGACGATTCTCGGTTTGGAGAATAGTCTCCTGGGCTAATAATTTTTTTCATGAAAAAATTAAAAATATTACCCAAATTAAACTATGAATATTCAAAATTGGACATTTAAATCTACAAGATGTAAAAATAACAAATCAGTATGAAGCAGGGATAACGCTCAATTAGACCGATTCAATAAAATACAAGTCTCGATTTGGGGAAAGATGTTTATCAGTGTACTGCGCTAATATCTTTTTGCGAAAAATCTAGAAATATTACCCAAATTAAATTATGACTATTCAAAAGAGGACATTCAAATCTATATTATGTAAAATAATCAAATTTGTCCGAAGCAGGGATAATGCTCATTTAGATTGATGAACTTCGTTCTCCAAACCGAGAATCGTCCTTTGACAAATTCAACTTTAAGTTACAGATACTGTAGTCAATTTTTCCATTACCAGACATTTGGACTACGAATGATACATTTTGCACAAGACTTAAGAACACCATTTTTAGATTTGTAGGTTTCCTGATGACTGTAAACCAGGCAATTGCTATTTGCCAGCCTTTACCGACACCAGTTGCTATGACAACGCAGTCTGTCGGAGGGCATGCAAGGATTCTGAAGGTAAATAAAGTTTATTTGACATTTGAGAATGTAATAGTATCATAGTTTACAAGTGATCACACTGCCATCTTTTAATCTACGAGTTCTATGATCATAGCAATATATATTTTTGAAATATCTGAATGTATCTGTTATGTTGCCATCTGCTGAGCCTGGTCCTTCATAGCATTTCAACAATGCAAATAATACTTCTCTATGTTAAATATTCTTCTATATATTTCTGGTTTGGATATTCATGCCCCAAACCTTTTTTCCCCGAATGTGTTACGGACATTGTGTTAGAATGGAAAGGAGACAACACTGGCGCTACATATATTCACTGGGAATATTTGGTTTCAGGAAATACAATGTGCACATGGAATCTACCAAGGCAATGGTGGAAATGTGTGGCCCAATCTAATAGATGCAGTGTGCCAGGATGCCCAATGTTTGAAAATGATCAACTCATAGATAAACCAAAAGAAGAGTGAGGAGAAAATCACAAGCCATAACAATGTGCTATTTGTCATTGTATTCAGTATCAATAAAGTAGCTGTATAATTCAATATATAGTTGCAGTTAATTGTTTATAATATATTATATTTGGACTGAGAGTGATACTCGAATAACATAATCACTGAGACACATGTACCATAATTACGATTGTGTTATGTTGGCTGTGGGGTATACATATATCTACAACCAACTGCAATTATAAGGCTGCCACAGCATTCCCTGTCACATACACATCGGCACCCCCAGGGGGTATGAGTGCAACCACACTATTTCTGAGTTTTTTTAGATGTAGACGCACTCCCCTTCCTGGGGCTAGCTCTGCATAAATGTGCTATAGCAGTCACATAAGGATAGCCTTTGTATCCCTTAATATAGATCAAATATGACTTACTTTAATATAGACATGTAACTGCTTTCATATTTACCAGTTATACTTAAAAGGCTATCTTTTCAAAACAACTTAAGTGACTCTTGAATAAATAGAACCATGTCATTATAACCAAGTCATATACCTATAAGTCATAATTAAAAGATATGTTAGGCTTTGCCCTAACCAGAAAACAGCAACTCAACGGTGTAGCAAATCCCAACAATCAAGCCACAGGGTGAACAGAATCGCACCCTTGAACAGAATACACTTTTCGGGATGGAAAATTCAAAATGGCCACCTTAACATTTACCCAGACTGCCTAAAAACTAATCAGTTCTGAACTTTCTATAGAAACATCTCTAAAATTTTAGGATGAATCCATGAAACCTGTTAACAACCCTCAAGTGACACATTTTAAGGTATTATTTCACAGTGTTCTGTATATTTTTCAATCTGAATCTTATGTTTGTTTCAAAAAGCCCTTCATGCCCTTCAAATTATCATTGGAAAGGGCCAACTTGAGATAAGTGTTATACAGCCATGCAAACATATGTTTGTATTCCCATTACAGCTGAACTCCCCTCTTCAGCACAATTTATTATCAATATTAATTTTTAAACAATAACATGCAAATTATATGTTCATTGTGATAAGATAAGAAGACGCAATACATGCAGACATGTCAACTGGTATACACTTAAATAAACTCGATGAAGAAGAATGTGACTTAAGGTAATATAATAAAATAATTTAGATATATTATTTTCGTTGTGGAATATGGAGGAGAAATAGCGTTCTTGCATGTTTACTAATGCAAGGTGGTCCATTCTTAATAAGCTTTGACAATTCTTCTTTTTCAAATCAAAAATGAGTTAGAGGAACATTATCATGAAAGAGTAAAACGGCTTGCAAAGGTACAAATACAAGACAGAACATTTATACGTATTATCATGCTAGATTTAAATTTCTCTGGGAATGGGGTAGAGATGGCTGAATCGAGTCAGTCATATGAGAAAACAACTTATTTTTATTATTGGTCTTATATTATCATATCCTTTAATTTGAAACTATTAACAAAGTACACTATTATGCTACAGTTTTAATTTTGTAGGATCGCTGACTCAATAAGTTTATGATCAGTCACTGCACAGTTCAATATCACAAACTGACAAACCAGAGAGTTGTATATCACTACACAGAGTTGGATATCACTATACAACAGCCCAAACAATTGGATACCACTATGTGACAACCCCCAAAGATTTCAAGCTAAGAAAACTACACTGGGAAAACCATGAAGCTGAAGAAACCATTTTTTAAAAGAATTTCTGGAACTAAAATACTAGGACTACTCCTTATACAATCGGTGGTCTTGATATATATATCCTTGTTTCTGGAAACTCGTTGCTCAAATAAACAGTATTCTTCACTTAGGAATCTCAGTCAGAGATGCGTTAAAAATAATTTTTCCCAAAAAATAAATATCACCATGGAAACTGAACATAAATCAAAAAAAGACACATATTATGACATAAGTTCAGAATTCAATGAAACAAAGCGACTGCTCGTACCAAATATTGTTCATTACATATGGATGCAAAGTTCAGATACAATTGTTCCAAAAAAGCTTACATTTACTTTTCTAAATGCTTTAAGTTTCTTAAGTGTTCATAAACACTGGAAGCCTGAAACAATTTATCTCCATGGCAACGTTCTACCAACAGGAAACTGGTGGGAAACAGTGAGAAATAATGTCACAAATATTGTTCACGTTTATCATGATGAACGTCCTACCATATATGGTAATAAGGTTCGCTATAAGGAACATATGGCAGATATTCTGAGGCTGGAAATACTACAAGGTAAGCCAGGGTATCGATTTAAAGTACTCGTTTGATCAAGTACATGGTGAGCCAAAAAACGTAACCCAAACAAATGTTAATAACTCCTTCACCCAGCATGGATTCTAAATCATATTTGGCACAATTGAACCTTGATTAATGTTCTTTTATTCTATATACCTTTTTTGACCTTTCTATGACCTTAAGAAAATCAAAAACAGTCAAATTTTAAATCTTAAGTCAGATTTGAACTTCTGATAACTTGCAGTAAATGATTTCAAAAAAATTGGTCAATTTGAAACAAGCTGAAAAATACCTTTCTGACCTTTTTATATCTTGAAAAGTTCAATGAAGGTCAAATCTAAAATCTAAAGTCAAATTTGAACTTCTGATAACTTGTAGATGATTTTGAAAAATAGGTCAATTTGAAGCAAGTTGAAAAAAAAATATTTTGACCTTGAAAATGTCACTAAAGATTAAATCTTAAATAAAAAGTGAGATTTGAACTTCTGAAAACTTGTAGATGATTTTGAAAAACTGAAGTATCTTGCCAAGTGTCATAAAACAGTGTGCAACGCTTGAGTATATAAATATTGAATAAGAACAAAATCACTCTACTACTAAATGGTGGCCATTTTCAAAAATATGGCATATGTGCCTATATGGCATGTGTGGACAAAATATTTACAAATCCAGGCAAACTGTATTTGGAACTTTGTTCAATGGGATAAAAATAGCTAAAAATATTATTGACAATAATTGTGCCATTCCAGAATATGGTGGCGTGTATATTGATACAGATGTGATCGCAATTCAGAGTTACGAGCCTTTACTGAAGTATGATGTCACACTACCAAGGGACAGTGAAGACCAACTTGCAAACGGAATCATCTTTGCAAAACCACATGCTCCATTTTTGAAAATCTGGCATGAAACTTATAAAACATATAGCAAATGGAAAAAAGGTACAAATGCATGGGCGTTTCATTCGGTTCAAACTCCATATAAACTCTCAAAGATATTTCCACATTTGGTACATATAGAGGGATCATCTCTGATTGGGCCAAGGTGGTATGAACCACATAAGTTATTCAAAGGTCAATACAGATGGATGGACAATTTCAGCATACATGTGTGGAAGGGAAAATCTGTAGTACCTCCAGAACCTGGACTTATATCTAATCTACCAGATCAATCCACCCTACAAGAAGTCATGGAGTATATCTGGTATGATAGGCTTCCCAAGGAGCACAACTACACATATAATGATGTTAAAGGAAAAGACGTACCTACTGATAAGAAAATCAACATTCAACTTGTTCCATTCATCTCAAATAAGACACAAAATTTGACATACGAAAACTAGATATCTGACATGTAATATTTAAAGTTTTTGAATAAGAAAAATAAAAAGATATTTTGAAAAACATGACAATGTGCTCACAAAAAAAACTACCGAGTTTTTTTATACAGTTGAAAAAGGATCCAGACAGGATCCGAAACGTCCTGTTTAGTAAAATAAAGGTTATGAAAAGAAGGAAAAATATTTTTGTGATTTAATAATCCAACCTGAAGAACATGTTTAAGAAGATGACAATGTGCTGTTAAAAAACTTACTGGCAAATATAAATATTGCCATTTTTGCCATCATGTACAACATTATACACTTTTGGTATCAACCTGCTTCTGTCTTAACTCCTGGCCATCTGCAATTGGGTAAACTTGCAAAATTGTCTTCCCCTGGTGTTTACTGATGAGTAAACTTAGTGACCCAAAACATAATATTGAGAAAGAGAGATCCTTGACTCCATGAATGCAGCGAAATGGCCCTAATTGCTAAGAGTTAAGGTGGTTCATATGTTGGCTCATTTATGTTTACTCACTTTGATCTGCCTATCTTTAATGCTAGTATATCTAACATTTTTTCACACAAATTGGAAATTAGTGCTATACTCACTTTATGGTAGAGTTTCCACTTGGTATTCAGTTTCTCTAAAGTTTCTAGGTTCTGCTTAAATACGCCAATGTCTGGTTGTAGGAAGGATTGGCCGAATGACTGAAACAAGCAAGTGACAAATCATAAGAGAGATCATTAAGATCAGGAATCTAAAATCATTTGTAATGGTCAAAGAGCTGCTAGAATGTGAATAAGCACATAAGGATGCAAAGGTCCTTTTATTTATAACAGCATCATAGCCTTATATGATTTGGTTACTAGTCTAAATGTAGATAATAGGGACGTTTCAAAGAAAGTCTACATGAAAGGTGTAAAGGTCCACTATTGACTAATTTCACCCCACTGTCCATTATTTGCCCAATTAAGTATGAAGATGTGAAGAAAGTTGTAATAAGGTCTTCGTTTAAACCAACTGACAATTGGAGGGTCATACTATGACTTGTTTACATTCAAGTTCTCCTAAATGCATGAACTTAACCTCTCTAATCTTTGTCTATGTATGGTATATGGCTGAACAAAAATGAGTCTTTAATTGAACTTTACCTGCATGATGGCAACAAACTGTTCCTGATGTTGCATTTCTTCAGTCTTTGAATGCAGGGCTGTTAACACTGTGCCTTTGAAGAAGTAGCGCCAGTTGTGGAACAGAATATTGAACAGAAGCTCAAACAATGTTGGTTTAATATCTGGGGAAGGTCTCTGGAACATAATGTTTTAGGAGTAAGTCAGGGATATACTATATAGCTTGTATCAAATCAAATGTCAAGAACAATATATTATTTGTAAGATCACATGTAATAAATAAAGAAATCATGTTAAATCTACATTCTAAGATACTTAACAATGGTTTAACACCTAACAAACCTAAATGAAGTATTCTTGAACTGAGCTCATGCAAATACTGAACTCAACAAAAGAACCAATCAATATTTGGTTTCACTTGTGTATCCTTATACTACATGGTATTACCAATATAATTGCTCACACATGATGGACACCTGGGTGATGTTGAAGGGACAAGTGCTCACCTCTGCTATGACTGGATATATCTGGTCCATACATATAGAGATAATACTGGAAAGGAAGCGTTTGAAGTTTGAGCCAGGTTCACCAACGATCACCTGCAGAATACTCAGGAATCTATAAATGAAATTAATCAACACTAAATGAGTGTATAATGTAAAATAAATATACAGTGTACAGTATAGTCACTGTCCCACAGCTGGATGACTCTAAACTGTAGTTAGTATCATTCAAGATGGTGGCCAGAATTCATTCGTATTTGATAAACCAATGATTTCAGCTAAACTAAGTTGAATCTGGGTTCCAAATGTTTCGCCATGCAAACTAATAACGTAACAATTGTAAACAGCCAGGAAAATATGGTCAGACCCCCGCATTAAAAGGGAATTTTAAAGAAAACAGCTTCACTTAGAATGACTCTAACTGAAGTTGATGATACAACTCAAACATGATATTCACTATTGATGACACTAACTCACATGACCGACCATGTATGTATTCCTCCCATAGAGTTAGTGTCATCCACCGTTTCAGTTAGGGTCATTCCTACGTCATCATCAAGTCATTCTAAGTGAGTGTTTTCTTTTCATAAGCTTCATTAGTTTGCATGACAAAATATTTGGAATCCAGATTAAACTTGGTTTAGCTGAAATCGGAAGTTTATGGAAAACGAAAAAATGTTGGCCACCATCTTGAATGATACTAACTGCAGTTAAGAGTCATCCAGCTGTGGAACAGTGATAGTGAACATTCATGAACTTTTATGGTAGTTATTCATGGTAACGCCATCTTTTAATCTCTGCAAACAATACATACATAGCAACATTTTTAGGATAAAGTAAAAGAAGTATTTTATAAAATACACTGTACAGTGCATGACTTACTTCTCAACAATCTTGTGTCCTGTGTTACTCTCGTGGAGAATTGTATCTGCTAACTGCTGCCTAAAACAAAGATAGTGTTAAGAGTAGTACAAAATGTACAGGGTGAAACTTGCATAATATGCAAGGTTGGGGATATATAATGTACAGGAACTGGGTGGAACACTGGTTTAGAGACAGTTAGCTTTGATACAGGCCAGCTGATTGTACATGAAGTTATCAGAAAATACATAACAATTAATTGGTTGATAATTCAGTTTAAACTATTAGATCCTATAACATTATGACAATACAGCCTGGGACCATTTGGAAATCAATTAAGGCCTACATACATTTCCAAGCATGAGCAATATCTCATAAATGTCACAAAAATATCGCACTATTTATTCTATGTTATTAATTAAAATGACATACATGTGTAATTTCTACTCTTAACAGTTTATCTTATTTTGATTCCAATGAGTAAACATTTCTCCTTCAAAGGATAACTGATCAGTACAACTACCTGGTGAACATATTCATGAATGTCTGTATAGTTTGTTCGGTGAATGGCACTCCCATTTGAACTCGCAAACTCTGGAAGAGGGCAAGGAAGAAAGCCAGCATGCTGTCAATGGCCTCTGAAATTAATAACTAAATTCATCATTTTATTGTTAATGTGAATCACTTGCCACTTTTCATTTGATTCACTTCTGTTATTTATCAATTTCTGATATGCATTGTTGACACATAATGGAAATACAATTTTACATATCATGTGACCGGCATAAGACTGCAAATTGACAACATCACCAATATCCACAGAGACTATCCAGGCCCCACTAACATCTCGAGCAATGAGCTCATGTTAGAAGTGGGGCCTTGAGAGATTTGATAGAATTGAAATATAAAATTTTCTCTGAAACTTTAGTTAGTGAAACTCAGTACAACTTTATTTCATAGTACAATGCTATTTCAATTGCAGGACAACGACATTTTTCAACTGCAAATATTTTTTATCAAATCTCTAAAGGCACTGCTTCTAAAATGAGTTAATGAGCTCGCAATGTCAGTGGGAACTTGCTCGCGATACACCGTGGCTGGATAGTCACAATAAATAACTAAGTTATGTCAGAATGCCAATACTGTACCAATTATATTAGCAAAAAATTGTCACCTGGGTGATGTATATAAATTGGGAACATAGTGAGTGTAGTCTGTACAAGGTCTTGCAATGATTGGTAGCAGATCTTCTTGCTATTGCTGACTCCATCTTCTGATATGGAGTTGATGATGTCAGTCAATACTTCCAATGTTTTCTGAACACAAGGAACAGCTGGGGAAAAACACAATAAATCATTCATTTAGCAAAAAAATTGATCACAATTCCAGAATTGTAATATAAAGATATCTTTAAATAATAGTAGCTACTGTACTACAGTGTACTTTCAAAAATCCAATTTTACACAATATGTGGTAATACAACATTAGAAAGGGCGTTAGCTTTATCAATGTCACCAAATGGTTGCAATAACAAAAGTGGTACACCTATTACAGATGCTGCATGCTGACACTAATGCAGGATACAAATTTGGAGGCTATAAAAATTAAAGTTCATTCACTGCATATAGCTTATGCAACATTTGTCCAATCTCAAGCCAGTTTGTTAGCTAAATTCCTACCCTCAGTTTGAAGAGTTTTACTATTGGCCAATGAATTAGTGTCTTTCAACTGCCTGTAGGCTGAAGTTAATTGTTTGATAAAGCTGCTGTGATTGGCTGATCTATCTGGCCAGTTCTGACCTGCCTCTGACATGTTAGGCCATGGTAGGAGTAGGTAATTAGACAGAGATCTATAGACTAGAAGCTGCACCTGAAAGAACATCAAAATAATCAGGTCAGTCATCTTTGATTGAAACAAGTGGCTGATGGACCCAATTAAAACCCACATTACTCCTGGATGGATATGGATATATTTGAAATACCTGAACAAATTTGGACCAATTTTGAGCAGAAATGTGGAAATGAGACTGAGAATGTTGCAGTACCCATTTGAGAAAAAAAAAGCTAGACAGAATACTGCTGGCTTTTTAATCAAACAAATTAGTCTGAATTTCATTTTTATGTAAATGTAAAATGTACATGACATTAATGTAATTGATTGTAGGATACGACTACTTTCAAAGAATGTTTCATCAATTTGCTTTTACTCAAAATATGAAAACAAAAAAATATACAGTTTATACAGTGTACATGAGAAAATGCCACTTGGTAGCTGTACTCACCTCTTGAGACATTGGTTCACACAAACCCTGGCTCACAGAAGTGTACAAATACTGTACTCACCTCTTGAGACATTGGTTCACAAAGACCCTGGCTCACTGAAGTGTACAAATGCTGGATAGTTGGCAGTGTCAACAAAAATGGCGGTCGTATAGTGGTCATCACAGAAAGAAGTAAATGAGAAGCTGATTGCACGATTTTATCTGGAATCTAAAATGTCAACCATGTACATCAAACATAATTGTCAAAATCATAAGTATGGTATTAATTGCTTCTAAACTAATAATATGCACGCTCCTTTGTGATAGAAAGCAAAGGACTAGTTTGTCATCAGCTACTTGATTCTTACAAGAAAAAAAATTTATTTATATGATAGACACACACTGATAATTTGTGGAAATCCTCATTTGTAAATGACAGTACTTTCACCTACTTGTTTACTGATGAGAGGTACCGTACAGTCAACAATGGCACTGACAAGGCTCTGGAACTTCACTTTAGCAGGCTCTGGGCCAGATTCCACACCAAACTGGGCTAACCAATGGGAATAAGCCTTCAGGGCTGCTAAAGCTTGGGCATGTCTGCAAGCATGTTTAACAACCAGAATAAAATAATTCCAAAGTTTGGGGTCAGATCTAAAAATATCACTATCTCTGTACTTATTACTAGCATGAGAGTGGGATTTATACATTAGATTAATGCTTATATTATTCAATCTACAATTTTAATGTCTCCAGTACAGACTAAGGCGATCAGGTAAATTTTGGGGTGAAGCTGATGGCCTAACTGTTAAATTTAATAATAAAAAACATTATGCATTCATGGATAGAAATGCTAACTTACACTTCAATGAAGTCAGCTTGTAGAACACTTTGAGCAGATGAATGGATCTCAAATAACTTTAGCTTGCTGCCATAGGCACATACATGTATTAACCTGCAATTGGTATACTGTACAGTTTTTCAGTTTTTATTTTCAATTTTAATTTAAACATTCATTTCAAGAAAAGTTATAAAATGTAAAACCTGTATCACTACAGTACAATATAGTTCTCAACCTGAAATATCCTCACAAAAACGAACAAAATTCAAGATATAACAAATTCTTTCCTCTCTTAAAACATGTTTTCAACCTTTCATAGTCTAAACCAAGGGCAGATGTGAAAAGAAAAGGAGTATCACAAAAAGCTTTCTTCTAACCTTACCTTTCTACAAGTGTTTGTGCATCAGTAAACCTTTCAGTGAACAATTCCCCTATAAAGTGTTCAGCTAGCCGTCCTAGGGATTGCAAGAAAGATGACAGATCACGAAGACTACAGTGCAATCTGCGGCATTCATTCTCTGCTGCTATAGTGAGGCGTCTTGTAGTTCCATTGTCTATGTACTGCTCAAGTCCTAAGTAAACTTGTAGATTCTCTTGGAATGGTTCAAACTAAAATAAAAGAAAGTTAGTTTTATGGACAGTCTCGCAAAAATGCTCAAACATTGGACTTAAAATCTATGCTCAAAGAATTCACCTGCGCTTTATTTGCTGTTTTTAGCAATGTTCAAGACTGATATATTTCAGATAAGTACAAAAAATCAGCATGATACAAAAAAACAGAGAAGCAATTGTAGATTTTATAATGATTCAAGCAAAAAAAGATTGTTCCAACTTGGTGTGTGTTACTTAGCTTAAACACTTATGATAGTTGAATACTGAAATCTCACATTTTGTTAAATTTTATGAATGTAATATACATGTTCAACAAAATTAGGTAATTACAATACATGTGCATGCTTTGAATAAAGGAACTTCACCGCAATTGATCAAAGCCTTACTACATACCAGAATAGTGAATGTAGGGGCTGGCATGAGTTCTGATATCCTGGCTATCACTTCAAGACAATGTCTAAGAAACTGCTGCCACTCTGTTTGAGACTAGAAATATAAAGGCTGAGGTTTAATGTTTCTAATGCAAAGGCTTTAGGAAATATCAAAATATTTCAACAAAAACAAAAATGAGCATTAATACTCTATTTTCAGAAAACAGAACTGTTTCTGTATTAATATAAGACATTTTATATTTTCATCAACAATTACATTTTTACTGTAATCATATATGTAGTTCATGAATGAATACATTTCATTAACCAAGGGAATCGAAATATCTTACATCATCATCTAATGTTTCATCGTCAAGTTCCTCAAGCTGTGATTGGTTGTAGCGAAATTGGAACCTCTGCATAATTTGTGACGCAAGAGACAAAAGAGCTTCCTTATACCTGGAAAACAGGAAATAATTTAAAGTTGACTTTAAGTGAAATTTCAAAATGTTGTAGATAACATTCAACTACCAGTAAGATGATTTACTTTCTAGGTTAACAAACTGATTTCCAATTAATCATGAACATTTCTGCTCTCAATCCATAATTTATTTCATCTTTTTCATTGTTTCATTTCCATTGTTATAGACCTCTGAAGAAGGTGTGTGTTGCATAATCCCCTTAGACAGTCCCACACTGTTGGTGGATCATACTACTATTCTCCACATTCATGCTCTTAAGTTAGAGACTGTATAATGCATTCATCAAGAACTATTCTACAACATACAACCCACTCTTCAGTCTTTAGTCTTAACTGAGCAATGACAGGTGTATAAATGCTTTCTTACATTGAGATAATAGTTTCCAGTTCTGCATCACGTGTTGCCAGTTTTGTTTGTAAATAGTCCAGGAATACAGTCCAAATATCCAAGCAAGCGTAAAATCCTTCCTGTGTTGGCTGCTTAAATGTATATTTGAAAAAGAGACTGAGAAACTCAATCACAGGGAAATGACTGTTAGATTCAAATCTCCGTAAGTGTATACTGACGAACAGACGGAGGAATTCTGTGAACTTTTCAACGTAACTGAAAATAGAAACATCCTATGATTTAAGTAAAATATCATGAGAAAGTAGCAACATAGAAAACATTTTTTCATGGCAAGTCTAATTTTCATTAATACAGAAAGCTATTTGAAAGTTCTTGACATCTAATCCACTGCAACCTTTCACATGGTACATAACTACAAACAGTTTTTCAGATAGAGAAGGTAGTAATGTGACAAAATGTAACCACCTGACTGCAGTATAGCATTTGTTACATCGACCAACCCTGACACCAAATAAAGAGGTGACTATATAAAGAATGTCACCACTTCTTTATGAACACTAAAAATATCAGATATCAATATCCTTACTCTTCCTCTAAATCAGCCAGTCTGTTCCCAGTGGAGTTCATACTAGTTTCTTTAGTAAGCCGTTGCAATAAATTAAAAGTCTGGTGAAACATTTGTAGTAAAAAATCCTCAAATTCTTGCGGCACGCAATTCTTAGATAACAGCTCATTAACGCAGTTCATTGCAAGAACCCCCAGGGATTGTTCCATTGTACTGAAACTGCTATTGGGATTTGAGGGGGAAGTCCTTGCTGAGTGTTCACAACCAAATTCAGCGAAATGGAATATTGTTGATAGTAAAGATGGCGTGATCATAGATGAGAGTGGGATCCAACTGAAGAGATGTGCCAGGCAGCTGAGGGAGAGAACGCTCAGCTGGTGGGAGGTTTCATCAAGGGGTGGAATATGCTCAACTTTGTCCTTCCCAGAAGGAGATTTAAACATATTGCTTAGTATGCTACCTGCAAGTAGAGAAACAAATCATAAATGTAGTTGGCCAAGAGAGAGTTCTTAGTTATTAATGTAGCATAAGAAAGATTTCTTAGTTGTGTCGCTATGAAAACTTTCTTAGTAGTTGAATTGGCTAAAAAAAATTCTTAGTTGTTCAGTTAGCTATAACAAAGATTCCTAGTTGTTGAGTAGCTTCAGAAATATTTATGATAACTGATTTAGCAAATTCTTTTATATATATTCCTCTTGCTTCAAACACAATTGGACATTTGCCTTTAGATGTGATACCTGCATGTGGTGAAGTACTGAACAGGGAGACCAGGTTCTTGTCCCCTCTTTCTGCTGACTGGCCATGTGTGGGGGAAGGTGGAGGGGTGGCAGTGACAAGGTGACGATGCCTCTCCAAGATGGCTTCAAGGACACCTGCATAATTCAGATACTACATTGTAGATAGATACAAGGTGTCCAATAAGTAAGATAATTATGCCATAAAAGGTATTTGATAAGGAAACAATATTTACGATATATTTATGTTTTATTTATTACTAGACTATCTTACACATGTAGTGTTGTTTCTGAAATGCTACCTAAAAGGGGAAAAAATTCTCAAAAATCCAGAATTCGTACCATCAATAGACATTCATTGATACGCTGTGTTTGACTGTTATCCTAATATTAGACATACATGTATATTCATTGTATGTTGCATGCAAATCAAATGATTTGTGATTACAATATAACAAAGTGTTTCTTTGTTCTTTCCCTCCCCAATATGTTTTACTTCCCCACTTGTTTGAAAGAGAATAAGGGGGGATGGGATCATAAGGATTCGTAAAGGCTAATTACCATTCAACAATCCCAGTACAGTAGGGATCTGTGCTAGTAACAACCTGCGAAGTTCCTCCTTGCGTGCAATGCTCAAGTCCTCTCTGGGGCAGGCCAGTTCTTCTGAGGCTGTCTGCAGGAGGATAATACCCAATGCTGCAGTTTCCTGTTCTTGTATTAACTAAAGCAATAAACATCCACATATAGAATTTCTTGTTTTTACCCAGTTATGTATAATAGTTGCATATAATAAAAGAAAATGGAGGTTTAAATACAGGTTTTATCCAGTGGGAAATATGTATGTCTGAGATACAAATATAGGCATGTGCTCTATCCAAAACCAAATGTACATAACAGATTATCCCAATACTAGGTAAATTCTACCTTCTAATAAGTTCCAAATTTTAATAAAAAATCTATTGAACAAAACTTTTGCTTTTCATGTATTGGGTTGGATGTGTTTGTATGTTTTGGACCTCCGTAACAGGATTCATTTTATAATCTCACATGAATATTGAACCTTGATCCGAAACCGAACCTACAGAACACATGTATCCCATACCTACTAATGTTGTTGGTATAATCATGCATTCTATGATTCCAGTATTTTCAAAAATGGGTTTTTGTACATTAATTTCAATTTTTTAAAATAGTAAAGAATTTTTGGACTTCTGGCATGGACAGCGGGATAGATACAAAAATATCCATCCCCCATAGATATACTACATATTTTGAAATTCTAAATATCTAAATATAGTAATGATCAGCAACGAGCCTTCGTACCTGCAAAATATTACTGAAGAAATCTGGGTAGAAATGTGGCCAATCTATCCTCCCAATGTTAACGACGAGGAGCACAAGTTTGTTGCGTACAAATGTTGGCACCTTGTTATGTTGAGACAGGAGGAACTGGTTCAACGTAGCTCTCATCTCATTCTTGTGTTCAGCTGCCTGGCCAATCCATTGTTTGTTTATTAAATTCTGAAAAATACATAATTGTAAGTTTAAGATCAATAAGGGTCAAAATAACATCATCAAGGTACACATACAGTATTGTAGAAAATGGAAACTCATCTAAGTTTATGTCACTTATTTTGTATTCGATAGTATTACCAATATTGCCTGAAGGTTTCTAACATACCTATACATGACCAATGAACATATGTGACAATCTGACCATGAATTTTCAAGTTATAAATGTGCACAAAAGTGACATACATCTCATAATTCATTGCTAAGGAAGCACAAATTGTACATCTTAACATTTGTGTAACAGACAGGCATGCGTTCTTTGCTATATAAATTTTTAAAGTAAGCAGCTAGCCTTTAACTTCTTAAGGATACCCCATTACTACTTTAAGTAATGCTATAAAAATGTTACATAACAGTAAGGATATTCATTTCCATAGAGATGGATGATGCCAAAAATCTGTTAAACTTTATCATATCATATCACATGGTGGTGACACTAAATTTTCAAGTCATTTGAGCATTATTCCTAAATTAATGCAAATGAATTAATAATTCTGAGATAAAATGCCAACCATGGACATTGACTACAAGACATATAAAAGTTGAACAACAATATGCTATCACTTCTTCCTATACTGAGAATGGGGAATGGGTCACAGCATGGGCAGATTACATGAAGGTTAGCTTGAATAAATTATTTAAAAGTGGTAACAATATATTAATAATATATTCCACATCATATTCAACTTAAATGTTATACAGTTTAACCATATAGCTATCTAGAACCCCATTGGTGTTTGTTGTTTGTACGTTAAACACAAAAGGCTACAACTTATCACAGAAAGTGATTCCAGCACATATTTATCTAAACGTAAAGCAAAACAATAACACAAGAGTAATATAATATCACAACTTTTTATTCTTTTTATAATGTTTATATACTTTAAATCTATGGTTTTTTTCAATTATTTTAATTCATCTGCATGCCATTTTCATTCTTATCATTCTCAGAGTTTCCATCAAAATTTCCACAATCTCTTCGGGTCATGCCTTGCCAATATCTGTTCAGAACTATTTTTAAGCCTTCGTTGGCCATTGGGCTTATCTTCAGACCATATTGTGGGAAGAAAATGTGAGTATCACCTTCCTCTTGATAAATGTCCATCCTATCCAAATAAAGCACACTCTCGATACTATAGTTCCCTGGAACAGTCAGAGGTTTGCCATTCCCCTAAAAGATTACCAGATTAAAGATAACCAGATTATAATCAACCATGATAGCCATTCTTTGAAAAAATTGAATCAACGTATAAAACTATTCACTCACTTCTACAATGTTACCCATGAAAACCACTTCACATGTACATGAATTTTCAATATTAGAATGGACATTAAAGAGAGTCAAGACATGGCCTTTCACACTTCTCAAAGACTTCAACCAGCCACTCCTAAGGCTCAATCCAATCAATGGCTTGCCATGTGGTCCCAAGAGTTCAAATTCAAAAGATTTGTCTTGGTTAAATCCTTTATTTGCTTTGGTTGTCTTCGCTCCATCAAATGTTTCTACTGAATAGATCTGGGCAGTGACATAATGTGGATTTTCTTTGCGTCCAATAAGTACACATTCATCATTGCCTTAAATGAAAATAATATGTACACAAAGTAGAGCATCATAAAAAATGATCATGTTTTATAATTGCTGTTTAAATACTGACTTATTAATTGATATGATTTTTATGAGTTAGTTTTACATGTTTTACAGAAAGTAAAATTTTAACATGACATATTTTAAGCTATCACCTTGAATGGAATTCTCACAATTTTCTCCAGACTTAACAGGAGGGCAGAAGTCATTTGCACAAAACACATCTGTTTCAATACATTTATCACAACCATATTTCTTGCCATACTCGGCCAAATATTGGTGGGTAAGTTGTATAGATTCAATAAGTAAATGTTCATAAGTATCAAATAAATTGAGTATCTTCTTAAACCCATTGACAAATGCCTTCACTGTTTTCTTGATCTTTTTAAGATTCTTCACCATCAGTTTGCCTGTTGTTTCTTGCAATTGATGCTTCAGTTCTCTTTGAACAGCTTTATAATTTCTAGAGATAGATTTGGATACTTTATTACGCCCCACAAGTGTAGTTACTTGTTTATAATACCCATAGAATTGTCCAAAATTTGATTTCTTGACCATATCCAGAATAAGCTTTTGCAGATATTTATATTTATTCATTCCAGGTGGCCAATATAGAGAGCAAACCATGTAGCCAGATTCAAGACATTCTGCTTTCTTGCTTTCAGAATCATATGGTAGCATGTACCAATGGGTAGTCTGATAACACTTGTAGGCTACACACTTAGCAAGTACACGATTGTATGCTTGTGCATGCATTCTTGCGACATTCTCTATATCATTTAAGGCATTGACTTATTTGGTGAGTTTTGAAGATTCACTTGGATCCATGTCTGTAAATTCAGGATACCCTATTCTGAGATTAGTTTCATTAAGCCAAGTAAATGTGGTCTGCTTAATTCTTGTGTTATCATATTTAGGAAACATCCAAACAGGGTTATAGAGATGTTGTAGTATTGTATCAAAAGGATCACATATAGATGTCACCTTAGTCTGAGTTAAGCCAACATTCACTGTAACCAACACCCACACTAAGCTTAATGCAAACTGCATTTCTCCACCTAAACAATTCAGAAGATTATGATACAAAAGTGGCAAAAATGGTTTTCAAAATTACAAAAATGTGTATTGGAAGTGTTTCACTTGTAGAAGTGTAAATTGTACTCACCCCAAACAAAAATTCTGAATTGAATTTAAATGTTCCAGTTTTACTTTCCAAGAAACTCTAATGATCGTCTATTTATCAATTGACAAATGTCAAATATTTGACTTTGAGTTTAATGATATTTAGAAACACCATAAAACCAGTCATTAATATGTATATGTAGTCATGCCAATCCACTGGCAAATGTCAGATACATGCAACCGCAATATGGAAAAATGCACATTCTTTTCAAATAGAACTGATCATGGTCTACAATACAATGACACTCATTAACATTCACATACATGTATGTTGTGGTTTACATGGCAAATAACCACAATCATTAACATTTGTGCACATTGTATATTGTGGTCCACTTTGACATATAACCACAATCATTAACATTTATACAGATGTATATCCTGGTCTATACTGCATATAAAAACAATCATTAACATTTATACATATGTATATTGTGGTCTACACTGCACATAAAAACAACAATTAATATTAATACATACACATGATATTAAGTATGCCATTAAGTATGGTCTACATGGCATATTACCACAATCATTAACATTCAATATGAGCATATACAATGAAATATTAAAACAATCACATGTGGTCTACTACATTTATTTTTATGAAGACCTGATGTTTGTAAATTGAACATGAAATGTCAATAAATGCAAGGGTACAACAAGTTGTAATAAAATATATACAGAAATATATTAATCTACTATTATTAGACAAGTGACCCAATAGTGAGACAAATTTGACTTGAGAGACTACAGTATTTTGTTACTTCAGTTTAGAAACTTATTAAGGAAGGGAGATTTTGGCATTGGCCATCTTATTTCCAGCTAGGAAATGTCTTTACTCAGTTTTCTAACTTCTCTGTAGTTATTAATGCAGCTATATAACATACTAAAATAGATAATTATTCAGAGAATCTGTTTTAGACATTTTAATTTGTAATTGATGCTTTTAGGATACTAATGGAAAATGAAATCATGATAGAGGGAATTGGGGCTGTGACCACAATCGAAGAATTAACATATACAATAAGCATTTGGCAGAAATGAAGATTTAATCCATTTTCATAAAGTCATAATCATACAAGTCTGTCAAAGTATCATTCTGATTATAATCAAACCATGAATCATCTTCCACAATTTCATTCTCATTTGATATATTTCCATCAAAGTTTCCACAAATGCCTCGCAGCGTCTTTTGCCAATAGGTGTTCAGGCTGATACTACTACGGCCATCAGGGTGCAGCATGATCTATTTTCAAAAGAAAAAACACATGATTTAATTAAAATAAGGCAAAAGCAAAAATCTACAGTATTTGTTTAACTTAAACTGAATAATTTTTATTAGTTTTCAAATATGATTCCAATATATGACTATCAAGTAGAAAGTAGGTTTACTGATTGACTAGATACTGTGTTTATCAAGCCTAATAGTTCTTTCTACTATGTACCTTTAATCCAAAGGACTCCACATACATTATAGTACTGTTGCCTTCAATGTAAAACTGTACTTTTTCCAGAAAGGGGACGCTTTTTATAGATTGAGTAAATGGAAGTTTTTTTCTTTTTTTGTCCACCTAATTGTAAAGAAAGTTAAAAATTATCAGGTTTTTATTTTCAATTTCTAATCATAAATGTTGTGGATTCTATACATACAATAAAGATATCTTAATTAATTAATTAAACATTACCCTTAAATTCTAAGGTGTTATTCTATATTCAATTAATACAGTAATTAATTCTTCATTTATTTATTTAATACAATTTAGGATGCCAATATATATTGAAAAATGTTATAAAGGTACTTACAATTACTTTGTGTGTGTTATACATTTCAATGGTGTATTGATAAAAGACACCAAACTTTCTCTGTGCTTCATTGTCATACCCAAAATCAGACTTGTCAATAATCATATCTAAATAAACAAGAATTTTTCCTGGAGCGACATCAACACTTATTAAGTCTCTATGGTAGGGCCCCTCAATGAAAACTGAACTGAATTTTGTTTGTGTTTGTAGACCATCAAATGTTCTTACATCTCGTCCATCATCAGTATGTTCAATCAAGCACTCTCTTGTATCTGAAATTGATATAATAAATATCAAATTAGTTTTCTGAAGACAAATAGCGAGAAAGGGCAAATTAGACCTTGTTTCTTTGTACTTGTATGATAGATCATTGATGTTGAGTGTTTGTTTTCCTTTAAGTTGTTGTCATGAATGCTTCTTTTCATAATGCCATTAAGAGTTAACTAAATGTTTAAGGTCCCAATGAATGGCCAAATCTTGATAACAAAGTATAAAAAAACAAAAACTTGAAGCTGAAATACATGTACTTTTCAATCTGGGGACTTCTTTCACTGTACCATGATCTAAGATCTTAAGCTTAAAGGCCCTATTTTCTACAACAGCAGTAATTGTAACACTTGGATAATAAGATGAGTGCTTTTCTCTTAATTGTTATGCAAATGCAAAGCAAAATATCTGAAATGTCATCTGGTGACCACTATGAAATCCTCCAAAATAAAAAGAATAGAAATAAAAACTAAAACTGATAATATTTTAGCATACCTGTTATAGTATTATTGCATCCTGGGCCTCTTGTTACTGGTGGACAGAAGTCATTCATACAGTAGACATCTAAGATATTGCAGTGTTTGCATTTGTGAAGGGAACCATATGCGTTCATATAGTTCAGCGCCCCCTTTATTGTATGCATGACTGCATCATCATATTCAATGTATAATTTTATTGTTTGCAAAACATTATCCTTGAACGAACTACAAATTCCATAAACAAATTTCAACTGTGTTATTGTTTCTGTTTTATTGCGCTTCACTGCTCTCTTCATAGATCTATTCCAAACTCTTTCAAAATTCCCATAAGCATATAACATTTTCTTTTCAAACTTCTTTTGACCATTTTCCTTGACTATTTCGACATCCCACATTGAAACTCCTGGTGGTACTACTTTGGCAACCATTCTAACCACTTTCTTCAATTGTCTATCCCTTAAGCCTAAAGGCCAGACTTGAGCATATGAAGTCAGATCACAATGACGCATTGATGTTTCACAATATCTGCGTACCTTATTATACACTTCTTCATGTCGTTTCGAACTCCCTATCAATTCATTTTCAATTGTATCAATCATATTATGCAGCATCAAACGTTCATTGGCATCAATTGAAGTATCATTCAGAATGCTACTTACGTCTTCCATAGCATATTTCAGCGATGTAAATTTGTGATTATAGATATAGTGATGGTAAGTGTAATACAGAGGAGCTGCCCATATCGGCCCATAAAGCTCATATAAAATATGATTGAATGTTCTACACTGGGTAGCTTCACCAGGTGAACCAACATTAGGTTTAATTATCCGAGCCCATCCCCCTTCAGAGGGGAGAAAGCAAGCAAACATAATCATCAATCCAAATGATAAATAAGAAACTGCCATGACAAGATGTATTCAAATGCTAAAATAAAAAACAAACAACAAAATCAATGAATGATTGAATGATTATATAGAAGTGTTACAAAACTACTTTCATTTCTTGATTTCTAATGCATAAAAATAAAATATTAGCTTACCGCCAAATGCACAGTACAGGTGTGTAGCTTGTGAAGGCTTTATTAGAATAATATCATTTTATCATAGAATAAATAACACATGAACAAAACCACATTGTCATTTACATTAGATAAATAGGACCATAAAACTCCATCAGCAACAAGACAATTATAAATATGACACAGAGTGATGAACATTGCATTTGGACATAGCAACACACCCATTACACCCACCTGTTATAGATTTACATGGAATTCAAAATGCCCATCTTTTAATTCAAGATGGCACCCAACTGACTACTTGCAATATAGATGGATATATAGATGGCAGCATGTCTGTTTGTAGGCCTAGATAGAATTTCAAAACATTGAAATTCTTAATTTATTGAAGATTTCCAAATGGATTAATATGAACAATACTACATTTTCATATAACAAGATGATCTGGCTGACACATAGATTGTGATTTAACCTTAAAATTGTTATTCCTTATAGAAAAATCAACATTAAGATATTTTTAACATTCATTCCGACCTTTATCAGAAAAGTTAAAAATCCTTGGAAATGGAATAAAATAAATAAACTGTAAATCAAATTTCTTTTAGTACGCAGTAATGCACAGAATCCATATACATGTATCGTATGTCATTAAAAAGAAGAAAATCCTTAGTGGTTAAAATTGCAAATCTCTTAAAATCGCATCAAAAGTGAAACTTCAGCAAGATTTCAATTTTCAAAGCTGCAAAGTAAATGGTTAATCATCTCGTATCTCTAGCATTGGATTCTATCGAACAGCTTTATAATCCTAATTGACTTCAAAGGGCAGTTTTCCTGGAATTGCAATGATAAGATATATCAAAAATTGTTTTTTGAAATTCAGAAAATAAATTTGTCTTGGGCTTATTTTGAGCTTGGGTTCTCTGTCCTAGCCCCAGCAACGAATGTGAAAATTGGTCCTATAGGTGGCGCCCCCTACAATTTACCCCCAAATTTTAAACTAAATATTATTTTCATAACTGAAACATAAAGACATCTCATTGATCAATGGTACATTAAATTATGCATTAAATTTTTTTTCAATGTGTGAAAATCATAATTTATGGAGAAATAGTTGATTAGCCCATTAAACCTATTTTAAAGGGGGTACTTAAGTTAACTTCCGTAACTTGTGTGGTATTTAGGATTTGGGCTTAAAAATATTCCTGGATATGTATAATTATGCTGTTGAGAGACTGCAGTAACCCTATGTTCATAGCTTTATCACTTTCTGAGAAAACATATTTCCATATAATTTGGTTTCGTATTATTTTCAGATAAACCATCAAGAAGCTACCAATGAAGCTTCACCATTTCTGAAGCAGAGTGGACCAATATGAGTGATTTAGACAGTACAAAGTCTTTTCAAGGTTCTTTATTCAAGTTCGTAAGCTTACAAAATCACCTACATCTTGCTACTGCACACTCTACATACACACTGCCTTACATCTCATACTTAGTTTACACGTTATTCATGTCTTTACCTTTGACCTTGCTAATTATTATTAATTAGTACAGTATGCTTAAATTCAAGTACAAAGTTAAATACCTAATACGTAAGTTATAAACAAAACTCAAGAATATGTTATAATTAGCAGAATAGAATACATATCATGACGATACAATACAACAATAAGGCAAGAAGAAACTAGCAATGATCCTTTACCATTTCTGAAGCAGAGCGGAGGAATACAAGTGATTTAGACAGTGAAATTGAGGTTGAAGGTGACAATGCAGTAACTAATCAAAAATATTTACAAACAAATCCTCATATTTCGAGCCACCGAATTAGAGCATAATGGTATCATCGGAGTTGTATCTCCTATTCATACGATTTGGAATACTCTGATAAGGTTCAATTTGTTAAACACGGCAAAAAACATGTTAAACACCGGTATTTATCCCTCAAAATCAGAGTGGCACAAATTAGTATTAGGGCGGGTAAGATACACTCAGAAACTTAACTTAATGATTAACTGTACTTTGAAATATTCTACCAATTTGTATATTCGAATAAGATGTTCATTTAAACCACTAATTTGGTGGGTACTGTGCAACAGATATCCTGATAAATGCATGTATTTTAAACTTATAATTAAGCTCTTAACAAACCAAACACTGAATGGAAACAATAAATGAGGCAATAAAAAATGCCTTATATGTAATTCCGGCGAGATCAAGACATTAGAACATTTTACTATATTTTGTAGCTCTCTAGATGCTGAAAGGGTAGCTCTACTAGCACTTTTTAAAATGGGAGAAGATAATGTACTCCAGATTTTTAAAGAGGATGATGATTTTAAAGGCCAAGGCAATTTATTTTATGTATAAAAAACGCAACCTGTTGATGTAAATATGTTTGATGAAAAAAAAAATTGAAAATTGTAATATACAGTGTACTTGCATAGAAATAATGTGGTAATAAAGGATACAATACAACACACTATAGTTGTACATGTATATACAAGAGCATTTAAGCCTTAGTCATATATGCTCTATGGTAGGCGCATCTTCACAAAATCAATATAGAGAATAAACATTGTATTGCTTATCTTTATATTTTAAGTTGCATATTTCTCTCAATTTTGGAAAGCTTCAGTCACCAAATGCTTTCCTTAATTCAAAAGTGACTGAGACATTAGTCTCAAATGATGTGGGGCAGACAAAATCAAGTCTTGAGGTCCATAAGAGTAGCAAAGGAAACAAAAGGCTAGGGACATTTGATGAAAGTTAAATGGATATGCTGCATCAATGGTATAGCATTTAAAGCCCAAATCTTTTCATCCAAATCCTAAAAAACCACATACTTCCAAGTAAATATGTATGTATGTGATTAAATTTATTTTCAATAGCCATAGTCATATAAATCAGTCAAAATATTGTCAGCATTGTAATCGAACCAAGAATCATCTTCCACAATTTCATTCTCATTTGTCATATCTCCATCAAAGTTTCCACAAATGCCTTGCAGCGTCTTTTGCCAATATGTGTTAAGGCTGATACTACTACTGCCATCAGGGTGCAGCATAATCTATTTTCAAAAGAAAAATTATCAAATTCATTCAGCAGAAAATTTGAACAAGAAGATAATTTACATATACCTTTTTCATCTAAACAAATAGGTTTGCTGTTGTTTTTAATACAATAATCATATCAAAATGTATACTTTTATATAACTTTTTTACATAATATAGAAACATTCATAAGTACCTTTAATCCATAGTTCTCTACATACATTACAGTACTGTTGTCTTCAATGTAAAACTTTACTTTTTCCAGAAAGGGGATACTCTTTATAGATTGTGTAAATGGAAGTTTCTTTCTTTTATAGTCCACCTAATTGTACATAAAGTTAATGGTTGGGTTTTATTTTTCCAGTTCATTTTCTAATCATTTTTGCTTTGAATTCCACAGATCATGATAGTAGTCTTAATGAATAAGAACCGTAACCATATAAGTCTAAGAAGTGATATTTTATTTTAGTTTATTTTAGTCATTGTTTAAATACAATAATGAATGCCAGGGTATATGGAAAATATCATACTTACAATTACTTTGTGTGAGCTTTCAATTTCAATGATGTACTGAAGAAAATCACCAAACTTACTCCAAGCTTTAGATTGGTATAAACTAAGATCTTCAGCATGTTCAATAATCATATCGAGATAAACTTGAACTTTTCCTGGAGAGGCAGTGATACTAATGAGGTCTCTATGGTAGGGTCCCTTAAGATAAACAGAATTGGTTTTTGCTTGCATCTGTACCCCATCAAATGTTCTAACAAGTCTCACACTATCTTTATGTTCAATCAAACACTCTCTGGTATCTGAAATCAGCAAAGGGATATCATTAGTTCTATGAGAACATTTCAAATAAAGTAAATAAAAATGAAAACATGTCAAGATTGTTTAGCTGTTGACTTCTGGTTGTTATTCTAACACACATATAAGATCAGAGGGACCTCTGTTGCTATATGCCATTTGACATTCCTTTGGACAGTACTCCAAAACAAGCAGCAAGAATTTCTTTCACAAATTAACTATGATAGCAATAAAGTATAGATAAATAAACCTTTAAGGAAGACTGATAATATGTTAGCATACCTGTTAGAGTATTATCGCATCCTAGGCCTCTTGTTACTGGTGGACAGAAGTCATTCATACAGTAGACATCTAAGATGTTGCAGTGTTTGCATTTGTGAAGAGAACCATATGCGTTCATATAGTTCAGTGCCACCTTTATTGTATGCATGACTGCATCGTCATATTCAATGTATAATTGTATTGTCTTCAAAACATTATCCTTGAACGAACTGCAAATTCCAAATACAATGTTCAACTGATTTATCGTTTCTGATTTATCACGCCTCACTGCTCTTTTCATGGAGTGATTCCAAACTCTTTCAAAAATCTCATAAGCATACAGCATTTTCTTTTCAAACTTCTTTTGACCATTTTCCTTGACTATTTGGGCATCCCATACTGAGACTCCTGGATGTACTACCCTAGCAACATTCCTAACTGCTTGCTTCAATTGTTTGTCCTTTAAACCTGAAGGCCAGACAATTCTAGTCAGATCACAAACACGGACTGATGTTTCACAACGATCGCGCACTTTATTATACGATTCTTCATGCCGTTTTGCACTCCCCAATAATACATTTTCAATTGTATCCATCATATTATGCAGCATGAAACGTTCATTGGCATCAATTGAAGTATCATTCAGAATGATACCGATGTCTTCCACAATAAATTTCAACGATGTATATCTGTGTCCCATATAGTGATTGTAACTGTAATACAGAGGAGCTCCCCATATCGGCCCATACAGCTCATATAACAAATAATTAATTGTTCTACACTGGGCAGCTTCACCAGGGAAACCGACAGTAGGTTTAGTTTTCCTTCCCTCTACTTCAGAGAGGAGTAAGCAAGTAAACACTATCACCAAACCAAATGGTAAATAAGTGACTACCATAATGGAAGTGATTTAATACCAGAATACTAAAAACAAAAAGGGAAAAGCAAAACCAAACTACTTTAATGAGGATGCTTAAATGTTCAAAAATTTCTTTAAATACTCAAAATATTAGCTTACCTCTAAGGCTTGAGAGCAACTATCATATACATATAGATACTAATTGTTGTCATTGATATTTAATAAAATAAAATATCATTGGTCACAATGAAAAGTGAAAACCACAACATCTGAATAAATAAATAGAGATGAAGATTCACATTACATTACTGTAAAACACTGTAATGCAATTCATGAATAAAATGGCCGATTCGGTGGGCTTTCAAGGTGATACCTAGTATCAATTTTTAAAATGTGATATCTTGATAACAAAAAGCTAATTTCTCTATAAAGGCATAAGTATTATGACTGAGTACATGTGAGGCATCTAGCTGACCATAAGAGACAACAAAAAGTCTTGGCCCTTTTCATTATATTTAGAAAATAAAGATGATATAGGGTACATCAGAAAAGCTATTATCATCTAGTAAGTTAATTAATGCCTTTGTTTGGGCAATAATTGCAAGCTACAGTAGAAATTAATAATAATTATTATCATTTGTGGTTAAAACCACAACCCCTTTGTCGTACCATGTTTCTGACATTCTCAGAAGTCATCTCCAATTTATTGTACTTATATGGTATAAATTAATATCCGCAATACCACAACGCCTTTGTCCTATCATGTTTCTAACATTTTTAAAAAGTCAGTCTCGGTTTAATAATTGAACTTTTGGCATAAATTAATATCCATTTTATAGTTCATACCAAAATACCATTATACCTTTGCTATATCAGGTTTATGACATTTTAAAGGTTAGTCATAATACATATTCTGTTGACTAGACTCTGCTCATATTAACATCAAAAACAAAACAAGCAGTGCTGGAGATAAAGGTGGGTAGATATGTCACTTATCAATAATAAATATAAAACAAGAACACAAATGTGTACAATATGTCCCCACCAATGGGTGATCCCGTCAAATGGTTATCCTGAAAATGAGTTGACAAGACTTTACCGTTACAATTTTGGGACAGTAAATGCAAAATAGCCACATTAAAATTTACCCAGAATGCCAAAAAATTAGTCAGCTTTAGATTTTCATACTAAGAACCAACCCTGAAAATTTGAAATTGATCCATCAAACAGTACACCAGAAAACGCGTAAACAAGACTTCACAGACAAGATTTTAGGACGGAAAAATCCAAAATGGCTGCCTTGACATTTACCCAGAATGCCAAAAAACTAATCAATTCTAGATTTTCATACTAAGAATCATCCCTGAAAATTTGAAATTGATCTACCAAACGGTTCACCTGAAAACACACAGACAAGACTTTACAGGCAAGATTTTAGGACAGAAATTCCAAAATGGCTGCCTTGACATTTACCCAGAATGCCAAAAAACTGATCAGATCTAAATTTTCATACTAAGAATCATCCCTAAAAATTTGAAATTGATCTACCAAATGGTTCACCTGAAAACGCGTAGATAAGACTTTACAGACAAGATTTTAGGACGGAAAATCCAAAATGGCTGTCTTGACATTTACCCAGAATGCCAAAAAACTAATCAGATCTAGATTTTCATACTAAGAATCATCCCTGAAAATTTAAAATTGATCTACCAAACGGTTCACCTGAAAACGCGTAGACAAGACTTTACAGACAAGATTTTAGGATGGAAAAATCCAAAAAGGCCAACAATAAAAAAGTGATTATTAGTTTTTGCTGATTTCTTTTAACAAAATTATCACCTATAACTACTGTTAACAATAGGCTTCTAGAACATAGGCTTCTAGAACAAAGTACACGTGAAATTATTTATAAAGCTACTAAATAGTTAAAGTATGAAAACTCAAAAACACCGTTCAATATGATACAAAGTATTATCACGCGCTAACTTTTCTTAAGACATTCAAGATGGCTGCCACGACTGAGCTAACAGGTCCAAAACCTGATCAGATGTAGAATGAAGTAAGCTGAACAAGATGTTAAAGTTTTAAAAGCAACCGTGTAGCCATTTTTCTTAAAGTTTGCAGACAAGGATTTTAGCATTTGACTTCAAAATGGCCGACAGGAAGTAGGTATCGAGCTAAAAAAAATTCGTCCACATCTGTATGCACTCATAAGTTATCCCTGAAAATTTGAAGGTGATATCTGTAGTGGTTTTTGAGAAAACTGCCGGACGTACGGACGGACAGACAGACGGGCGCGCCTAAGCTGACAATATGGCCCCACACTATGTGGTGGGGACATAACAATATGAATTATCTTCAAAAAGTGATTCCATATCACAGTCTCGTTCCTTGTGTCTTACTCAAGTGCCACACATTTAAGGGAAAAAGAGATGACAAGACCTGGGTGTACATTTATATGTATTGACAAAACTAATTTAACTGCTTATTTTAAGCCTTAAGGAATTATAAAATAGGCGAATATAATCATACCTTAGTCTTCAGAAATAACCATTGGGTTTCCTGGCTGAGTGCTGAACTAAACTTTGGCTTCGTTACTTTTATAGCACAATCAAAATGAATCTTTGCTTGTTCAATGTGGTTTTGGCAAGTTCAATGGTGGCCATTGCCATGAATACAGAAGAGGAGGCCAATACCAAAAGAACAACATTGGCAACAACACAGTTCACCACATTCAACAAGCTTCTTTATCTCCTTTATTAACCATTTTGGGCAACACCACAATATTATGACACTGATGAAGACAGAAATTATTACCAATTTGACCCGATTTGTGTAAACAAATTCAAAGGCCTGCGCTCTGTTATTTCTGAAATAAAGTCTTGGCTGACTGATGAGAGTGTTAGTCCTGAAAAGCTGAGTCATCAGTTTCAAAAATAAGACGTCTCATAAACTTAGTGGCAAACAAACACAGAAAACATCACAACAGTATACTTCGTAGAAATTGTGATGTGGAGTGGGGTTGTATTGTTCAAGCTTATACTCCACAAGCAATGTATGATGAATATCAATATGATATCAAAGGTGCTATGCACTTTCTTGCATGGTCGCTTACTAATTGGATAGGGACTATGGCAAACAAAGACAGACGAGAAGAATTCCATGTTAAAACAGACAAAACCTTTCAAGAACTCTTCAACATTTGAGCACAGATTTGTGTGTATTGCTAAAAATGTTAGCATAAAATTATGTGTTGCAAAGAAATCCTTTTATGTTTGTATATAAAAGATGTGGCAAATTGAAACTACATTTGTATTTCCATGAACTTTCCTGATAGCAAAACAGTTTAATATAGTTACCATTTCCTGACCACACAACACAGCAATGTGTTCATGTTTTCACCAACCATGTGTAATAAATATAATGTGCCCCATAAGCCTAAAATAGGATTGGTATTCTATACGAGGCACTTAAATAAATAAATATACATACATACATATATTTCATGATGAAAAAAACATTGCAAACCCAAGTAAGAACACTGATTTATATTTACAAGGCCTTTACTTGTTTTAAGAGGCCGAGTCAAGTTATCAATTTTGGCAAAAGCAATCTTAACTAAGGCTACTAAGGATAAGACCCCCTAAGAGGGTTAATGCAGATCCATTATTCCTTCCTTAACAAAGTTGGTCTTTACATGCTCTCTTATTTAACCTGCTAGACATCAAGAAATCAAGACATCATTACAACAAAATGTCACCATTTGGTTACAATTTCAAAAGTGTAAACCTTCGTTTGTCAACCCTGAATGCCAAACACTAAATACTAGTCACAAAATGGTTTCTGCCAAAATGGTTGCATTAACAATAAACACTCCTTGGAGGTTACATAAAAAGCTGATATTTCAACTCAGCCTGATTCTGTATAAATGTGAAGACTTACCTCTAATACAGTCATACAGTACATCATGACGTACTCATTGCCAGTATTAGCCATGTAAAACAAGCAGTGCCTCCATGCATCTTTCTGTTGACTAAAGTTGTTCAGTAACTCCTCTAAAATAAAAGAAAGAAATCATTCATCAAAACCAATATTCCTAGCAAATGAATAAACAAACTTTGCATATTTCTTTTAATATCATTCGCATTTGTTTGACTAAATAAGTCCCTATTAGATACCTTCGTCTTCACTCTTTCAGTTTTATATTTTTGAAGCCAATCAGTGCTTGCCATTGCCAGAAGGACGACTTTCTATACATGGTCATTTTTTCTAGGCCATTGTTTACCAAGTATCAACCAACATAAACATTATTCAGCATGTTTCTTTTTGCTCTCTGATTGGTTGAGAAAATGTCAATTTGGTTGGTTTCAATTGATTTATGACCTGGACTGTGACATCTGATTGAATTTACTGTTGGGCAGTTTAAATTGTCCAGAAGTTCCTTTAGAACTAAACTATGCGCTTAGGGTAACTTTTTATGTAAGGTAAGATTTAGGTACATTGCTTGGCAACTTACCTATCTGTCGTTTTCTTTCATTGGTTGTTTGCACATGAAAGAATTCTGTCATAAGGCCCTCGAGAGCACGAAGTGATGCCTCATCTGAAGCCTAAAAAGTTAAACATAAATATATTTTTATAATCAGAACTGAAACGTAAAGATATATTCATCTAAGCCATGAGGGCAGTGACTGTTCATATACCTCTCTGTATTCAAGATCATGAGCCTGGCCCTGAAACACTACATGTTTTTTATCACACCTCAGAGATCTATTTGACTGGACATCACTCGGATAGACTGATGTGTATAATCCTGATAACGTCATCCATCTGCCAAAACTCTGAGTGAAGGGAGGCTGAAAATATACTTGTTCTGTATAATTTCGTGTGATGGGACACTATACGACTCTGGTAATACAGATGTGCAAGTTCCAGTCAGGAAATAAGGCAGTAAGGTGAAAATCGAGAAATAAAAGGGGTAACTTCATTTTTTGAATTTCTGTTTCTATTCCTGGTATACATATACAGTGCTGGTATACATTAATTGATTAGTCGTTTAATTCGCATATTTTCTTGAATTTTAAGATTTAATGTCCCAAACTCCCACAAACTGCAGAAAAGTTAACCCCATAAATCATATTTACCAAAATGAGTGTCTCCAAGGCTTCACACCAGCGTATGCATAATGCATTTGTCACGAGTTTGAGCTGAAATTTCGCCAAAATGAAGTAGGCTAAGAGTAGTCTCTGCCAGGTTTGTTTATTGTGGTAAGCTTGTAAGTGCTCAGAAGCAAATAATTCATGTGCGCAAAATAATCAAATAATCTGATTGGTTTAAACTTTGCTGCACATGCGCACAATGTGTGCCATGTTTTTTCTAGTGATTTCGTTTCGTTTTATGGAGTTTGCGTTTCAGTGTAACTTCCGCAAAAATGGCGGACCATGGACAGAATTAACAGGTAAAATCACTTCGAAATTTCAAGAGAACTTTTTACCTATAATAGCAAAACTTTTGTTCTTTTTGTGCATTCTATCTATCAGATAAGAGTTTCAGGGGTATGTAGGCGAATTCATTTTGGTAGGAGCACTCTGTTTAGTTTGAAAACGCACCCTTTAGAGTCAATACGTCCAAATCCAAACAGGGGGGTAAACACGAACGGGTTCCAAATAATGGCAAGCAGATCATTGAATTGAATAATAGTACCTCTACTACCTCTACATAATATTTATAGCCTGAAAGATACAATATAATGACGTATACCAACAATCTTACAATAAAATAATCAATTATGATGATTTAGGTGTTCGGAATTACCCCCATGCTAGTGTTTGGAATTACCCCCACAAACTCTGTGCGTTTAAATAAATAGATATCAGTAATAAATGATTTAAATTTGGGTTTCTTGATATGCGGGGGTGACAGGATCCAGTATCATAAGTTATGGGTATCATATAATGATATACCATCAATCTAATAATTAAAACAATTAAGTTTAAGTTAAGTGTTTGGAATTACCCCCATGCAAGTGTTCGAATTTACCCCCAAAAAAAACTCCTGTTCGGAATTACCCCCCTGAAATACCTTGTAGTAAAAATGGAATAACCCAGACATTTTTTACAATTTTTCGTAATTTTTTCTGCAAATGCATTCTACAGTGGATAATACACATAGTATATAAAGAATCATAGCATAGATGTGCAGTACAGCCAGGCTAACTACATTTTTTGATGGGGGTGTTTGGAAATAGACGTACTGACTCTATTATTATATACAGCACTGTAATTAGTTTCTGAATAATGTTGAATCAAGTCCGACCCTCCATCTGCTAGTCTATTCTTGGAAGCCCATGATTACTTCCAAGCATAGGCCAAGTGAAAAGTAATAGTAAGCTGTATCTCTTCTATATACAGCTTACTATTACTTTACCCTTGGGCTATGCTTCCAAGTGTTTTTCAAAGACCAATATTTTTCGTCAGTAGTGCGTGCAGCTAACTTCTGTTTCGCATTTTGATGGGATATGATTAATTTGATCTTCCAAAGAATTCCATGTGATTTCCACATCGAACAAGCTGCCTGGGCCGACTGTCCAGTTCAAAATTGATTTGAATTTTTTTTTCAAATTTTATTAAAAAATTAGGCCTAGAAGAAAGTTCGATAACTTTTGAAACTTACCATTTTAGATTTCAAAAACCACACAGCTGTTAGATATTACATTGATCTCTCTCTGTGTATATTCGATTTGATAATTCACTGTACGTAGAGGCTTCAAATCAGCTTCAATTCCCTCAAAATATGCATTCGCGTGGAATACTGGACGCCATTTTGAAACTTCGCTAAATGTCAAACTTTGACAGATGAGACTAAACGAAATCGTAATTTAAATATATATTTCTAGCATACTGAACGCCATCTATTGATCCCTCTTATTAGAAGTATTCTTTATTTCTAGTCCTTGATTAGTTTTTTTAGCAAAGCCTGCATTACCGGTGTACGTCAAAGGGCTTCACAGTGGCGATTCTACCGCTGTAAAATTATATATCTGCTTGAAATGGGCCTTTTTAGCCTTTTTCAGATTATTGACATTGACTTGTTCAATGTCAATAATAGGAATTGACAGGAATTGTTCAATACCAAGAAATATTATAAAGTCAACTGTCAAATAAAGTCCCAGTGCTTCACCAAAACACAGAAGCCGTAACTTTGCTGTTGACAAATACATGCTAAACCTACAGAGTATGTAGCTGCATGTTCAGTAAAGTTTATAATCTAATCATGACACAATCAAATTTGGGTTATTCCATATCCGAGATTAAAGTGGAAGGTAGTGCTGGAGTTGTAAAAAGTGAACCCCTGGAATTTTTCAAAAAGTGAACCCCTTGGCAAATCCTGGCTACGGGCCTGTAATGACTGTTCTGGAGTGTCTTTTAGAAATGGAAGATTCATTTTTATGAGGATTACTAACCAAAGATATTTTTATTTTATCATATGAGGCTATAATATCAAACTTATTTGTAATATGAAATAAAAATTAATGAAAACAGGAACTCTCATAAAAATCCTGAAATTATCCATTGTTTTCAGTTAAATATATATTATCTCAAAATAGAAAAAAACATACAGCATATCCAACTGCAATATCTAGTTCATGTTGATTTTATAAATGAGTACTGAAAAACCAGGAACTTTAGAAAACTGGATTAAAATTGGAAGAAAATCCTGAAGAATAAACAGGAAGAAGCAGTTTAAAAAGGAAATCTGAGGTTTGAAAAATAGGATAACGAGTTGGCACCATGTCTTTTTGGAGAGTATATTTGAGTTACCTATAAAATGTGACAATGTATAATCAAAACCAACACTGATTTTATTGTTAATAAATACTTTATTTAAATATAATTCTCAATGAACAGATGAAGAGTAACAAAATAATGAGAAAAAACCATGAATTCATTTGCATTAACAAATATATATTCAAATGTCAAAGTAGAAGATGGTACACTTGCAATTACATGTACCGGATTTTCTCGCATATAAGCCCTGGGCGTATAACTGAAAGAAGGGGCAATTTCGTCTGTTATTTTACCTCTTATTTTTCGCCCATGGGCGTATAAGTGTACTACTTTCGATTTTTGGCCCAGTGGGCGTAAAGGTGAGAAGAGCTGATGAATACAATGGAATGTTAAGTTGTTAATGAATGTTAATACAATGAAACAAAGTACGACAGAACGATCTGCCAGTGACAAAATACTCTTGAATTTATTGAAAAAATCAATAAATAGTCATTTTTTATAGGCCCATGGGCGTATAAGCGTACTATATTCGATTTTTGGCCCATGGGCCTATTTTTAGGGGGGCGTATATGCGAGAAAATCCGGTAATGTAAGAAAGATTTAAACTGGCATGCAATCTTGTAGAGAATCAGTAAATTGGACTGCAAAATCCAAATGGGCTACAATCTTATGTAACTCCCATGCAATTGAAATTACTATTCAAGTATAAGGTAAATCAGAATTATTGACAAGATAAATTGGCCTAAATCTCTACATCATAAGTTATTGAATTTGTGTATATTTATGAATCAGAGACAGATGATTACGGTACATCTTTAAGTGTTAAGAATGCATAATGCTTTTGCTGTTCAAAACTACCTTCAAAATTAGACGACAATTTTATAATCAAGTATACATTAGAACATTGTCTACAATGTTTACCAGTATGAGTGTATCACCTTGACATTGACGGTATGATTATGAAAGTTGAATCTCATGTAGGCCTACAAGCTAGAATATCTGGCTTCAAATCAAGCATTAAGAGTTTTGTTTATCAGTTATTGTTTTTAAAAGACTTATTGCAATAAGACTCCATACAGAAGATGTTACATTCAGTTGTATTTCATACATGATATTCCAAAAGAATCACATGAATTTTAGCACAAAACATATGGAAGCTATGTTTGGCTACATTTCTGATTTTGGAAGGAAACCATAAGAAATAAGGTCTAGGAACAAAATTACAGTTACTTTTTCAGAATATGAGTGTGGGGATAACACAAATGCTCAAAACACTTCTGTGCTGTACATACAGCTTGATAGAGTTAAACAGGATATTGTCTGCTCCACAACTGATGCATTATGGGTAATATCAGCATTGAGCTGTCAGATTATGAATGATTGTCATCTTTGCTTGTCTGCACTTTAATTGAGGCATTATGGGAAAATATATCACATGTTATGCTGATATTTTGCAGCATAGAGTTCATTCCTGATTCTATCGGCATCAAGTTGGCGGAAGTACGCCTCATCATCATCTCTTTGCATTTGATCTTGAAAATCATGAATGTCTGCCTCCATTTTACGACGTAGCTCACGTTTCATCTGGTTCAACACCTGGAACAAATTGCAAAACTTATTTTGAATCACTGTCGATTTAATCTGTTTTTACATTTCATTCAATGGCTAGTAGATTATTGTTAAAATGCAAGAACATGTTGTTTGAAAACAGAAGATTTAATCAAATGAGATCTCCATATTATATATCCATTTTTCTCAAGTATTATTTATTACGAGTAACAGCTTTGAATGTGTGAAACTCCAATGGCAAAAGCTTTGCAGAGGACCTTCAAAGTTCTCCCAGAATTGGTTTACTGATATTTTACCTTATTTGAGCAGAATGTGTTGACTAACCTTATTTTGAGCAGTTTCTCTAATCTGGATTTCTTGCCTTTCCTTGGCCATTGACTCTGCTAGCAAGGCAAACTGGTCCCGATAACTAGGCATGTTAAGGAATATATCCATTTAAACTAAAAATTACCTGCAAATGTTGTAGCCTATTTGTTTCTTTGAAATACAGCACTCAAGTACGTAGTTACACTGCTAAAAGATGGCTCAATGCTATATACACTGTAGCTATATTTGATCAATGATCCAGTGTTCTTAAGTCCAAAAATATTTCATGATTTTACACTTTTGAGAAATAAGATCATTAGATTACGTAAAAATCGTTTTTCAAAGTGCAATAAAAAACTCAGTGACCTAAAAACTTTGTTTTCTTAAAACTAATAATATTTAACTATGAAGTTCAATCTTATATTGAAAATATCCTGCCAATATATGAATATTGTATTTTCCTATAAATGAAATATGGTAGGGTTAAATATGTAGAACAAATATAATGTTCTAAAAGGATACTAATTTTCCAATGACTCTATTTCATTTTGCTGTTTGTTGTTCCTTCTCTGCCTCTGATCATTGGCATATTTTCTTAGATCCCTGATTCTCTCTTTTTGGATCTCGATCCCATCTTTGAAAAGTTTCTTGAATATCTGTAATCAAAAACAGAATAAACAAAGAATACTATTAGAAATTATCCAATGCTTGATCTATTTATATGAATTTTGAATATCTCAATTTTATTTCATGTTATAATCAATTTCAAATGGGGTGTTCCACCCAGTTGTTTAAATAGGGTGATCAGTGTCATGTTAAGAAAATATATACACTTATCTCACCATTTCCTCGCGAGTTCTTTTCTTCAACATTTTAGACCTCATTCTAACTTGGTACTCCTCATAATACCGTTTTGATTTTGCAGTCTGTTGACGCTTTTCTCGAACCTGAGATTGCACAGAAAGATGTTGGGCTTTGCGGTCCTTGGCTTCACGCTGTAAAACAAACACACAAATTCATTTGTCCAATCAATTCAATTTATCATATGAATCTAATTTGAGCAACATTCAAATAGGTGCAGACAGGATATCTTTTAAACATTTTCTAATTCTAGCACATAAATATCAAATATGAAGTGAAACATAGTATCTAAGAATGCACGCTGAATCCTGTGCTGTGGGATAACAAATATAGAAAACAGGAAAGTAACAAATCTGAATGAACAAACCATTCTGTTGTTGTGAGCCATCTCTTTCTTCATTATGTCTGCGAGAATATTCTGCCTCTGCTCAGCCTCCTCTATCTAGAATAGCAATAAGTCAGGTAAAGTGTGAATGTTATCAATGTTATCTAAATAAATAAAGTTCATAATTTAAAAAAAAAAATCATATTTGGAAGTTGGGATATTAAACAACACATTGCGTGGTTCCATTGTGATGCTACTTAAATTTACTCAACTATTGTATGACTGATTATATTCTTTCCTGAAATTCCAGATGTAATGACTGATCTTTCATATGTAAATATGCAGTTTCTCTTTTCAACTGATACCACAGACCATGTTCTTTCATGTATCTCTGCCAATACACACTACACAGAGAGGTACTAGTACATGGACAACACAGTATCTATCAGTAATATAATAGAACATTAAAGCCAAGCACTCTTTTGAACAAAAATAAAACACAGATTGACTTCATTGTTCTGTTGATGATTTCCATTACACAGTGGTTAGTGCCTACCTCAATTTGAGCTTTACTTTTAATGGTATGACCACAGTGGTTAGTGCCTACCTCAATATGAGCTTTACTTTTAATGGTATGACCACAGTGGTTAGTGCCTACCTCAATTTGAGCTTTTCTTTTCATGGTATGACCACAGTGGTTAGTGCCTACCTCAATTTGAGCTTTTCTTTTCATGGTATGACCACAGTGGTAAGTGCCTACCTCAATTTGAGCTTTACTTTTAATGGTATGACCACAGTGGTTAGTGCCTACCTCAATTTGAGCTTTACTTTTCATGGTATGACCACAGTGGTTAGTGCCTACCTCAATTTGAGCTTTACTTTTAATGGTATGACCACAGTGGTTAGTGCCTACCTCAATATGAGCTTTACTTTTAATGGTATGACCACAGTGGTTAGTGCCTACCTCAATTTGAGCTTTTCTTTTCATGGTATGACCACAGTGGTTAGTGCCTACCTCAATTTGAGCTTTTCTTTTCATGGTATGACCACAGTGGTAAGTGCCTACCTCAATTTGAGCTTTACTTTTAATGGTATGACCACAGTGGTTAGTGCCTACCTCAATTTGAGCTTTACTTTTCATGGTATGACCACAGTGGTTAGTGCCTACCTCAATTTGAGCTTTACTTTTAATGGTATGACCACAGTGGTTAGTGCCTACCTCAATTTGAGCTTTTCTTTTCATGGTATGACCACAGTGGTAAGTGCCTACCTCAATTTGAGCTTTACTTTTAATGGTATGACCACAGTGGTTAGTGCCTACCTCAATTTGAGCTTTACTTTTCATGGTATGACCACAGTGGTTAGTGCCTACCTCAATTTGAGCTTTACTTTTAATGGTATGACCACAGTGGTTAGTGCCTACCTCAATATGAGCTTTACTTTTAATGGTATGACCACAGTGGTTAGTGCCTACCTCAATTTGAGCTTTTCTTTTCATGGTATGACCACAGTGGTTAGTGCCTACCTCAATTTGAGCTTTTCTTTTCATGGTATGACCACAGTGGTAAGTGCCTACCTCAATTTGAGCTTTACTTTTAATGGTATGACCACAGTGGTTAGTGCCTACCTCAATTTGAGCTTTACTTTTCATGGTATGACCACAGTGGTTAGTGCCTACCTCAATTTGAGCTTTACTTTTAATGGTATGACCACAGTGGTTAGTGCCTACCTCAATTTGAGCTTTACTTTTCATGGTATGACCACAGTGGTTAGTGCCTACCTCAATTTGAGCTTTTCTTTTCATGGTATGACCACAGTGGTTAGTGCCTACCTCAATTTGAGCTTTACTTTTCATGGTAAAACCACAGTGGTTAGTGCCTACCTCAATTTGAGCATTACTTTTCATGGTATGACCACAGTGGTTAGTGCCTACCTCGATTTGAGCTTTACTTTTCATGGTATGACCACAGTGGTAAGTGCCTACCTCAATGTGAGCTTTACTTTTCATGGTAAAAACCACAGTGGTTAGTGCCTACCTAAATTTGAGCTTTACTTTTCATGGTAAAACCACAGTGGTTAGTGCCTACCTCAATTTGAGCTTTACTTTTCATGGTTAGTGCCTACCTCAATTTGAGCTTTACTTTTCATGATTAGTGCCTACCTCAATTTGAGCTTTACTTTTCATGGTATGACCACAGTGGTTAGTGCCTACCTCAATTTGAGCTTTACTTTTCATGGTAAAACCACAGTGGTTAGTACCTACCTAAAGGAGGAGGGAAGTTAGCGCAACAGATTTTGGACAGTCATATGTTGGATTTCGGCCATTTCTTGGGGATTTAAACAGGTGCATAAGTTAGGCGAATGTTTTACCTCCAGGAAAATCACTTCTAGAGATGATCAAATAATTTTGACTTTGAGACAGGGTAGATGCAAACAACCCACCCACATGTTTTTTCTGAAATGTTTTCCTGATTTTCAACCCCTTCCATCCTTTCTTTTTTAATTTTTCTTGCATCAATATGTTGCGTTTTGACACACAGTTGATCCCTTAAAAGGAATTAATGATTCCATTTAGATAAAGTGGAAAACAATATTTCCCATGTTATTTCCCCATAGGAAAAATCATTGCTTTCAGCTAAGTTTGGTCACCCATAATGGGTATCTTTAAAACCCCTGAAGGAATCACTTGTTCCTTTAAAGTGGTTAACTATGTGTCAAAATACAACATATTGATGCAAGAAAAATTAAAAAAGCAGGGATGGAAGGGGTCGAAAAATAGGAAAACATTTCAGAAAAAATCATGTGGGTGGGTTGTTTGCTCTAACCTGTCTCAAAGTCGAAATTATTTCATCATCTCTAGAAGTGATTTTCCTGGAGGTAATGCATTGGCCTAACATATGCAATTGTTTAAATCCTCAGAAAATGGCCAAAATCCAACATATGACTGTACAAAATCTGTTGCGCTAATTTCCCTCCTCCTTTGTGCTTTACTTTTCATGGTTAGTGCCTACCTCAATTTGAGCTTTACTTTTCATGGTATGACCACAGTGGTTAGTGCCTACCTCAATTTGAGCTTTACTTTTCATGGTAAAACCACAGTGGTTAGTGCCTACCTAAATTTGAGCTTTACTTTTCATGGTTAGTGCCTACCTCAATTTGAGCTTTACTTTTCATGGTATGACCACAGTGGTTAGTGCCTACCTCAATTTGAGCTTTTCTTTTCATGGTTAGTGCCTACCTCAATTAGAGCTTTACTTTTCATGGTTAGTGCCTACCTCAATTTGAGCTTTACTTTTCATGGTATGACCACAGTGGTTAGTGCCTACCTAAATTTGAGCTTTACTTTTCATGGTAAAACCACAGTGATTAGTGCCTACCTCAATTTGAGCTTTAGTTTTCATGGTATCACCACAGTGGTTAGTGCCTACCTAAATTTGAGCTTTACTTTTCATGTAAAACCACAGTGGTTAGTGCCTACCTCAATTTGAGCTTTACTTTTCATGGTAAAACCACAGTGATTAGTGCCTACCTCAATTTGAGCTTTACTTTTCATGGTAAAACCACAGTGGTTAGTACCTACCTCAATTTGAGCTTTACTTTTCATGGTATGACCACAGTGGTTAGTGCCTACCTCAATTTGAGCTTTACTTTTCATGGTAAAACCACAGTGGTTAGTGCCTTCCTCAATTTGAGCTTTACTTTTCATGGTTAGTACCTACCTCAATTTGAGCTTTACTTTTCCTCCGTCTAACCTCCTGCTGTACTTTGCTGATGGTCTTCACCTGGCCAGCATGCTGTTTCCACAGTTCATGCAGGGTCTCAGGAGAGAGGTACAAGAATGGGAACTCTTCTAGTAATTCAGGGAGAAACTCATCAGTTCCAACATGAACTGAAAGAAAAGGTAATACACATATTGTGGTTTTCAAGGCATGTAAATGTTGTAACTTCTGTTAATTTGGTGGTGCTATTGGATTTGGCTGATACACCATTTCTATAATAATACTGACAGCAGCTACTAATGTATCTGATTTAAGAAGTGAAATGATCTTCAACATGACTTTCTTTGTTTGCTTAATTAACAGTTTAACCCAATTAACAGTTTGAAAAATCTGAAGACTCTTTACACCTGTAAAAACAAAACATTGTACTCTAAATGTCAAGTTGAGATTGTAAGATTACCTTATAAATTTAATGGTGTCAAGCCAAGCAGTTTTTTCTTTATCTATTATTTAGGCATAATTGCATACAGCAGCATTCTAATATTAACGATAGCATTATAAAATTAGTAATAATATAAGTATTTAGATATCAAATAAATTAGGTCACTAAACACATTTTAATAACTTAATATTTGATCTGATTAATGGCAGATGTTTTAACCAATTTAAATTAAATTTAACCTAATTGGTATGAAGAGCCTATATGATATAAGAATGTTTGAGAAGCAGGATGTTAAAAGTGTTAAAACTTAACATTAGAATGGAGAATATACACTGTACAAGTACAATAGTGAGGAGAATATTTCCAGGAATATTAATAGTGATTTTTATGATGACTTTCTACAAGATCTTCAATGATCAACAAAAAATAACACCCAAATGTAATTTTGATTATTTGAGAGGCTACTTTGCAAAGACTGGGAAATATCCCTCGAAAGGGAAATGGTCAGAAAATGCTTGGCAACCTGATGGTTGCATTTTACCCAAATCAGATAAGTCTGACCAAATGAAGTTCATCGAAAGAAACAAATTGACCAGTATTTTAGTTCTAGGTGACTCGACAGCATATCGCTATCATGATGCTATTCAAATACAGCTTGATGGAATCTATGGACGCAGAAATTGTAAAGCTGAAAAATTGGAGGGCTTAACTGATGCAAAACAATTTTTTCCAGATCGGGAGTATTTTGATGAAATTCCTGATGTAGTGACACGAGAGCGCGGCTGTGGAGGTTGTCATTCAATTACATATAGTTGTAATACATCAAGGGCATTCCCCAAAATTACAACAGAATTCCTTTCAATGGACTACTTCATGGATACATCAGTTACAACACGTAGGGAGACGAGAACCAAGACTTGTAAACCAAACTTAACACAGTTTGAATCATGGGGTGTTGGCTGTGGATCATCCTTAACAACTCAGGAGTTTATATTTAATGAGTACCTTGCAACAAAGACATCCTCCCAGTACCCTCAACTCATCATCCTTGTTGCAAACTTCCATGACATTAAAAGGCACAATGTGGATAGCTTTAAGCGAACACTGACATGGTTTATGGATATAGTTAACCAAAGTACAAAAGAATATCCTGACACGAAGATCATCTGGTTTCAGCCGACTTATATTCTAAAAAAAAATCAACCAATCGAATATCATAACATGACGTCGCAAGCAAGAAACTCTGAACTCTATGAAAATGTGAAAGAAGTATTGACAAAATATTTTGAAGATAATTCTGGAAGATTTCTACCATTTTATAGTTTAGAAGATATAAGTCATGGTGTTCCAGATTTAAATGTTGATGGTATACATTACAAGAAAGACTTTTACATTAGGATCATACAACTTTTCTTCGATACATTGATATCATTACAAAAATGTGACTATGCCTAATATTTCAAATATTTCAAAGCCTATTTTGAAATTCAATATGACTGGTCATTGATTTGAAATTTCTTGAAAGTTGTCTTGAATATGAAGAAGATTGGTTGATGTAAAAAAGATCAAATTGGGATAAATCTATCCTTTGCAAGAGCTTGATTTCATTTTTACTCTTCGAATGGGAGGTGATTCTTTGATGTTGCCTTTATCCAATCACACTTACACATTTATAGCTGATTTGAAGCCTATACGTGCAGTGAATTATCAAATCGAGTATACACAGATAGAGATCAATGTAACAGCTAATAATTGTGTGAGTTTTAAATCTAAAATGGTAAGTTTCAAAAGTTATCAAACTTTCTTCTAATTTTTTTAATAAAATTTGAAAAAAAATTCAAAACAATTTCACAGGCAGCTTGTTCGTTGTGGAAATCACATGACTTCCTTTGGAAGATCAAACTAATCATATCCCATCAAAATGCGAAACGGCAGTTTGTCTCACGCATTACTGACGAAAAATATTGCTCTTTCAAAAACACTTGAAAATAATCATGCCACATGGGCTTTCAAGCACATGGAAGGGGTCTAACCTGTATATAGCACCAACTGACGACAGCCTTTTAGCTAACACAGCCTTTTATTCATGACAGTCGAAAGCAAGCAAGATGCATTAACACTACAGGAGAATCTTGATAAACTGGTCTCCTGGGTTCAATATGGCAAATGAAATTCCATCCATCAAAATGCTATGTGCTAAATATTCACAAAGGTTAATCCCATTCACAATTACACCATGCTAGGGGAAAACCTTAAGTCGGTAACACACATCCCATACCTAGGTATTGACATCACAAATAACTTACGCTGGACTACACATATTCAAACTGTTGTATCCAAAGCCAATAAGGTGCTTGGATTCCTCAGGCGCAACCTCCATCAATGCCCTGAAAAAGTGAAGGCTCAGGCGTATAAGTCACTAGTCCGGCCTAATTTAGAATATGCCAGTTCGGCATGGGATCCATTCCATACCGACAAAAATATATTGATATGTTGGAACAGGTACAGAGAAGAGCAGCCATGTTTGTGACCAAATGTCACTCAAGGAAACCAGGCTGCGTCACCAAAGCTCTTCAAGACCTACAGTGGGAGCCACTGAAGGAGCGTCGAGAGGCTGCTAGAGTTTTCCTTTTTTACAAAGGAAAGCAGAATTTAGCAGCCATCGACGTGCCTCCATACTTCCGCCAACAGATAAATACCAACACTAGGTTGTATCATCCTTCTAAGTTCATACAACCATCAACTAGAATGGATATATACAAATTTAGCTATTTCCCTAGGACAATAGCTAAATGGAACACTCTACCTGGTGACATCTTAGACTGTGACAGTCTAAGTAGTTTTAAATCATCATACTATGCCTATGTCAATAACTGCAATTAAATAGGTGTGTTTTTAATATAGATCTATGTTTTAAGGTCCCCAGTGCACAGCAACAAGCCTGCACTACTGGTAAGGAGGGGAGATGTCAATGCTGTAGCCTGACAGTCGCCCCAGGGTATTTCAACATGAAGGGACCTCCTAAGGGGGTACAGGGGCCAACCAGGAAGGTTCCTTTCAATTTTAAAATTCATTGCAAACCATGGATCTATTTTTAAATGTTAAGGTTTTAAATTATATTCTATTCAAATTCTATCGCTGTTAAATCATATATCTGCTTAATATGGGCTTATTAGCCTTTTGTAGATTATTGACATAGATATAGCAGCAACTAATGTGTCTGATTTAAGAAGTGAAATGATCTTCAACATGACTTTCTTTATTTGCTTAATTAACAGTTTAACCCAATTAACCATTTGAAGAATCTGGAGACTCAGCTGCAATTTAAGTTTTAGTTGCATCTTTTACACCTGTAAAAACAAAACATTGTACTCTAAATGTCAAGTTGAGATTGTTAATTACCTTATAAATTTAATGGAGTCAAGCCAAGCATATATTTCTTTATCTATTATTTAGGCATAATGGCATACAGCAGCATTCTGATATTAATGGTAGCATTATAAAATGAGTATTACTATAAGAATTTAGATATTAAACAAATTAGGTCACTACACACATTTTAATAACTTAATATTTGATCTGATGAATGGCAGGTGTTTTAACCAATTTCAATATATAGCTATATGATAAAAGAATGCACCAGAACCAGGATGTTAAAAGTGTTAAAACTTGACGTTACAATGGAGAATATACACTGTACAAGTACAATACTGAGGAGAATATTTCCAGGAATATTAGTAATGATTTTTGTGATTACTTTCTACAAGATCTTCAACGATCAACAAATAATAACACCCAAATGTAGTTTTGATTATCTGAGAGGCTACTTTGCAAAGACTGGGAAATATCACTCGAAAGGGAAATGGTCAGAGAATGCTTGGCAACCTGATGGTTGTATTTTACCCAAATCAGATAAGTCTGACCAAATGAGGTTCATTGAAAGAAACAAATTGACCAGTATTTTAGTTCTAGGTGACTCGACAGCATATCGCTATCATGATGCTATTCAGATACAGCTTGATGGAATCTATGGACGCAGAAATTGTAAAGCTGAAAAATTGGAGGGCTTAACTGATGCAAAACCATTTCTTCCAGATCGGGAGTATTTCGCTGAAATTCCTGATGTAGTGACACGAGAGCGCGGCTGTGGAGGTTGTCATTCAATTACATATAGTTGTAATACATCAAGGGCATCCCCCAAAATTACAACCGAATTCCTTTCAATGGACTACTTCATGGATACGTCAGTTACAACACGTAGGGAAACAAGAACCAAGACTTGTAAACCAAACTTAACACAGTTTGAATCATGGGGTGTTGGCTGTGGATCATCCCTAACAACTCAGGAGTTCATATTTAATGAGTACCTTGCGACAAAAACATCCTCCCAGTACCCTCAACTCATCATCCTTGTTGCAAACTTCCATGACATTAAAAGGCACAATGTGAATAGCTTTAAGCGAACACTGACATGGTTTATGGATATAGTAAACCAAAGTACAAAAGAACATCCTGACACGAAGATCATATGGTTTCAGCCAACTTATATTCTCCAAACAAATCAACCAATCGAATATCACAACATGATATCGCAAACAAGAAACTCTGAACTCTATGAAAATGTGAAAGAAGTACTGACAAAATATTTTGATGATAATTCTGGAAGATTTGTACCATTTTATAGTTTAGAAGATATAAGTCATGGTGTTCCAGATTTAAATGTTGATGGTATACATTACAAGAAAGACTTTTTCATTAGGATCATACAACTTTTCTTCGATACATTGGTATCATGACAAAAAATGTGACAATGCCTAATAATATTTCAAAGCCTAGTCTAGTGATTTAAAAAAAAAATTTTAATCATTTTATTTATTGATTTGAAATTTCTTGAGTTGTCTTTAATATGAAGAAGATTGGTTGATGTAAAAAAAGATCAAATTGGGATAAATCTATCCTTAACAAGAGCTTGATGTCATTTTCACTCTATTCGAATGGGAGGTGATTTTTTGATGTTGCCTTTATCCAATCACACTGACACGTCATTTTCTGGCTATATAAAGAACTTATTTTCTTCCACAATGAAAGTCATAAAAGGCCATAAAAGCTAAATTTAATATAAGATCTTATCAAAATTAGTAAAATCATTTACAAGAGTCAGAGGGCAGTGTAGTTAGCCAATGAATACTCAAGGTGGGATGATGTCATATACTGATATGGAAAACTTCACTTTACAATGGTTTCATTTTACTTTAAAGATTCTTCAACAGTCCGAGGGCAGTGTAGTTAGCTAGCAAATAATCAGGCTGCAGGGATGATGACATATATTAATATTGAAAAACTTCATCTTTCATTGTTTTGAATATTTTAAGAGATTCTTCAACACTCTTAAAGTTAAAGATACTTTTTAATCCTTTTGATCTAGCCTTACCCAATAACGCAGATGCGAGTAGGTAGTTACCAGATTCACCACCAGATGGCTCGTTCGGGTGAGATAGCATGGCGGGTATAGTAGAAAGTTCCCTTTAACTTAAATTAGATCTATTTGCGTGGTTCAATTTTCATATAACCCTTATGTATCTAATAGTTATGCAAATTAAAATATGTCCAGTAAAAGAAAATGTTATTTGTCCAATACAAGATAAGATAATTTACTTTTTGTGATTTTGTAACATGGGGTCTATGGGGAATCAACCCGTACAAGAAGTCACATTTTCAAAAAAATTAAATTTTCAAAGTTAATAGTCAAGTTTCGAAACTATATTTCTAGATGTACTTTTACATGCAGATTTCAAATATGACATCACTTTGACTGAATTTTGAATGACGTAAATCAAGATTATTTCTACTCGCATCTAGTCTATTAGAATATGGTCACAAAAATCTAGCTCCCAATCAAAATAGCATTCACTGAATATTATGTGTTAATAAGAACTTGGCATTTATCTTGTATTGAAACTCTCATTAAGGCCATGGAAGCTCCTATCTGCATCGAATCATATATTTATTTCAACTATTTCTCTGTAGGGTATTGCCAAACGTATACACCACAATAATATGACATCTATAAAATGGAGAGGATCTAAATTAAATTGTATTTCATGAAAATTGAATCTTGGTTATATAAACATGGATATCTGATTTAAGCATTACTGATGCAGATGGTTTATTTCATGATTTTAATCAATTCTCAGTATTCTGATTGGTTAATTAATTAATATTAATGTATTCTGATTGGTTAATTAATACATTTCCACTAGTGAACAACAATCTGATTGGTTAAGCTTTCCGTTGGTGTTTAATTGCAAAATTAACAAGTCACAAGACCATTCTTTTTTAGATTTTCCTACTTACATGGGCCTGTTGGTTTGCGTCTGCCTCCTATAGGACTACTTGATGCACTGCGTTTTCGTGTTTTGCCAGCTGTGGTTAATCTGCTTGTTGGTCTTGCTCTGGGGCCTAAAACACATTTACATAAAAATTTGTAGATGTGAAAAAAGAGATAAATGCAAACTTTCAAATTGGTGGTTGTTTTGTTTGTTAAGGTGATGTAATGCAATGCAATTAATCTGGAATAAATATCATACATAATAGATTATTATAAAATGTTGTATATTTGAAATGTAGATTCTTTTGGTGAAAAAAATAAAGAGAAAAAACAGTTTTATTGATCTGAGTCACACTAGGAGTAAATAAATGTCATGTTTCGTGTTAAGTCATCAAATTGGTGTTATGTTATACAGTCTAACACAAAGCCACAAAAATAAGATGGCACTAAATTCTGTTGTACATTGAGCCAATTCACATTTTTGAGAACTGTGCCTTAGACTGTATTGTAAAAACACATTGAAGAATATCTTAACAACCAGGTACAAAGCAATCAATCTAATTAAGGGAAATAATAAAGCTAGCAGACTGGAAATTTCTGAGGGAGGATCTTGTGACCCTTTCTTATCAAATATCATAAAATACTTCATATTGATTCAATAAAGAGAACAAGAGGATTAAGTCAATATTTCCAACAAGATTTTATATCCCAATAACTTGTAATAAGTGGAGAACTCCACTTTATATGAGTTACTTGACAAAAGGCAATTTATGACCGTGTGGGCATTGACTGTTGACTTCTGTCATGAATAGAAACAAACCAACAAACCAACAAACCATGACCCCTTATTTATTTGTTAAGTAGGATTCTTTCAAAGTAACAAGTGACAAGACTTTCTACTCAAAATGAAAAAGAAAGATCATAAAATATCGAAAGACCATGGAAGTTTTGAGATAATCAGGGATGCATCTGTGCATTTCTGAAACATTCTTAAAAATATTATCAAAGTTGGTAAAGTGGCATATTTTTTTCCAAAATTGTATTTTTTACAAAAACAGCATCCATTTGGAATTGAGCAGTCATTGAGTTCTTGTGCTACAGATGGTTTTTCTTAATCCCCACAACTTTACTCTTAGGGGTAATACATTTAATAAGGCTTTGTGAAGCAGGGACTTTATGCACCAACAGATTATGAAGTGGGAGTGTCAGTGGCAAGTGTTTTCCAACTTTACTGAACAACAATTTTACTACTCAATATATTACAGCAATTAGATTGAAAGAAATTGCAGACCATAGTCGCAGTTAAGTTGCAGACAATGGTTGCAATTAAGTTGCAGACCATAGTCCCAGTTCAGTTGCAGACCATAGTTGCAATTAAGTTGGTTAAAACTAAGTAGCAGATCATAGTTGCAATTAAGTTGGTTAAAACTAAGTTGCAGACCTTAGTTGCAAATTGGTTAATCAATTAAGTTGCAGACCATAGTTGCAATTAAGTTTCAGACCATGGTTGCAATTAAGTTGCAGACCATAGTTGCAATTAAGTTGCAGACCATAATTGCAATTAAGTTGGAGACCATAGTTGCAATTAAGTTGCAGACCATAGTTGCAATTAAGTTGAAGACCATAGTTGCAATTAAGTTGCAGACCATAGTTGCAATTAAGTTGCAGACCATCATTGCAATTAAGTTGAAGACCATAGTTGCAATTAAGTTGCAGACCATAATTGCGATTAAGTTGAAGACCATAATTGCAAATAAATTGGAGACCATAGTTGCAATTAAGTTGCAGACCATAGTTGCAATTAAGTTGCAGACCATAGTTGCAATTAAGTTGCAGACCATAATTGCAATTAAGTTGGAGACCATAGTTGCAATTAAGTTGCAGACCATAATTGCAATTAAGTTGGAGACCATAGTTGCAATTAAGTTGCAGACCATAATTGCAATTAAGTTGGAGACCATAGTTGCAATTAAGTTGCAGACCATAATTGCAATTAAGTTGCAGACCATAATTGCAATTAAGTTGGAGACCATAGTTGCAATTAAGTTGGAGACCATAGTTGCAATTAAGTTGCAGACCATTGTTGAAATTAAGTTGGAGACCATAGTTGCAATTAAGTTGCAGACCATAGTTGCAATTAAGTTGCAGACCTTAGTTGCAGACCTTAGTTGCAATCAAGTTACAGACCATAGTTGCAATTAAGTTGCAGACCATAATTGCAATTAAGTTGGAGACCATAGTTGCAATTAAGTTGCAGACCATAGTTGCAATTAAGTTGCAGACCATAGTTGCAATTAAGTTGGAGACCATAGTTGCAATTAAGTTGCAGACCATAGTTGCAATTAAGTTGGAGACCATAGTTGCAATTAAGTTGCAGACCATAGTTGCAATTAAGTTGCAGACCATAGTTGCAATTAAGTTGCAGACCTTAGTTGCAATTAAGTTGCAGACCATAGTTGCAATTACGTTGCAGACCATAGTTTCAATTAAGTTAAAGACCATAGTTGCAATAAAGTTGCAGACCATAATTGCAATTAAGTTGGAGACCATAGTTGCAATTAAGTTGCAGACCATAGTTGCAATTACGTTGCAGACCATAGTTTCAATTAAGTTGGAGACCATAGTTGCAATTAAGTTGCAGACCATAGTTGCAATTAAGTTGGAGACCATAGTTGCAATTAAGTTGCAGACCATAGTTGCAATTACGTTGCAGACCATAATTGCAATTAAGTTAAAGACCATAGTTGCAATTAAGTTGCAGACCATAATTGCAATTAAGTTGGAGACCATAGTTGCAATTAAGTTGCAGACCATAATTGCAATTAAGTTGCAGACCATAGTTGCAATTAAGTTGGAGACCATAGTTGCAATTAAGTTGCAGACCATAGTTGCAATTAAGTTGCAGACGATAGTTGCAATTAAGTTGCAGACCATAGTTGTAATTAAGTTGGAGACCATAGTTGCAATTAAGTTGCAGACCATAGTTTCAATTAAGTTAAAGACCATAGTTGCAATTAAGTTGCAGACCATAGTTGCAATTAAGTTGCAGACCACAGTTGCAATTAAGTTGCAGACCATAGTTGCAATTAAGTTGCAGACCATGAGATGACTCTGAATTGAGTTGATTAAGGATCAATATGACTCATTCTGATTTATCTTGAGGTTAATACGACCTGAAAGCATTATGATCGTTTCAATCAGAAGGCCACAATAACACATTCATAAAAAATCAACAACAATAATACAATTCTGAATTACATAAGAAATAGTAATGTCATTGAAACGTGAGGCCATTCATAGGCTATCAAATACCATGCTGCATTAATAGAAATCAGATCAAATGTAACAACTGAATAAAATAACGAGAAGAATACGCAGAAGTAGAGAACATGAAAAACTAATCAGAGAGCAGTTATGGATAAACAAAAATATGCCTAACAGGAAAGGAATTAAAACGTGGCCATTTATTATTGGGAAACTAATGGAACTGTCAAATAAATATAACACTTATCCGTGTTCTGTAAAACTAATCCCAATATAATTGCTTGAGAGTGACAACTTGGAGTTTGCCAGTTAAAGAATGCAAATGTTGTTCTGTAAATCAATTGCTGTTATATCTCATTAAAGAATCAGTATTTTCATGTGTTAAAATAACCTTCAAAATCATTGATACTCAATATATGGCAGTGTTGTTTTATTAGATACGGGGCATATGCAGGTGGCAAATAAATATATCCTCCCAAGTAACTTATAGGTATATTGTTCTTTAAAGAATCAAAGCAAACAATCAAAAAACTGATTTATCTAATATTCAGAAGTTAGATTTTATCATGTGTAATTATATTTTCATTATTGATGTAACTCTATTTATACGGATTTTTAATATGACAACATAACAGAAACAAAAACAAAAATCTGATCAAACTTAGAGAAAATTATTTTGCATCATTTTTAAACCAAAAAAAAGTGTAACTTTTCAAAAAGGGCCCAAAATATCAGAAAATGGGTTAAGAGATATGAAAGCGTTTAAATAGCAGGTCATAATGCACTATGACATCTCCACAGACAGGTATTAATATGAAAATAAATGACACAGAAAAGTTGACAAGATCATATAAGAAATCATTGATATTTCATCTTACAAAAACAAATTATTCCAAAAATGAGAAAATAGCTCAATCCCAATACATTTATTTATATACTCATACATGAATTACATGTATTTACAATTATAACAGAATTATAACATACAAGGGTTTCTGATTATACAAAAATGCCATTATAGTACTGCATAGGGAACATCAATTAGATTTGACAATATTGCAAATGCTCCAAAGCACATTGCTTAGATTTCACCAATATCCTGCATTCCAAAATCATACCTAGATGTGGGAGTGATGAATGTCATGAGAAAATGAAAAGGGATTTTGATTAATTAAAGTATTTGGCTAGCCACTGAGCAATCTATATACAATCGGGAATACATTCCTTTTGAAGCGATCATGATCAACGTGATGTGATTGGCGTTTGTATGACATTTGATGTCACAAAACACGACGACTTACATCATCATTATAAAGGAATAATCATGATACTTAGTCCTGATCATGGCAATTAGTCCTGTTAGCCTTAAAGCATTATAACATAACATGTATTACATGGAAAATTTCACCAACTGACATTTGTTACAAACACTGAACTCCAAACACCAAACACCAACTGCTGAACTCCAAACACCAACTGCTGAACTCCAAAACTTGTCCACAAAAAAAGTTTGAGACTATAACAATATGACAGCACCACAAGTTGAGAATTCTAAACATAATGGTGTGATGAACTCATTCAATGAAATTAGAAAATGTTTAAAGGTGTCATTTGCCAATGTGACATTAACACACAACCCTGAGAAAACACAACACATGAGAAAAATAATCAGACTCTGAAAATATCATTTACCTATATTTCCAATTAAATATCATTGAATAAAAACATTATTTAATACTTTGTATTACCTCGAATCATTGAATAACTTCAAATTAAGTGATCTTTAAAAAATTAATTCTAATATTCTCATATCACCGTGATTAAAGAACCCCAAACACTTCATCCCCTGTCATACATTTAAATATTCAAAAACTTAAATTGGCTCATATTTGACATGCACATATTGCACATTGATATTGCACATCCCACTGTACATCTCTCTTCAATATTTAGCCTAATTTTCTGACCTCTTAGAAGCCTTGCTCTGTGGACAATGGACATCCAAAGACAAATCAGACAAACACAAGGCAAGCAGATGGATGTTATTTCTGTGATTAACTCAATTATGCAATCAGTTCAGAAAGGCTCTATTAATGACCCCATGACAATTGATTTAAGGTGGGCCAAGATGAATAGACTAGATGCGAGTAAAAATAATCTTGATTTACGTCATTAAATATTCAAAATTCAGTCAAAGTAAGTGATGTCATATTTGAAATATGGTTTCAAAAATTGTTTATCAACTAATGAAAATTTAATTTTTTTTGAAAATGTGACTCCTAGTTTGGGGAGATTCCCCATAGACCCCATGTTATAAAATCACAAAAAGTGATATATTTCTTCTTGTATTGGACAGGTAAGATTTTCTTTTACTGGAGATATTTTAATTTGCATTACTATTACATATACATAAGCATGCTCTGAAAATTGAACAACTAAAACAGATAAATATTTAAGTTAAAGGGAACTTTCTACTTTACCCGCCATGCTATCTGACCCGAACGAGCCACCTGGTGGTGAAACTGGTAACTACCTACTATCATCTGAGTTATCAATACTGCTAATAATGTAGAGCTTTCACATGTAAGCTTGCATACTAATCAGCAAAGAGGTCAAAAAGTTCTCCAGAATTACAAGGGATAGATTGTAAAATATTTCATAAATATATCAAGTCGTGACACTGTTTCCATTGCAACTCTAATTTTACTTTCTTAAAAAGAATTGCATCTGATTAAATAAAGCCTTGAAGTTATTGAAGATATAAGATGCAGAAATGCTATAATCAAGCTTTAAAAGGATCATACATGTTAAACATAACTTGAAGTCTTCAGACTGGCCTTTCCTAGGCCTATTGAAAATTCAATAATACGATTTCTACTTGAAATGACCTTGACATTCAGGATCTAGATTAGGCAGCCAGATGAATTAGTCAACGTGGCACATCGTGGGTCCTTTCAGCTGAATTCAATATTTTCTAAATACTGAACAATCTCCTTTGAAAAACACTAAAAACCTCATGCATCATATGTTTTACATTTATGTCAATGTGTAACATCTCTTTTGTATGTTTTCCATGTTTTTTTATGCGACAGACAAAACACTTTTGAAGTCTGACAAAAGGGAGTCTGATAAGTCAGTATTAATCAAGAATCAGAAGAGAATTATGCAAATGCTGAATTTGCATTAAATAATCGCATCAGCTTAGTCTGCAATTACAGAGATCAATGAATGGGGATTTCAGATGAAAAAAAGTTGACGACAGAACAGGGATTCGGTAAACATGATTACAAAGTCAAATGGACAAACACCCGTTATTGTTTCAATGAGCAATTCATATTTATTCATGTTTCTATAGAACTTATTATTTGATTAGCTTCATATTTCTGACTTGATTTTGAATCAAAGAAATAATATTATATTATGTTGTTATATCTTAACAATAATATAATAAATATAGGATACCCTATGATTTTTGAGGGATATCATTTTATCCATGAGTGGATATCACCCATATCCACAAGTGAGCGCAGCCAATGAGTGGAGATGGGCAATATCCATGAGTGGATAAAAATAATAGCCTTTTGGGACAATGGCCATCACATTTAGTTTTTCACCTTGGTTATTAGAAATCAATTCAATTCTAGTTTTTTTCATTGTGTTCAGGTCCTAAACCGAATAAAGTGATTGCATTGAGAACATTTAAATCATTTTAATGAGCAATGTTTGGAACTATATTATGGAAGTTCAATTAGCCAAGGCTGCTATTTGTCAAACAATTTTCATCAAAACTAAAGAAATAAAAATAGTATATGTCAGATACAATTGGATATCACTTCATATCCGTCAGAACGATTTTAGTGGCGCATACCGAAATTATCTTGTGTCATTATCCCCGTATATATTAAGTATCCATTTGATAAAAGATGATATAGAATAATCAGCATCCTAAGATCGGTTATGCGGAATAGGAAAAAATTCTGGTTAAGTCTTAATTGAAATGACCAAAGTTTATTGACACAATCATAGATCAAAAATACCACCTACCACATAATAGTAAAACATAATAAATCTACACACACCGAAGTCTAAAAAAATTGTAATTTCCTGAGGTCAAATGTACAAAGTAGGATTACAACGTTCTAGTTCTGTTCATTAAACAGAACCAGAAAACGAATAAGTAGGCGTTTACTGGGATCTACAAATCAACTCAGAGAATTAGAAATCCTATTCATCAAAATGTTAGATCAGTTTCGGATTACTCAGTCAATTTCTGATTAGCAATGGGATTGTGATCGCGATAGAACAGAGAAAATATAAGACATTACTGTATCTCAGGGGCTACTAGATAATAGGCTAAATAGCAATATTTTAGAATCCATTAATATATACAATTTTTTCTAATTCTAATGAGACTTTAACAAAGCATGCCTCTACTCAATATATGTCATATATGTTTTATCTACACACACTAAGTAACAGTGGATGTGGGTAACCACAGTGTTACAAAACACATGCTTGATGTCTTACAAAAAACTCTAATGACATAATATCCTGACAACTTACAGAATGAGGTCCATGGTCATATTGACTGTGATTTAGAGAGCATGAAAAGAGCCATAATTGTATTTCATTATGACGTTTAGCATTATTTATAACTCTTTGTCAAAAGCAGTAAAATAAATGTCATAGTAGAACAGTAAATAATGCAAAGAAACAATAAGAGTTCTCCTCAAGTAGCAATTATGACGACTACAATGGAATGAAGCATTAATTAACAAGGTATGCTACTAGCAATATAATCCATTTAGATAAAGCATTTTAAACACCCACCACAGATCAAATAATAATTCCAATTCTGAACATTTCAGTAATAACTGATCAATAGATTCAGCGCAGAAGTTGCCAGCACTCTTGCAAGACTTAATTTGACACTAAAGGCACTCAGATTCAAGCCGTCACGTTTAGATCAGCTGGACTCGTAATATTTCAGGTGGCGAAAAAAAGGTTTTGTCATTCGGGAATTCTTTGAAGATATATGAAAGAAAAGATCAAGTGGGACAATTAAAGGATAGGATTGCAGGCAATATTGGACGGAACTTTGGGGAAATGAGGTGTCAGAGAAATTAATTAATTTCTCACTTAGAAAAGAAGATTAGCAAGAAAGGGTATTTAACTTTATCAAAACAGAATATCTCGATTTGGAATAAAACAGAATACGAAAATTCTTGTCTCTATAGTTTGATACATAAGATTGCCGTAACAGAAAAGTGCGTTGAAACATTTGCTAGGACTTTATTGCATGAAACAATGGGGTTTGAACAATTAAAGAAATGCATGTGTACAAACTTTGTCGCAGAGTTGATCTTCTTTCTCTATAAAATGGCGCAGAGTATGCTAGAACCAACGGCCCGCTTATTTATCTATGAGACCACATGTAAACAAGGATTTACTGATACAGTTAATAAAACTGTTTGTGGCCATTTAAAAGAATTTCCGGAATATGAAAACATGGTTCAGGAACTTTCCGCGGAGTATCTTATGGCCTACAAGGTACTGTTGAATGTCCCTGTGATTATTCTTTCGTTATTCTGTGGTGCCTGGAGCGATAAAGTTGGACGTAAATTACCCATCATGCTACCGTGTCTAGGTAATATTTTCTCTGTATTGTTATACATGCTAGGATCTGCGCCCCGCATGCCAACAATGGTGCTGATTATGATTGGTTCTGGCCTGAGTGGAATTTTTGGGAAAAGTGCTGTCATCACAATGGCACTCCATAGCTACGTGGCTGATGTCACAGATAAAGCAAACCGTACACGACGACTCGGAAAACTTCTTGGTATGAACTTTTTTGGTTACTGTTGCGGATCACTCCTTGCTGGAGCATTGTTAGAGGTGGTTAACTTCAATGTTATATTCACCATTGTAACACTGATCAACGGGATAGCAGTAATGGTCACCCTTTGCTGCATGGAGGAGAGTGTTCAAAACCCTCAAACTGCATTCCCTTCAGGTGATCAGAAACCAACTTTCCTGTTTAAACTCACCAACATGCGAGACTCTTTGCTCGTTGTATTTAAACGCCGTGAAAATAATGCACGCTGCTATATCTGCATGTTGTTTTTCATCATTGTGGCACATCAGACATGTAAGTCTGGAGAACAAGATATTTCAATGCTGTATGTCAAGAGATCACCATTGGACTGGCCTAGATCCTGGTATGGCTACCTGCTTGCAATTGAATATGCTGCGTCTGGCCTCGCCCAGTTCTTCATGCTTCCTATATTGACCAATGTCCTTAAGCTGAAAGATTCTACCATCATCATGACAGGAATTACATTCAAATTCACCCGCTTGATGATGATATCATTTGCTGATAAATCCTGGATGGTGTACCTTTCGATGGTTATAGGTGGCCCCACTAGTCTGATCGTCGCAGGCGTAAAGTCTATTCTTAGTAAAACTGTTCACGAAGATGAAATTGGAAAAACATTTTCGTTACTTTCATGTGGTGAAACTCTTTCGAATTTATTTGGTTCGATAATTATCAACAACATCTATGTAGCCACTGTGAACATCTATCCCGGTTTTGCATTCCTATTAGATGCTGCTTTCTATTTTATTCTTTTCATCATCATGCTCTTGCTTGCGAGAGATATGGACATAAATGCGCAGTATGGCTTGCTGAAGGAATTCTCACCTAGCTGTAAATCGGAAAGTCCTGATGAAAATATAGATAGATCGAGTGTGAGCAGTACGCCAAAATATGACGACGGTCCAGGAGCTATTGAGCCAATTCAGCCCATAAATGAGAATATTGGAGCTGATGAAACAATGCACCTCCAAAGAGGTGTTATTGATAAAAGGGACAAGATGTTTTATGATTCCGTAAGTAAAAGAGACTGATTCTATTGAAAGAACAGACTATAACAGTCATATGATATTCCAACTCTGAGCTATAGTCTCGCTATCAAAAGATAATGAATCAGATGCAATGATTCTACTTACAAATATTAGAAGTACAGTACTCATTTACTGAAAATAATTAATACAATTAATTTACTCAAATCATGTATCATCTATAACTTAATTTGGATTGGGGAACACTACAATTTCATTAATTGAAAATCTATCTACTTGAAAAATCACAATATCTACAGTACAGTCTGAGCCTGATTGCCAATTTACTTTATGCCAAAATTAAACAGTGTTTTGTGTACACAGAATCGTTGTATTAGACCTTTCCGTTCATGACTTGTGTTCAAAGTTGCATTGAGATAAGTTAAATGAGTAATGAATGAGACAAATCCTCTTATTTTGAAATAAGGGAGTTATTTCATCATTGAGTCATCTATTCTTTCAACTATGACAACATTACAAGATTGCAAAGGGTTTAGGATTGAACATAAACATTCTTATTATTGCTCTCCGTCAAAGTTAAACACATAGTGTATCCTACCAAAATATGACGTAACATTCTGTCGCATTCAGAGAAACAATAAATAATGCTTGATAAATATACTTTAGACCAATCAATACTGTGCAATGGTCCAATTAGGCATAAAGCAGCAGAAATAAGTATACACTGACATTATATTCAAAACTTTACGCTATTCCTATAACATATACATAATAAACATAAATATAGTTTCACACTCAGCAAAATCTTACAATTATTGTTCAGTTTTTATATAGTTAGCTCTGGGGAGTAAATCAGCTGACCATTATTTATTTTACAGTATTTTACACCCCAGCCACATTTCCTACAGCCGCCGTGCGGTCTATCATTTCTGCGGTCAGTAGCTTTTTTACGCTCGCCGTAGAATTTCTACGCTCTCATACTTTTGCAGTCACATTTCCCACGGCAGCCGCACAGCTAATTTTAAATTTCTGTTGATAAATAATGCTTATTTTCATTTTATTCACATCGGGACAATTTATAAAAGTTATTCTATCGTGCTAGGATGTAATATCAAATTAAAAGTGTTCATGAAACATTGAGAAATAATGATTTAATCTTGATGAGCCAGTTGATTTCTACGGGCACCGCAGAAATGAACAAATATTATCACTCCGAGTTATAATTTCTATGGCGACCCTGCGGCCTGTAAAAAACTGGATACGCCGTACGGAGACCACAAGGCGAGCGTAGTTTTCCTACGCTTGCCGCAGAAATACACTGATTTAATTGATCTGCGGTCGACGTATGGCCGCCGTACGACAAATGTGACTGGGCTGTTATTCATTAATCTGATTAGATTTAGCTTAATCTAACAGGTATTGAATGCATCAATCGTTTAATCCTACAATACATGATTCCATCCCAATCATATGTATTTATGCATCTTTTAAATTGAAATATGTGTAACGTTTAGCCTCTATGCATATAAATATATGATTGGATAAAGATGAGACTTGGGTCATTTCCACCCGAGCCTATATAAAAGATCTTAGAACTTATTTATCTCATGGGTGCACCACCAGATGAGTTCTTAAAGAATGCTTACTCAATTATGTCATTATTTCCATGGTTACAACAATGGATTTAAGAATTCTGGCAGCAAAGAATGTTGGTGAATGCACCCTGGGTAATTGCATGGGTTCTTTGAAGGCTGGTCCGCTGGTTGCTTTTGATAGAGACCAGCTGATTTTTTCACTAGGAATAGGAAATTTTAAATTACAACTGATCTATTATGCCATTTTGATGAGCTCACTCTCAGATCCTCAGCTTGGGCCTCTATTGAGTCTATTTGCCAAACCTTTGACCACCATTGAGTCTATTTGTACACCTGACCCCATTGGGTCTATTTGCTACACCTGACACCATTGAGTCTACTTGTTACACCTGACACCATTGAGTCTATTTGCCACACCTGACACCATTGAGTCTATTTGCCACATCTGACACAATAAACTAGATGCGAGTAGAAAAAATCTTGATTTACGTCATTAACTATTCAAAATTCAGTCAAAGTGATGTCATATTTGAAATCTACATGTAAAAGTACGTCTAGAAATATGGTTTCGAAAATTGTTGATCAACTTTGAAAATTAATTTTTTTTTGAAAATGTGACTTCTAGCTCGGGTTGATTCCCCATAGACCCCATGTTACAAAATCACAAAAAGTGAAATATCTTTTCTTGTATTGAACAGATAACATTTTCTTTTACTGGACATATTTTGATTTACATAACAATTAGATACAGAAGGGTTATATGAAAATTGAACCACTAAAACAGATGTAATTTAAGTTAAAGGGAACATTCTACTATACCCGCCATGCTATCTGACCCGAACGAGCCACCTGGTGGTGAAACTGGTAACTACTTACTCGCATCTGCGTTATTGAGTCTTTTTGCTACACCTGACACCACTGAGTCTATTTGCTACACCTGACACCATTGAGTCCATTTGCCATACCTGACACAATTGAGTCTATTCGCCATACCTGACACCATTGAGTCTATTTGCCATACCTGACACCATTGAGTCTATTTGCCAAACCTGACACCATTGAGTCTATTTGCCACACCTGACACAATTGAGTATATTTGCCACACCTGACACCATTGACTTTATTTGCCACACCTGACACCATTGTGTTTATATGCCACACCTGACACCATAAAATAATTATCCAAAGCTCACTCACCTTGAGGTTTTCTTCCACTTCTTGGGATGGGTGGTTTTGTAGGTAAAAGCACACTTTTCTTGTATTCTTTATCCTGCAAAAAGAAAGACAACATAAATAAGCAAAATACAAAAATTCAATACAGCCTAACAGAAAACAAGATGCCCACCTAAAATTTAATCAGCTGTAGAACTTGGTAAAATTTGAAGAAAGTCAAATGAGCAGTTTTCCAGAAATGGAGATGACAAGATTTATCCATTTTCTATGATGGCTGCTATGAAACCACTCAAAAAGGTTACACCCAAATCCCAAAATAAACTTTGGTGCCTTCTAATATGTGTACTAATTTCAAGTAAGTCTGGCAATCCACCATCATGACAATTATATCTCATTAGTGGTGTATGCACATGTATTTATTAAAATGTTCAATGAAGGTATCAATCAAGTGATAAATATTGCACATAGTACAGCATACAGCAAAATGGCACATTAAGAATTTAAGAGGATGAAGTCTTCTTGCTACAGCAAACAAAATGTGCATAAATGGCATCCACCCACCCACCTGCTCATGAGCGATAAGGACAAATATAGCATTTTTGAAGTGCAGGAAAAACATTAGACAAGACTAGGTTAAATAAATAAATGTTTAGCAATCCTCTCTCGTTTTCTCACTATTTTAAAACTCATAATAAAAATTATCTCCTCAATCAACAGTGCTAAACGTAGCTAAACGTAGTATTAAATTAAGTATTAATAGGCCACATCTTCAACATCTTGTTTGTTACTCAATTTGAATTTTCTTAGATGATTATTGTTAAATAGATGTCAGATGGAATAGGCAATGGACTGACATCTTGGTTTCTAGGTACATTTGTGTGTGATGAGGTTTTTATTATGAAAATCAAAGAAGTTTGATTGAAGCGCTTTTACAAAACTCTCTGATAGATGGCAAATCACTATACATAGTTTGCAAGAGACTTTAACAGAATAGGTATAAGACAAAAATGTTGAGAAAAAGTTAAGGTGTACTAGATAGAATACCTTTTTATTAGCAGTTTTTCTTTGTTGCCTCAAATCATCCATCTCATCTTCATGTATATTGTCGTAGTCTATCTTAAAGAGCTTCCCAAGCACCTGGAAATTAATTAATGTAATCATAATAAATCTTACCAATTTCCTAAAATCATGCAATAGACTTGTGGACATTTGTTTTTGTGATGGGAAATGGTAAAAATGTTCACATTCACATGAGTAACAAAATCAACAACTGGGAGGATGTTACCGCTAGTGCAAATCAATGATATGAATACACCAAGGAGAAGAGATAGATATATGGCAAAGAATTAACATTGGCATTGTCTTGAAGGATTAAAATGTACTACTAAAAAGACAGACAGACGGATGGACAGACAGACAAGTAAACAATAATAATAGCTCATACTTGTGATCTAAAAAATACTATTACTAACACAACATAAAACAATATATAAAAACATGTCAAGAGCAAGGTCGTAAATGCACATGACGTTTAAAATTTTAAAAGATTTGTATCAGAATTATATAGATTATGTCACAAATTCAGACAACATAATGCAATATTTTTAATTACATGTGATGAGAGTATGATTTAAATCCACATGACATTTAAAATTTTTAAAGATAAAATCAGAATTATATGAATTATTTCCAAAATTCAAAACTAAATATCAACTAGTGGGGAATAACTAGAGCCTCACATATGTGAGCTAAAAAGGTGTTCAGTTGATCACTATGAAGCTTTCGAGCTGTATGCTATATTAGGTGACATTGGCCTCTGACAATAATAGACACACTATCCATACATTATATGATATGCAACTATGTCATGTTTTATGTTGAAGCAAATGGGAAATCAATGATAACCCAATAGGACCTCATAATAGGACCTCTGATAAAACAAAAACCCAATGTCCACTTCCAGGTTTCAAGAGGAGGTTTAAGCATGGACCTGTGAGTGCAGTAGATCTTTACCAACTTATGTGTCATGTACTGGAGCTACAACCATCACCACACAATGGCACATGGAGCAATGTTGATAGCATTTTGAAATAACATCATTACATGTTCATGTAAAGATTTTTAGCCTGCGTGCAGAGTCTAGTTAAACTACACTCTGCCTAGTAGAGACCATATTACAGTTAAGTAGCCCCACCCCCACGCAGGTAATCACTTCTGACCTACGCGCTGACCTTTCTTCTACCAATCAGCGAGTTTGAAGAAACATACGCCAATTGCGTTCAAATTAAATATGTGCATGTCATTGGTCAATTCCGGGCTCAACGATGACGCCAGAAGGCGCGGTGAGTTCACAGGTTTATTTTAGTTTGAAAGAGTGAAGACGAAGCTCTCTTTTAAGAAGTGAAGTCAAACGAATGCAAAGGGTAAAAGATTTTGTACACTTTAATTGGATTATTAAGGGTCATATTAAAACAGCAGTGTTGCATATATTATATGGTTGCAGGATTGAGATGAAATATATACACCTTTATCAAATAATTTATTTTTATATAGGCACATGCTTTTTGCTGCATGTTACATCATAATTCAATACATGCAACCCAGTATCTAAAATTAAATTTGCAGTAATACATGTTGAAGAACAAATGATGTGGGACAGAAAAAAACCAGTCTAAAAGTCCATTTGAGTATCAAAGGGACAATATCCAATGTGCAAAGCTGACACCATTTTTCATAAAGCACAATAATAATCTACAACCGTAATCAGGAGAAAACTATACCAGGTTTTGATTAAGGAATAAATAATGATAGGCCATTCAATATGGTGAAATTCAGCACGAGTTGGACAGAATGTTGTACAAAGCACGAACCGAGTACTGAATTTCACCATATTGAATGGCCTATCATTATTTATTCCGATTCAAACATAAAAATTAGTAAAAGCCGTGTCTGTGGAACGGGCATGAAGGAAGAATACGCATGCTGTCAAGATTCTGAAGTCGGCCTGAAAAATTTTAGAATTTGTTTGGGCTGTTCTATTTTACTCCCCGTTTTAGATTTTATACGGTGTATGCAAACATGGGGTGTTGATAAAATAAAAATAAATAGGGAGTAAAAAAGAACAGCTATCCCCGGACAGAGCCCCAGATGTGCAGCTGAGATGTGACGTCACCCAAAACAATGCAAATTGCAGATTGAATAGAGCATGGTCGTGCATCTATGGAGAATTAGAGAACGTTCTATATTGGCTATGCTGCATTCTGATTGGTTGAGAAATTCGAATAGAGCACGGTCATGTTTGAATCCCTATTTTTCCACCATTAATGCTATACCTTAAAGGTGCAAAGTGAAAAAATTGTGATTATACTGCAAATATTATTTAACTCCAACTTAACATTCTTAAGGATGTCAAGTGGTAAAACTTGAGACAATTAAAAGCTAATAGAATATAATGATTTACATTTCTCAATAAACTGTTATAGAACCATGAATGGTATAATGAATGTGTTATTGTTGATCACATAAAATCATATAATGTCACATTTTCTAGGAAAAGTGGTGAATCTCGGACACATGAACAATACACTAGATGCGAGTAGAAATAATCTTGATTTACGTCATTAAATATTCAAAATTCAGTCAAAGTGATGTCATATTTGAAATCTGCATGTAAAAGTACATCTAGAAATATGGTTTCGAAAATTGATTATCAACTTTGAAAATTTAATTTTTTTTGAAAATGCGACTTCTTGTTCGGGTTGATTCCTCATAGACCCAATGTTACAAAGTCACAAAAAGTGAATTATCTTTTCTTGTATTGAACAGATAACATTTTCTTATACTGGACACATTTTAATTTGCACAACTATTAGATACATAAGGGTTATATGAAAATTGAACAACGCAAATAGATGTAATTTAAGTTAAAGGGAACTTTCTACCATACCCGCCATGCTATCTGACCCGAACGAGCCACCTGGTGGTGAATCTGGTAACTACCTACTCGCATCTGCCTTATTGACCAATGATATTCAAAGATCTGACAAAAAAATGTGAAGTCCAGTTTAGCTTTAGTATTTAAATGGTAAAATATGCCTATCCTTAAGTTTCTGTAAATAATCTTTTATGGCTATACCTTGATGTTATGATACTTTTCTAGACCTTTAAAAAAGTTGCAAGATTTTTTGGCACACCCTGTAGTTATGTCATCGAAATAATTATAGGGTTTATTTAAAATCTAAATATTTTGAGCATGCTCTTCAACATCTAATATTAACTGGAATTTGAAATCTTAATATGCTGGGTTAAAATGACAATTCAATATATCAAGATTGTTTATCACGAAACTTACTATATATGCTGACCTGTCTTACATTGATAATGATTAAAAGTGAAGTCAAGGTGTACCTTTATCAGATCCCTTAGTCTTTTTCTGCTCTAACTCGGCAAATTATATTTTATTTGTTAAGTCTTAGGGTTATCTTAACTACATATACAGCAAGTTGTATTGCATTTAATGGAACATCTCATCAATACCAATCATGAGAAAAGAAACTTTAATTGAATTGCTATATATTTAAACCTATCATTGTTTTCTTAATGGTTGAAAATATTTTCTCTTTTAATATGAGAAAAGGGTACATCTAGGCAACTTTAAAGAAATTAAAGTGATTTTACATAGACTTTTTTTATTTACTCCCTCTTCAAACAATAGAATGTTTCGGATAGCTAAGTTCACAAGTACAATGAACAAAGACGATTATTAGGTAGACCTAAAGGTTCAAGTAGGTAACTTCGAAGAAGTGGAAGTAACTGCATCATACATTCTGGACATTGTATAACATTATTTCGATTCTTATTATTGTAAACTACGTAAAAATATATATCTTAATCAACTAAAAGGAGCTTTGATTAGGTAGGTAATATATGTGTATTGAAACTGGGCTTCAACTGTTAACATTAATGGTTGCTTTTAGAAATGAAGAAGTAAAAGTAACTTTTCATCATACATTCTGGACATTGCATTACATATTTCCAGTTCTTATAATAGTATACAGGATGTTTCATATGTATGCACCCCCTCTAAAATCATATATGTAGCATTGCAACCATATCATGTTATATATAATTTTGTTCCTTTACATAAGATTGCAGAGTTTCAGAATCCAGGGGTGTCCTTAAAAAAATATCCTGTATCAAACTTTGTGGGTACAGGGTAATTTAGGGTCAATTTCTGGTCATTTTGAAGGCAATTTAAAGGGTAAATTTAGTTCCCATATTGCACATTACTAGCAGTTGTCATCATGAAAGAGTTCAGTCCACATGTCTGTGACAGTTATTTGCAATTACATATAGGGACGCCAAGGGCCATGGTACCACACCTTTATCACTAGAAATGGGTAAAGGACAAAGTGAACAGATCACCGGACTGGGCCCCCAAAAATGCATATAAATTACCATGTACCTGCATACTTTGATACATTGTATTTTTCAGGGATGCCTCTTGATTTTGAAACTTTGCAATCTTATGTAACTTTTCATAAGGAACAAAAAGATATGGTGGTAATGCTACATATATGAGTTTAGAGGGGAGAGGGTGCATACATATGAAACAAACTCTACATCCTATGTAAATGTATATTTAAATCAACTAAAAGGAGTGTTTTAATCAGGTAATATCTAATTCTTTCAATGGCATGAAAATATTATCACAAAGTTATACAAACTTCGTGTTAATTAATATTGTGTTCTGAATGTTCAATGATAATTATTGATTAGATAATTAAATGATTGATCAAACTACACAAAGATATATGGTTTATTGTAATTAATAGGACCTAGCACCAAAAGCAGTTGACAATGCTCATGTGAACAAGTATTCACTGAATGGGATAATTTGAGTGGTTACGCTGGTTATTATTATAATTAAGCAGAGGGCTAGTTCATCTTGTTTATTACTTCTTCTTGGAGTAGGGAAAGTTAAACATGATAGTTAAGACCCCCATTTCCCTTTAACACATTTCAATTATGAACATTCCATCTTCCTTTACAGATTAATTCGTGAAAACGCCAAGCATAAAACATGCGGTCATTGGCATGATAGCTGTATTCTTAGGATTTGTGATGTGGGGAATCTACGGTGGATTAGCATCTTTAATAACAGCCACGATCTTTTTCATTGTAATTGATAATGCGACAGCTGCAAGGAATGTTGTTTACAATATAGGCTTGATTGGGATTTTGGTACTGGTGTTTTGTACTTGGGCCTGTTTTCAAAAATATGCTTTTACCTTGCCCCAGAGCATCAATGTGATATATGATCATATAGACTCTAGACTGAAAGGAAAAACTGAACAGTAAGAAGACAGGGATTAGAAGATACTAACTATACTAATAGAATGATATACACAAAGATATATGATCAAAACAACATGAGGCAGAAGTGATGAAAACAGAACCTAAATTAGACTGAAGGCAAAACTGAACAGTAAGATGACAGGGATCAGAAGATACTAACTATACTAATAGAATGATATACACAAAGATATATGATCAAAACAACATGAGGCAGAAGTGATGAAAACAGAACCTAAATTAGACTGAAGGCAAAACTGAACAGTAAGATGACAGGGATCAGAAGATACTTACTATACTAATAGAATGATATAGACAAAGATATATGATCAAAACAACATGAGGCAGAAGTGATGAAAACAGAACCTAAATTAGACTGAAGGCAAAACTGAACAGTAAGATGACAGGGATCAGAAGATACTAACTATACTAATAGAATGATATAGACAAAGATATATGATCAAAACAACATGAGGCAGAAGTGATGAAAACAGAACCTAAAATAGATACTAATAGGATGATATAGACAAAGATATATGATCAAAACAACATGAGGCGGTAGTGATGAAAACAGAACCTAAAAAAGACTGAAGGCAAAAACTGAACAGTAAGATGACAGGGATCAGAAGAAAAAATGAATATGTTAGATAAAATGATAATATCCATGTCTGTCACAGAACATAAAAAACTTCTTCAAGTAAAAATGACAGCTGGAGTAGCTATTTGAAATCCATTCCATAGTCATTCATTCAAGCCAAGCTGATGTTACCTAAACTGCTTTAGTTATAACTAATACTACTCCTTATATTAATGCTACTGTTGATAGTTATGACATGTGTATATTTACAGTAAATAGCATCAACCAAATAAAAGTTCTTAGGTTATTGCAAACAGTGTGAAACAAAATAATTTTTACAGAGGATTAAATGCCAACCGCTATGAAGGACATACTAAAATATCACTTCTTGGGAGGTATTTTACAAATGTGCAAAAATGTCTCCGGTATCTTGTTTAATTTTGATAGATTGAATTTTTATCAATTTAATTCTGTTTGTGGTTAATAGCGATATAAACAGTGCCTATTATGTATGGTAACAGATCGTGGAATTTAGCACACATAACATGACTGAGACACATTACTGGCCAATACTGGGTAAACAAGGTACATGACATAAACAGAATCACTCCACCAAGTAACAAAAAGTGTTAATGAATTATTGAAACTAGTATACTCTAACATGTGTTCAAATCTGGAAAGGCAATCATTAATATTTATCGAAAAACGTCACAATATCTGCCAGAAAACAAGATTGGCACCAAAAGGTTAATTAGCTGAAGAACTTAGTAAGCTGTAACATGTGTACGAATTTGAAGAAAATCTGATGCGCCATTTTCTTGACCAGGGCTCAGAAATGACCTCAAAATTGCCTCTCTTGCTAACCACCTTTGTTTGATTTCCACCATCTTAAGTTTCTGAATACTGTGCATTGATGTGATGTTTTAATCGATGTAAACATATTCCTTACATGAAATCACTACTTATAATATAAGTTAGTATGCCAGAAATTAAGATTATAATATTTGAAACATTTTTACAAAAATTTGAATCTGCCGTTTCATTTTCATTTCATTTAACCAATGAGTGATGATCGTCATCACTAAATAAATTTCCATTCAAGTTATGGTCATCTTTGAACTTAAGGGATTGCCCTCCTCTTGTCTCCAAGGTATCAAAAATTACATTTCTATTGAATATAGCTGCCATTTTGAATGAGTGGTCATGTAGAGGTATACAGGTAGTTTGAAGAAACAATAAGTGCCTTTTACAGGTAAAATACAGGAAATCAGTGTGGTAAATCAAGTGTTAATATACTTTTTATTGCTATATTGTAACTACGAGATAAGTGATTACATGAATCACTACAACTTAAACACAACTGTTAAAAATATTTACACAAATGAATTAAGCTCCATAACTTAAATGTAATAATTCTAGAGTATTTCAATATTCACTAGCAGTATGAAGCTTTCAAGTTGCATATTTTTCGCATTTGTTTTTTTCCAACTAAATTTTGTTTCTGGAAAACCTGCAAAGAAACCAAAACATGCTCTTATTACTATACTTCTGGATGGTTTCCGTAGCGATTATTTGAAAGTTGCTAGTGAGCATGGGGTAACAATGAAAGATCTTAAAGGTTTTAAGCATGTTTTGAAAAATGGAGTAGAAGCAGATTATCTTCAACCAATCTACCCAACATTCTCAATTCCAAATCACTACACCCTCATGACAGGTATGTGAATTTATATCTTATTAATGACTAATGACTAAAGTAAAATGGATAAAGGGAAGAAGCTGTGTGAGGCAAAAAATAGATAACATCATTGCAATATAACATGAGCTTTCTGCAAGTATGTTATTATTACATTTTTATCATAAATAGTAATAATACATCCATTATTAGTCTCTCATGGTAATTGTAGGTCTCTATAGTGAGTCGCATGGCATGGTTGGGAACTATATGTTCGATCCAAAACATGAAACATCCTTTCTGCTTTTAAAAAACCTTGAATCAAGGGAATCGTATTGGTGGAATGGGGGAGACCCATTATGGATCACAGCTCAAAGACAGGTATGATCATTTTAAAGGCCTCAGGAAAAGTTTAAACTAGTTTGGCTTATAGAGTATAGTTTTACCATAATCTTTTAAAAATCAATTTTATTTTCCAATAGAGACTTTTTCGCCCCATTTGAAAAGTTTATTTCAATTCTCAATGAAAATTTGTTCAAAAATTTATTCAAAAAGGATTCACAACTGTAAAAAATTGACAATTCTAAATAAAAAAAAAAACAATACGGTGTCGAACATCAAAGATGATTTCCACCAGTCAATAGCCTTTAAGTATATTTGTGAGAAAAGAAACATAAGAATATGAGCCCAGTATATCTCTGCAAGTTCATCCTTGACTCCAATAAAGCTAAATTAAGATCAATATTGAGAACATCTGAGAAGTCATTTTATAGGGAAAAACTCCAAGCTACTAATGGTAATATCAAAAATACTTGGAATGTTATCAATGAAATACTGAAAAAGAATAGAACAAACACCAAGCCCTAGTTAGATTTTGACCCAGATGGACAAATTATCCATGATCCAAAGGAGATTGCTAATATGTTTAATGATTTCTTTTCAAATGTAGGGAGAAAACTTAATGATAAAATTTTACAAAGTAAGAAATTTTGGTCTGAATATATGAATCAACAACTTAGAAATAACAACAATTTTACCTTTTCAAACATTAATCAAGATGAACTTCTTCAAGAGATGTCAAATTTAAAAGATACCTATTATATTATTATTTATTTACAACAAATCTTTAACTGATGGCTGTTTCCTGACCTTCTTAAGCTTGCAAAAGTTATACCTTTATTTAAGAAGGGTAATAGAAATGTCTTCACGAATTATAGACCTGTATCTATTTTGTCCGTTTTTTCTAAACTTCTTGAAAAACTAGTTCATAAACGTCTTTATCAATTTATCGAAAATAATCAAATCCTTTACTTACAACAATTTGGATTTAGAAAAGACTTCTCTACATATATGGCAATCTTAACTTTTGTTGAAAATATTAGAACAGCCTTAGAAAATGACGAGTATTCAATTGGACTTTTTCTTGATCTTTCAAAAGCGTTTGACACGTTAAATCATGAAATATTGCTTAAAAAATTAGAATTTTATGGGATACGAGATAAGTCCTTCAATTTTTTTAAATCATATTTAGCCAATCGAAAACAAGTAGTCTTTTATAATCGAACCTCATCTGAAGTTAAATCAATATCTCATGGAATACCCCAAGGATCGGTTCTAGGGCCACTCTTATTTATCTTATATATAAATGATATGTATTTGGCATCTCCTACTTTGAAATCAGTTTTATTTGCTGATGATACCAACATTCTTGCGCATAATTCTAATATAGACCAACTTGTCAATAACCTTAATCGAGAACTTTTATCCCTGGATGATTGGTTTAGATCAAATAAACTATCACTCAACTATGATAAAACCAAATACATAATTTTCACAAAGAAGAAAAAGCAAATTAATAAAAATGTGAATATAAAAATTAATAATATCAATATTGAAAGGGTAAAATCAATTAACTTTCTTGGTGTTCAAATTGATGAATATCTTGACTGGAAACAACATATTAAAAATCTTGAAACAAAATTATCTTGTACAATTGGAATTCTATACAAATGCAGATATCTATTAAATGTACCAAGTATGTTGGTAATCTACAACTCATTGATATACTCTTATCTCAACTATTGTATTATAATATGGGGCAGCAATTATAAAACTGCACTTGAAAAATTTTTTAAAATTCAAAAAAGCTTTTTGAGATTGCTTGCTTTCAAAGATAGAAGAGCCCATACAGCTCCACTTTTTAAACAATTCAAAGTTTTGGATATTAACAATATCCACCTTTTTAACGTCGCCCAATTTGTATACAAATAGTACAACCGATTAACAGTGTTTCAACAACTTTTTGGTGACTTTTTCCAAATAAATGTTAACATTCACAATTATCATACTTGCCATTGTCAGGATCTACATGCTTTTGGATATTACACCAAAGTAGGATTTTTTTCTATTAAGATTCAAGGTCAATGGATATGGAACAGTATTGAAAGGCCAATAAGAGAAAGTTCTTCTTTGAATATTTTTAAGATAAGATACAAAAAGTATTTGATAGATAAAATTTCTTTAGATTAGACTCTATATCACCAAATATATCATTCTGGGTCTTAAAGGCATTTAATTACAATTAATCATTTCCAGCAGTATTTGTCCTAATATTATCATCATGCTATCATACTCTACTTCATTTTACTGTCACTCCCCCTGCTCCTACCCAACAATTATTGATGTGCTCTTATTTATACTTATTTATGTATTTGCGCTATTATTATATTCAATTTATGTTTATCAAGCAGTATATACACCTATTTTAGGTGTCCACTGTAAGTAATTTGTATTTTGATTTATTGTTATATGAAGGAAATAAGAAATAAATAAATAAAAAAAAAATCCAAAAATACAACTGTTTTGTTAGGACTGTGTAAATACATCCAAATAACAGATATGAACTGAATTAACATGTTAATCAAATACCTCATTATTTTGACCATTAAATAAGTACAGTAGAAGAGTAGTATTGTTAAGTTTAAACCCATGATGTGATACAATATCAAAAATCCTTCTCGATTAGAGGTTTTATGACCATAAGGCCTAGAAAATCTGGACCAAATCAGATATTGGTGATTGTGTCTTGAAAAATCATTTTTTCCTGAGGAATGATGGTTATTTTGAATTCATCATTTCTTCTTGAGCCCTATGCCAAAAAGGCATTGGCACATGAAATCCTTTCCGAGTTTCCCATCTGATAATAGCCTTTGAAATTTAGACCCATTTTGAATTGATCAGTCAGTTGAAAATTCCTTCATCAGCATATAAAATTTCAACCAAATCTGTCTACTGGTATTTGAGTTATCAAGGATTATATTTTTTGGTGGTGGCCATTTGAAATGAGTGGCCATATTGAAAATGCCTTCTTGATTGAGCACTCGGGTATTTGAGTTATCACCAACACACAAATGAAAGAACAAATGAATGAAAGAAGGAATTGACAGATGGATTATATTTTCTCTATATTCCCAAAGAAGGAACATACTAAACAGTTGGATAAACAGAACATTCTATTGGTAACATTTATTATTTTACAAATATATTAGGGAAAGAGATCAAGTTTGTTTCGCTGGGTAGGATGTGATGTTGAAATCAATGGGCTTAAACCTGAGTATTGTATCCCTTTTCCTACCAACTTTATCCTACCAAGTCACAAAGAGATGAAAGATACTATCAGTGAGGCTGTTCAGCAGATAAAAAATGGTACAGATCATACAGGTAAAGTTCTATAAGTGTCAAATTATGGATAAGATCAATAATATATGGACTGGGTGCTCAGTTCATCATGCAGAATCTTGCACCCAGCAGAAATACATTTTTGAGGATACATCTCAATCACTGAAGTGCACAAACATCAGATTCATTGATCGATTGGTAGGCGTATAAAAAACTGAAACTTATAACCAGTCAACTTTGTTTTACTGTCTGTTCATACATTAGGCTACATGTGTTAGGAAGGGAAGGTCAACCAAAACTAGACAACAGCAACTGAAGGCATAGCAAATTCCACCGAACAGCCATATAATAAAATTTCAACACTCAATTACTTTTTCAGTTTCAGCATGAAATGTAAAATAACACACATAACATATGTATAACATACATAGTATAAAATACAAATAATACTGGGTCAATGCTATTACTATTAGAGTTGTTGCCTGGACAGACGGACTAATGGAGGCATTCATTTCATTGATGGAACAATAACATGTATCCTATCTAAATTGTAGGAATATATATCCAGCTAATAGATAGTATTGGACATATATTTGGCCCAAATTCTACAAACCTTATTAAGGGGATACAACAAGTGGATGAACTTCTCACACTGCTCTTTAAGCAATTAAAACAGCACAAGCTACACAAAACAACTGACATCATGATATTCTCTGATCATGGCTTTACACAGGTATATCCTCATGGTGATAATAAGAAGGTGGTCTCCATTGATTTGGATCATAATCTTACAGTTACAATGTTTCCTGATTTGATGACATCGATTTGGCCGAAACCGGGACACACAATGCAGGTATAATGATAACTTCTGTTTTTAGGTATTGTGTCACAATTCCACCAATTCATGATAAACTACAAAATATCAGAATTTTTTTAAAAATAAGCATGAAAAAATGTATACTGTGAAAATCCGCTAAATCACACTGGACCATAGAAAACAATCATTAAGCAATCCTTCACTGCTATATATATATATACTAACAAAATAAAAAAGTATTAATATTTTAAACTAACTTCAAATTCAGGTTTATCAAATTCTACAAGAGGTCAAGATTAAGCAAGATCATTTTGACATTTACCGGAAGGAAGAAATACCTGAGAGATGGCATTATCAGAATCACCACAGAATCGCACCATTGATTGTCCAAGCCCATAGTGGATGGATACTTGATGTAATTTACAGATTTAAATTTTTTTTTTGACAGATATTAGACTAGAAAATATCTATACAATCTATGATAAATGATATACATGTATATACCTCAAGACAGTCGTTTTTAATGCTTGTTGGTGAGATGCTGGAAATGAAACAAAAATGAAGCAAATCAATTAAAATACTGATGAAATATTCATTTAAAATTGTATCTGTATCCTAACAGTCTACTCCACATCAATTTCAGTTTCTTAACCAATCCTCCTCGTCAACAAAGTTTCAGGGGGCACATGGCTATGTTCCTGAGGAGAAGGAGATGAGAGGAATCTTCTATGCTGTAGGACCAAGTAAAGCTTCTTATTTCGACAGATATTAGATTCCAAAATATCTGAACAATGTATGATGATTTTACATTTAAGCCATTATACAATGAAAAATACCAGAATTTATTCACTTGCAGGTTTCAAGAGGAGGTTTAAGCATGGACCTGTGAGTGCAGTAGATCTCTACCAACTTATGTGTCATGTACTGGAGCTACAACCATCACCACACAATGGCACATGGAGCAATGTTAATAGCATGTTGAGATATAACATCACCACATGCTGTACATAGATTTTGAACAATTTCATGGTTAAAACAGCAGTATTGTAAACATGGCTACAGGATATAGACAAGCTACAACCATCACCACACAATGGCACATGGAGCAATGTTAATAACATGTTGAAGTAACATCATCTCAAAGTACAGAAGAATGATTAATACATATACAGTACATAACATGTATTCAAATCTATTTGGAATATTTATGCTCCATTGTAACATATAGGTGTCAGCACTGAGGAAATTCTTTTTAACATTATAGGACTTTTTTCTATTTGTTGTTCGTAAAATTTTCCAAAGAAAATATGGAAAGCAAAATGTCTCACACACACACTTATTACATACAGTTAACCTGATTTTAATGTATGTTATTCAATAAAATTGACTAACACTTTCACATTTAACATAATCAATTTATAAACAAATATCAATAGTCATATTGTTCATGGTTAACGATCCAAATCATAATGATAATTTCAAAATATAAAATATTATTACTCATTTATTCTAAATTCCACTACCAATCAAATCACTAGTGTGATCACTATGAAGTTTTCAGGTTGCATATTTTTCTCACTTCTTTTGTTTCAACTAAAATTTGCTTTTGGAAAACAAGCAAAGAAACACAAACATGCTCTTATTACTATACTTGTGGATGGGTTCAGAAACGATTATTTGGAATTGGCCAGAAAGAATGGAATAAGGCTAAGAGATCTTAAAGGTTTTAAACATATATTGAAAAATGGAGTAGAGACAGATTATCTTCAACCAGTTTACCCAACAAACTCAATTCCAAATCACTACAGCCTTATGACAGGTATGTGAATTTTTTGTTTTTATACTGTACTTAATTTTGATTGATGGGGCCTTATAATAAAAACAAGTGCAGAGATTTCAGTAGATCATGAGAGATTTCCACTATAAAAGTGACAGCTATTTTGAAGGAATTCTAAAAGCATTGACAGTGATCTTCACCAACAAATGTGTCTAAAACAGTAAGAGCATAAAAGAAAATGATCAAGACTATTTGTCTCATTTATAATCTTGATTTCCTTCTTGACTACGACCTTCTTCATTATTATGTTCTCATTCATGACCTCCAATCGTGATCTCATATGATTACCACTTTAAATGTCTAATATCCTTTAAGGTCTTTATAGTGAGTATTATGTTCTCATTCATGACCTCCAATCGTGATCTCATATGATTACCACTATAAATGTCTAAGATCCATTAAGGTCTTTATAGTGAGTATTATGTTCTCATTCATGACCTCCAATCGTGATCTTATATGATTACCACTTTAAATGTCAAATATCCTTTAGGGTCTCTATAGTGAGTATTATGTTCTCATTCATGACCTCCAACCTTGATCTCATATGATTACCACTTTAAATGTCTAATATCCTTTAAGGTCTCTATAGTGAGTATTATATTCTCATTCATGACCTCCAATCGTGATCTCATATGATTACCACTTTAAATGTCTAATATCCTTTAAGGTCGCTATAGTGAGTATTATGTTCTCATTCATGACCTCAAATCTTGATCTCATATGATTTCCACTTTAAATGTCTAATATCCTTTAAGGTCTCTATAGTGAGTATTATGTTCTCATTCATGACCTCCAATCCTGATCTCATATGATTACCACTTTAAATGTTGAATATCCTTTAAGGTCTCTATAGTGAGTATTATGTTCTCATTCATGACCTCCAATCGTGATCTCATATGATTACCACTTTAAATGTCTAGGATCCTTTAAGGTCTCTATAGTGAGTATTATATTCTCATTCATGACCTCCAATCTTGATCTCATATGATTACCACTTTAAATGTCTAGGATCCTTTAAGGTCTCTATAGTGAGTATTATATTCTCATTCATGACCTCCAATCTTGATCTCATATGATTACCACTTTAAATGTCTAATATCCTTTAAGGTCTCTATAGTGAGTATTATGTTCTCATTCATGACCTCCAACCTTGATCTCATATGATTACCATTTTAAATGTCTAAGATCCTTTAAGGTCTCTATAGTGAGTATTATGTTCTCATTCATTACCTCCAACCTTGATCTCATATGATTACCACTTTAAATGTCTAATATCCTTTAAGGTCTCTATAGTGAGTATTATGTTCTCATTCATGACCTCAATCATGATCTCATATGATTACCACTTTAAATGTCTAATATCCTTTAAGGTCTCTATAGTGAGTATTATATTCTCATTCATGACCTCCAATCCTGATCTTATATGATTACCACTTTAAATGTCTAATATCCTTTAAGGTCTCTATAGTGAGTATTATGTTCTCATTCATGACCTCCAATCGTGAACTCATATGATTACCACTTTAAATGTCTAATATCCTTTAAGGTCTCTATAGTGAGTATTATGTTCTCATTCATGACCTCCAATCGTGATCTCATATGATTACCACTTTAAATGTCTAAGATCCTTTAAGGTCTTTATAGTGAGTATTATGTTCTCATTCATGACCTCCAATTGTGATCTTATATGATTACCACTTTAAATGTCTAATATCCTTTTAGGTCTTTATAGTGAGTATTATGTTCTCATTCATGACCTCCAATCTTGATCTCATATGATTACCACTTTAAATGTCTAATATCCTTTAAGGTCTCTATAGTGAGTATTATGTTCTCATTCATGACCTCCAATCATGATCTCATATGATTACCACTTTAAATGTCTAATATCCTTTAAGGTCTTTATTGTGAGTATTATGTTCTCATTCATGACCTCCAATCATGATCTCATATGATTACCACTTTAAATGTCTAAGATCCTTTAAGGTCTCTATAGTGAGTATTATGTTCTCATTCATGACCTCCAATCTTGATCTCATATGATTACCATTTTAAATGTCTACGATCCTTTAAGGTCTCTATAGTGAGTATTATGTTCTCATTCATGACCTCCAACCTTGATCTCATATGATTACCACTTTAAATGTCTAAGATCCTTTAAGGTCTTTATAGTGAGTATTATGTTCTCATTCATGACCTCCAATCTTGATCTCATATGATTACCATTTTAAATGTCTAAGATCCTTTAAGGTCTCTATAGTGAGTATTATGTTCTCATTCATGACCTCCAACCTTGATCTCATATGATTACCACTTTAAATGTCTAATATCCTTTAAGGTCTCTATAGTGAGTATTATGTTCTCATTCATGACCTCCAATCTTGATCTCATATGATTACCACTTTAAATGTCTAATATCCTTTAAGGTCTCTATAGTGAGTATTATGTTCTCATTCATGACCTCCAACCTTGATCTCATATGATTACCACTTTAAATGTCTAATATCCTTTAAGGTCTCTATAGTGAGTATTATGTTCTCATTCATGACCTCCAACCTTGATCTCATATGATTACCACTTTAAATGTCTAATATCCTTTAAGGTCTCTATAGTGAGTATTATGTTCTCATTCATGACCTCCAATCTTGATCTCATATGATTACTACTTTAAATGTCTAATATCCTTTAAGGTCTCTATAGTGAGTATTATGTTCTCATTCATGACCTCCAATCTTGATCTCATATGATTACCACTTTAAATGTCTAATATCCTTTAAGGTCTTTATAGTGAGTATTATGTTCTCATTCATGACCTCCAACCTTGATCTCATATGATTACCACTTTAAATGTCTAATATTTTTTAAGGTCTCTATAGTGAGTCACATGGTATGGTTGAGAATTGGATGTTTGACCCAATATATGGGACGACCTTTCTCCTAGCAGCTAACCCTGAATCTAAAGAACCTTACTGGTGGGAGGGGGGAGACCCCCTATGGATCACAGCTCAAAGACAAGTACTTTTTATTTATTAACCCTATTATTAGACAGGTACTCAAATCAGTCATTGCTGAATGTTCTATCCCATTCTACAGAGAACTTCATGAAAAAGAACAATGGTAATAATTATGCAAACAATGGATTGTAGAATTTATATTGACAAACACATTACGGAGGTTAAAATGGCATCTAAAATTGAAAGGAAAACTTGTAACTAACGTATCGAGTGCGCATACAATTGCATAAAGTTGTCTCGCTTGAATGAACATTCAGCTTCAGTGTTTATGCTCTGAATGGGAGTGTGAACGGAAATGATTTTTCTCGTGTTTTCTGAATATACTAGTTGTATTTGTTTTAATGCACTTATTCATCACAAAATGTCAAAACATACTATATGTTCTGCATGTACAAGATTTATTCAAAGAAATATATCTCAACTACACCACAGTATGATATTTTAAACAAGCTCATTTGGCAAGATATTTGGAGCTAAAACATACATGACATACATCATCTTCTTTAGAGAGAATTCTACTGTCCAATCAAAATTGCCAGCATAGTATTCAATAGACATGAGTATAATGAGCACTACACATTCCTATGATGATTCATGTATATGCTTAAATCTTTCCAGTCATGTTAATGTTGTAAAAAACAGTGCAAGCTTAACCTCTCTAATGTCCTGATTTTATCATGAAACTACATCAAAAAACAAACAAACTCAGACCTGTTCCATCTTGAAATAATTTGATCAAAGTTATATTTCCAATGCTCCGATTGGCTGTATGAAAATAAATACACTATGGGGGAAAGATTCATTTCTAGATTTATCCAATTTTACTTGTTTAGTTTTTTTGTGGAATCCAGGAAAATGTTAGTCGAATAAACGCTGTCTTATCTTGATTAAGAAGTCACTGTAAATTTCATTCAAACATCATTGATTTGATGTAGCAATCTGATTATAGAATTTGGTGTTGATTTCTGACTTTATAAACAATCAATTTAAGGTTATGAAATAACATTTCTGTAGTAGTAGCCCAATAAATAAGTGAGTAGAATAGATTGAAGACAAAGGAACATGTATTCAGAACCAATTTAAGATTATTTGTGATTAACCAAAGATAATAGGCATTCTGGTCATAGCATTCAAATGGCAAAATTGAATAGAGAAAAGAAATAAAACAAGGAAACCATATTGGCCATTACAAAAAGTACATCCTACTATCAGGGAAAAAGATCAGCTTTATATTACTGGTTTGGGTGTGATGTTGAGATCCATGGTCTGAGACCTGAGCACTGTACTCCTAACACTGTACCAAGTCATGAGGAGATGAAAGATAGCATCATTGAAGCAGTTGAGCAGATAAAAGATGGTGTGGATCATGCAGGTATAAAACATATTATGAGGATATAGTAATTTCTAAAAATACAAAGCCCCCCTTGATAGCCATATTATCAGGAAAAGAATGTATAATTTTGTACATCTTATATACTGTATAGTGATCATGTATACTACACTATTTGTATGGTCTGAAACAAGAAATAGTATAAAATAAAAAATTCACCTGATTCAGATTATCCTTAAATGAGCACTGATTCACCCGAGAGCATAACTTTTCCAAAACATGTTAGTGTTATTTTTAGACCACTCACATTAATGTTTCGTCTAATTTTCCCTCAGAGTTTCCTCATCATTGTCTTAGGCCATATTTGTTGAGATATATGAATGTTCATTATTAAAATCTTGCCTTCCTTTGCAGTTGGAGAAGACTCGGCATTAGGTGTTATAAGTCCCAGACCACGATAAATAAAAAATAACAACACAATGACATAGAACTGATAAACGTTTTCTCTTGTGCGTGTCAGCCATGGTCTACCAAATTAATTGCTATTCAGTGGAAAGAAACTCATTTTTCAGTTTCCATTTTAATTTCCTGACAAATAGAGCGATCATCCCAGCATTTTTTCTATGATCTATATATCTATGTGCCTTAGCAACTTCTGTTTTAGAGAATAATAAAACAATAGAAAAGATTACTTTACCATAATTCTAATCATCCCACATTGTAGACATATTTAGAATGACAAAACACCTTTCTTAGGAAACAAATAGTGTGGTATTCTTGTTACTATGGCAACATAGTTTTTTCTTTTTGTCATTTTTGTCATACAGATTACCTATCATGCCAGGACAAATCCTGAAAATTTGAATTCAGTATCTTCATTAGTATCTTAGATATATAGGTTTCTTATAGTATCCCCTGCAGATTTCATCGGAGTATAAGGAAAATGCTCTGAAGAGGGATGCCCAAGGATGCCACTTAACAGTTCTGGTATTTTTGAGGTCCCAACCCTCTATTCATTGGAATAGTTAACCATTGTAGAGCTACTCAGGGTTAACTGACAGAATTGATTGTATCTTCAACTAAGAAGTCAATAAAATGTTAAAACCAGAAGAAAACCACACCAACTTTATTCTATTTACCAGGGGTAGGGCATTATAAAGTCATATTAAAATTACAAAATAGTACTTCATCACTATAATAGATGTATTACAATATCAAACATAGCTTGGGAATGTTGTTAGAATACTACTTTGAACTATTAAAGTTATCATATTTTGCTTGAAGCTACAAATCCCAGGGGGTAAAAACGCTAAAATGCAGTGTCGTGACCACCCTGTTGAGCTGTCATCTTTTAATATCTTTATCAGCATGAAAAACTGATCCAGAAAAAATAGGTCTGTTGCTTTTTCTAAAAAATGCCTCAAAAAGTCTTTCCCTTGAGATATTCTGAAATTGGAACCTGTCTAAGTCTTGATTTGCACAAAATAATTCAACAATCAGTAACACCATTGCAATAAATATCTCCGTCATCTGGGCAATGGAATATAATTTTCAGAACATACAAGGATAGTAATGATCTTTACACTGGACTTTTTGTTAAATATTATAATATTGATGACAGCATGCAATCAAAAACAAGTGTCAAAAAAATGAGAAGACCAAAAAGCATTTCACGACACCAAAATAAACCTAAGACTAAAACCAATCATAATAAAAATTGTTTTTCTCCAAAACATGGTCAATCACACAAAGAAACAATGCCTCACACAACACAACAGAACTCCCAATTCAGGAATCAATATAACAATCCAAAACCACGAGATCAGGGAACATCTTATTCAGACTAAAGTCATACAACACATGACTGTTGAAGGACAAACTAAAATATATTTCCAAAATGTTGACACAAAAAGTGTATGTACTAACTAGTTCTTATGCAATGTAAAGCATTCAGTTTCAAATGATGTGACTATGGGTCAACAATTAGCAAATGCAAAGTTTCCAAACCTGTCAAAATATGTCATTGTAGGAATATATGTAGAAACATTGGATATTACTGGACATAAATATGGCTTAAATCATACAAAGATCATAGAGGGGATACAACAGGTGGATGAACTTCTCGTGCTGCTCTTTAAGCAATTGAAAGAGCACAAGCTACACAAAACAACTGACATCATGATATTCTCTGATCATGGCTTTACACAGGTATATCCTCATGGTGATAATAAGAAGGTGGTCTCCATTGAGCTGGATAATGACCTTATATTTCTAATGGTTCCTGGATTTATGACATCAGTTCTACCTAAAATGGAACACGCAATGGAGGTAATTATTTCATTTAGTTCATCTCTAGAAAGTCTTACACTATTCATTCAAAATAACCCAAACATTTGGACCCCTCCTATATATACAAAATTAATTTTTGATGAACATTAATATTATATATGTATTACATACCCAGCGAAGCATTTGTATTGAAGTCAATGGAGCTGAAGGTCGGCTATACCTGTATGGCCGTCAAACTTTTTACCATGACAATCTTATGACGTCATCGGGACGTCATGTTTCATTTCTTCCTAATTTCACTCGCACACAGACACGTGGCGTCATTGATATAACGTAGCCATGATATAAAAGTATGTAATACAACAGTTATGTCCGTATCATTAAATATATGACTTCGGTCTGTCGTAATATATTGGTGACAGACCTCAGGCATATATTCAATGATAGGGACATAACTGCTAAATATAGGTTTATCAAATTCTACAAGAGGCCAAGAATAAGCAAGGTCATTTTGACATTTACTGGAATATATATTCAGACTATTAGGGACAAAATTAATTTTTGATGAACATTTATATTATATTCAGGTTTATCAAATTCTACAAGAGGCCAGGAATAAGCAAGGTCATTTTGACATTTACTGGAAGGAAGAGATACCTGAGAGATGGCACTATCAGAACCACTACAGAATTGCACCATTGATTGTCCAGGCCCATAGTGGATGGATTATTGAGGTATTCCTTGCCATAGAACATTTTTTCAGTTATAGAATAAAGTAATAAACAACATGATATTTAGAAAATTAATAAAATTTCAATTTAGTGGCTTAACCAACTGCAACTTCAAGGTAACGCACGTGACTACCTAGGGACGCATGGTTATGTTCCAGAGAGTGTGGAAATGAGAGGCATGTTCTATGCTGAAGGCCCAAGTAAGGGTGTATTATATAAAACCTGTGGGCACCTGTAATTATAAAATTGAGGTTGCGCCATCTTTACAGATTATGATAACTTCATACATAAGCCTATATTGCAGTATTGAGAGATTACTGATAATCACAACCAACCACGTGGATTTGATCAATTATCTTTACAATACAAAACATTTATCTATTGATCTTTGAGAGTCATAATAACATTTTAAAACATAGCAGTAAGAAATAATTCATGAAGTGAAAATTTAAAAAAAACTGTTTACTTTAAACGATTTATATATCTCTAGGTTTTAAGAGGAGGTTTAAGCATGGACCTGTGAGTGCAGTAGATCTCTACCAACTTATGTGTCATGTACTGGAGCTACAACCATCACCACACAATGGCACATGGAGCAATGTTAATAGCATGTTGAAATAACATCATCACATGCTGTACATAGATTTTGAACAATTTCATGGTTTTATTAAGGACCATATTAAAACAGTAGGTTTGCAAACATGGTTACAGGATATAGACAAGCTACAACCATCACCACACAATGGCACATGGAGCAATGTTGATAACATGTTGAAATAACATCATCTCAAAGTACAGAAGAATGCTCAATACACTACATGTATCAGAAATATAGACCGAAGATCAGGTGTTATATTGATGAATAAACCTGCAGGGATAGTCACAAACTTTTTCTGTAACCCGAACAACGGAACTACTACAAGGTGTCCCGAAAGTATGGGCCCCCCCCCTAGGCAGACATACACCAATGACCCCATAGTATGTGTCATATATCATTTTAAAGCTCATCCAAAGTTACATTGATTTGCCAAGTATCATCGTTCAATTTACAAATGGGAAAAAGTTACAGGCATTTCAAAACTTCGTGTTTGGCCAAAATTAAAGTTAAAATCAGTATCCTGGAAACACCGCTAACCTGAATGTGACCAAAAATATGGGTGATATCATTAAAGAGAGGATGGATATTGAGTTGTAAAAAGAAGTCGGTAAGGGCAGATACTCCAAGGAAAACTTCTAAAATGAATTAAAAAGGTTTTATTAGGATTATTAAATGCCATACCCCTATTTGCAGTGTATTTAAGGTCATATCTGGAAAGAATTGCTACTGTTAACATGGCCAAGGGAGACGCGGCGACTATTAATTTTGTCTAAAACTAAACTTTAATTTTGGTAAAACAGTACATTTTGAAATGTATGTAACTTTTTCCCATTTGTGAGTTGAACCATGATACTTGGCACATCAATGTAACTTTGGACAAGCTTTCAAATGATATATGATACATACTATGGGGACACTGTTGTATGTCTACCTAGGGGGGCCCCATACTTTCGGGACACCCTGTACATAACTACAGCCTGACAATATGACGTCACACATTACATATTTTTAAAATGTCAACAAAGAGCATAAATGCAAATTCTTAGTATGCAAATCTTTTAAAGTCTAATTAAAAATGAGATTTTAGCAAGATTTGAAATCTACAGTGTTCCTCAAAAAATGTTACACTTACAAAAAGTTCAATATTTTTCATAATTTTGACTTTTCTCCTAAAATACTTTGGATACCAAAAGACAAATCTTTCTGGAATAATTTGACACCATCAAATTCAAAATCTGTCATTGATTGGCTCCAAAGGACAGCTTTTAGTGTCCCATGGTAAAATCTGACTTGCGCCAACTTCTAAGTGATTGGATGGACCAAATGACAAAAGAGGAACAGTTTCTTAAATATTTAAATTTCTCCTGAGTTGTAGCTTGACCTTTAACTGAGTCATTCTGTCATTTCCTATTTGTCTTACATATGATCATTGGGTCTATCCACATATACATGTGGTCCCCTCAACATGTTCTCCAAAGCAAATCTGAGGTACCCTTACCCATGCGCACATGCATTGTAATATCACTCTGATTCCATCAATTATTTTTGCAGAAGTTCATTTAGGTCAGTTTATGATGCCGTAAAGCGCTTTCAGAGGCCCTTTAAAAAAGCAAGGGAGTAAAGTGGGATGACCCCGGGGGCCAATCCGTTTGGGTAATTCAATGCTATCTCCTGATTTCCAAAGAGTTCTACCAAACGGTCTGCCAAAGGCTTTTTGCACCATCCTGTTGCCATCATAGGTAACAAAATTGAACACTCTGACAATGAAATCTTGTATTTCTATTCAGGAAAGAAACAACTGGACCATTGATCATATCAAGATATCGCTGTCCACAGCATTCACACCAAAAAAGAATTGATCACCACATGTCCAACCACTGAGAATTTGGCGCGAATCAGATTTCACATGCGTCTATAAAATCTGTCCTGTGCAGTCAATCTTGGACGGATTTTGAATCTGATGGTGTGGATTTATTCGAGAAAGGTGGTTATATTTAAGGAATAAAGACCGAGATTTTATGATTTATGGCGTAATATATGACAGAAAATTTTGTTCTGTTCATTGTTCTTTGGCAATGGCCAGAATATAATTTGAGATCATATATTCGACATAAAACATAAAATCAAGGTCTTTGTTACGATTCTAATATGATAAACAGACAAGAAACATAACTATTTGCATTTATGAATTTTAGTGGTCATACATACTCCAATATAGACCAGTAAATCAATTGTTCTAGCTATTGTGACGTCAAGTATCATATTAGAATTGTTGTTAATATGTTAGATCTAGAATTGTAGAGTCGTGGATATTTTACTGATAAAGTGGGAAATATAAAATAGAAATATTTCATTTTGCTGTATATCATAAAAACTTTCGATCTTCCTTTTCAGATTATTTTGTGAAAAATGCCATACGAAAAATATGCAGCTATTGGCCTTGTAGCTGTATTTATTGGAACTGCCATGTTGGGAATCAAAGGTGGATTAATAATCGCAATAATTGCTTTGATCATTTGCATTGTTACTGATGCCGTTGCAGCTGTTAGGAATGCTTTAGAACATATATTGATTATGGCAATCATATTTGTACTGATGTTCTTGATAATACGTAATGGCTTATATGGGCTGTAAATGTTGATGTTTGTTTACAAACATGTACTTTTACTTTAGCGTAAATATTTGGTGAATTTAATACAATACTCTGATTTTTGAGAGAAATCACCCTGATTCATCCGAATTACATTAGAAATCAGAAAAAAATTATCAGAAAAATGATCCACCTATGTAGGATCATACAAATTTTGGATTGCACAGCCTCTGGGGCAGCTTGAACTCACCAAATAAGCTCTACATAGGACCATTTACTGTCATTGTAGTTATTATGTGTGAAAATTATGACCAATTAAAAGTGTTGATGTTTGTATTTTATGGAGAATACCTATTGTACTGTAAATCACTTGTTTGCTATTATATAAATCATAAATTACTTATTTGCATCACTATGAAAAAAGGACAGTGTCCCTGTTACTTTGTTGAACTTAAGTAATAATTGTGAATTTTCAAACAATTCATGTTTATTTACAAATGAGGAAATCATTCATATTTCTTATGCATAAGGGGCTCATGTCAATCATCCTCACAAATGTCAGCCCCTTTGCCATATATGGATCTAAGACTTATGTGAAGACATAAATGATAAATGAATCGTAGTTATATTTTGTTTCGGGATATGTACAGCTGATCTCTTTTACTTACTTCTATGTGTTAACTCAAAGGATGAGAGCCATGAAAAGTTTTTTCTGACATTTTATCACTTTTCAGTCGATATTGAGTGAAGTTGATGGACTGAAAGTTTGAAAGAAGATTCTGGGGAGATCATTGTGGTGGTCAAGTTGGCCATGCAAAGTATCTATATCTAAATTCAGCCAGTTCTTCTAGTGAATCTACCAGTTTTGACTGTCTGCCAAGGATCAAAATCATTGTTGTTAACCTTCTCAAACTTTATTTTTATTGTCTATTTTGACCTAGCAAATAAAAAAATCTTAACTTTTCACTTATTAAACATTGCGATCTAAATTGTAGTGGTTGTGTTTGCTTTGACATAATATGATCTATGTTTCTTTACCAGTCAATTGGTGAAGAAAACAGCCCAACCTTGGACAAATTGCAATAGTTTGCAAACCTACTTTAAATTGTTCATCAATATTCACCTAACATGGACACAGCAAGGATCAAACTTTAGGCCAGGCAAATTTTCAGCCAAAATGTTTTAAAAGAAAATGAACAATACCGTCCCTCTCCCCAATCTCTTTTTAAATATAGGCCCTCGGCCTGGATTTTACAAGTGGGGTTCTACTTTTAGCTAAAGGACCACAGAAGATACCCCAACAGATTTCAGTCATATGTTGGATTGTGGCTAATTTCTTAGGATTTAAACAGATGCATGTGTTAGGCTAAAGAGTAAAGAGCAGTCTCATACACTTTGCTAAAAAAGACTTTAATACAATAAAATATTATACAGATTTCAATTTACTAACCTTCGTATTTCTTTCTTTCTGTCTTTTTTCTTCAATGAGTTTTTGTCGTATCTTTCCCACAGCAAGCCTGTAGAGCTCTAGGCATAGCATTTAGTTCAGTAGGCACTTGAAACCCAATATACCTAATTAATATTCAATAGCCTCGCTCTGGGTTCAGTAGCCTCAATTTGGATTTTTCAATGGCAATCCAGAAGTAACCAATTAACCAACTAATTCTTCAAATGTTTAATTAAGTCCCTTGGAAGGTATTATAAATAAAGAATTTGAAATGAAAACATTGATAATGATCCCCTACTTAACACCCTTGACTCATTTCTTGGATGGGAATTAGATTAACCCTCATTAGAACCATCTGATCCTTACCAACTTGTTTCTGGAAATTCTTGTGATTATCTTAATGTACATTAACTTTAAACCTGAATAATACATTGAGTGTGCGTTTCAAATGAACTAAAATTTAAACCTTCTTTTAGTATGTTATATCTCCTATGAGATGAAAAAGGTTTGAAAGCATTTGAAGCGCAAGGTTTTGAGAAATGTTTATCTAAACATCCCCTCCCCCAAAGGTCTATATACTATTCCAATACATGAGAATTCACTTTACACATGTTCAACACTGCTATCAACACAAAGCAAAAATGCATGTCACAGAAGATCACAAAAAAGTATTGGATAGTTTATGTAGATTGTGTGGTGAGAAAAATTCAGTTTTTAGGAAAAAATACAAACCTCAACCATGTGTGTCAATTCAAAAGGAATTATTAAATATATGCCCAGAAATAAACTTGGATATGGACAATCAGGATCTTCACCCAAAGAAGATTTGTCAATCATGTTATAATAGACTGAAGAATAAGAAAGCAAAAATAGATAATAACACAATGGATCTCTATAACAAAATCAATAACCTGTGGACAAATGCCTTTGATGGGAACTCCTGTACAATTTGTGAAAAGTCAAATTCTAAGAACTCTCACAGTGCTATTGCAAGAAAAAGAACATTTGAGAGTAGCTATAAAGACATGGATAAAAGTTTAAACATCAGTGACATTGACACAAATGATATAAGTTTTCAATGCACGAGTACGCCTAAAAAGGTATGCATTAAAGATGTATCATCCGCATCTACATCAATGACACCTGGCCGTGGCCGTGAATCTACTATCAAAGAATTATTACAAAAACCGTTAGCTGCACCTTTAAGTATTTTAGAAAATAAATTATTGACACAGCTAGTCAGAAGGAAGTTGAAACATTCAACAGATAAGGATACATTAATCTGCAAAACGGGTGGAAAAGTGAGTATTTATTTGGTTTAATTTATTAAATGCAAGATGTGCAAGTAATGGGGGGGGGATAAAGGCGTGTTCACTGCATTTTTGGGTATTAAGTTTTGTCAAATGTCTATTGAATCAAGTGCAATCTAGTATAACTTGTCTAATCAAGAGCTAGATGTCAAATCATTAAGAAGCTATCATAAAGAACCTCTTATCATGTGATAATCACCATAAAATTCAAGTATCTTCAACATATCATTAAGTGTTATCTTAAATATACCATGAAATCATCAAGTAATTCAAATTAATGTTCCAGCCTTTGATCTTGATGAAAGTAGAAAAGGTCCAAGTCCAGAGTGAAGAAGCATCTTCACCTCTTAAACAGCGCAGAGCAAAACAAATAAATAAGTTCTGGAGAGCAACAGGGGGAAAAAATGATAATTCCATCAATCAGCAGATAGCAAAAGAGTGGCGAATAGCATATAGAAAGAAAAAGAACAGGAATCAGCTGGAACATTTGACAAAAATAAAAGCAGCAAGGGTAACCAGAAAACAAGCCCTCGCAATGAAGTCTGATGCCAGGTTGTCATGGGGCCAAATGGATGTTATAACGAGGCATTTGCGGGAAAACATAACAATAGAGAGCAGAAATAAACAGAGGGAATATCGGAAAAATTTACTCAATGATATTAATCTAAAACAAAAGCTGAAATTGTTTACCAAAAAAGACAATATTTCCCCCGAGAGTAAAAATGGAATGGAAAGGTATACAAGAAACTGCCTATGGTGTATATTAACAATTTGGAAGTACATGTAAAATCACACCTCGATAAAATGGAAAAATTCAATATGATAGAGCAATCTCATGTTATTCCCAATGATGAGATTTGGATAAAAATAGGAGCAGATCACGGGGGTGGGTCTTTTAAAATATGTTTCCAAATATTGAACACAAGGAATCCAAATGCCCCAAAGAACACTCTAGTTTTTGCCGCATTCTGTGCAAAAGACAGTAGGGAAAATATGGAAATGTTGTTGAAAAGATACTCTCCACAGATTGAGAAGTTAAAAAATATGGTGTGGAATGGAAAGAGAGTGAACCTGTTTGGCTGTGGTGACTATGAGTATCTGTCAAAGACACTTGGGATATCAGGAGCAAATGGAACATTTCCCTGTATATATTGTGAAATTCGCTCATCTGACATGAACACACCAAAGTCATCAAGGTCAAAGCTACCTGAAAGAACTCTTAAATCGCTTAAAAAAGCACACAAAGACTTTCTTGAAAAGGGCAATGCAAAATTATCAAATGCCAAATACTTTCAAAACGCTATCAACCCATCTTTGATTCCCATTGAAATTGATCATGTATGTCCCCCTTACTTGCATATATTATTGGGACTTGTGAAAAAACACCATGATCTCTTATTGTCACTTTGCAACAAAATTGATCTGAGAATTGCACACCAAATTGCCAGCGATGAATCATTGAGTGAAAGCAAGCGAGATACGCCTTATGGGAAATATATTACTCAACTTGAGAAAATTTCCAACCTGAAAAAAGAACTTGAAAGTATTCCAAATGAACAAAAACGGGAAAAGATTAAAAAAGAAATCGAAGACAGAGAAACAAAAAACCAACTTCACTTAGAATCTGGAACTGTAGCTGCCACACTTGACCAGGTTCTATAAAAGCATAACATACAAAGGGCACCATACCATGGAAAATCTTTTGTTGGCAACCACTGCCACAAGTATTTAAAGCCAGAGGTGTACAATGATCTTTGTGATGCAGTTGTTCAGGCTACAACGTCAATTTCAAAAGGACTAAAAATTGAAAACAAATTAGTAAAAGCAGCACATCGCATTAGTAATATTTTTAAGGATGTAAATAAAGAACTTTCAATTGTTCACAACGCAGTTTCTCACGACAAAAAAATCGAGGCTGAGCAAGTACCAATGATTCAAGCAAAGATTGACAGCTACATGGAAGCATATAGACACTACTTTAAAAGGACAAATATCACCTTGAAACAACATCTCCTTGAAGATCACATATCGGAATGGATAGAAAGATATAACTGTGGGATGGGTCTTCAAGGTGAACAGGGAATTGAAAGTGTCCATAAGATATTCAATGACTTGGACCGTAAAATGAATGGAATACGTCACCCCCTAAATAAATTAACATCTATTGTGACAGAGCACCTGGTAACCTGCCAACCCGAATTGATAACTTCAAATCCAATAATAAAAAAGCGCAACCCTTCTAAGATTAAAGTATGACACCACTACTCTGCTTCTGATGTGAGTATATTTTAATTGAAGCTGTAGAGCATGAATAGTTTAGTACTATATTCCCATATTAATCAGTCATACACTTATTATTCAAAGACTGCATCAATCCTCTTTCAAGCAAAACAACACATATCTTAACATATTTCATACATCTCTTCCACTAACATTTTAATCTGATAGGGTAATGGGGCACTTTAAGGTTAATTGACTTGTGTGTAGGTATTAATTACAGCGAATGCCTACTGAGAGTTAAATGTACATGCTGAGCTATGCTAGCGCTACTGGTGGTAATTTGATAAACAACAACTAAATCTACCACTACAGGCTTGCTGTGTTCCATATTCCCCTGAAAGAGCTGTTATTGTCTCCCGGAATTTGACATGTTTTGACCGCTGAAGCTGTTCCTTGTCTTCATCACTGAGGTCTTCCAGCCTAAACACAAGAGGAACATCAATCCCAAAATCAACATTTGATTTCTATTCATCAATGAGCTCTCCAAGCCTAAACAAAGGAGGTACATCAATTCAACAATCATAACAACTTGAGTCTTCTCAAGAGGGAATCTGTTCTGTTGCTGTATTTTACAAACACAGACTCAAGACTACAGTTCACTAAAAAGGCACTGCATCAAAAAACACCATCAAAGCATCTGAGTATATGTGACTTTTCTCCAAATAAATTGAACAAATAAAAACAATCCATTCTCACCTTTCCTGCAAATCTTGGTCTCCATAGTCTATCATGCTATCACTGTGTTGGGACAACTCGCTATCACTGTGGGCCTGGTCCTGTTCCCTTTCTCTCCTCCAACTATCCCTCCTTGAGTGGACCCCCAATGATGTTGAAGGCCTCTCGTGGACAGACTGCCGAGTTGAATCTATGTGAGGTTTGGGATAGCGCTTCTCGTAGTATTTCTTAAGACTGTTTCGAAGTGGTAGATCACTAAATAAATATATAATGTATAAATATTGTATATTTCAATTTTCAATAATCAACTAGTTAATCAACGTTCACTTTGATCCATTAAAAAAATCTCATTAAAAATTAAGTTCTAAAATGTATCTTGTTTGAGAGACTGAAAAAAAAATTATTTTATGAATATTGCAACTTCTACAAGATAAAAGGAATTGGCAACAGTCTTGTTAATTGAAGCAAAACACTAATAAGTTTATTTAGAATTCTTATAGTACAACCTTGAAAGCACAGTTTAACATTTATTGTCTTTGTTTTTAAGTTTTTTTTACTTGATCAGAAAGACTAATACTCCCAATTAAAAAACAGACAAATGAGCCAGGTGAATGAATATAAGTTCAATTCGATTATTCTTGTGTGTAAATTCCTCGTTTAAAAATTCTAAAAGTTTCTGGAACATAATCAGCTACTCTTCTGTATGGAATATAACAGGTTCGTTTCTGATAAATAAATGTTTTATAAAAAAGTCTATCACCTCATGTAGTCTTCTCTACGGGGTCTATGAATGGGGCTCCTTATTCTATCTATCTCAGGTTTCTCAGTCTTAGTGAAAGATCTCTCAGTAAGGAATGACACTTTCCTACTTGGTTTTCTTGCCTGGATCTCCTATCGGAAAAAATGTGAATATATCACCAGTTTTGAGAAATGCATTACTAATTTCATTGGGAGATGGGTCAATGTAATCTCAGCATACAATATGATAGGTGCCCACATAGAAAATTAAAAATTCACATTTACTATTAATAGACACATTTTATATATTACTGATCCAAATTCATAAGCCATCAACATTTTTAAAAATAAAATTTGAAGAATATTGAAAAAATGACACTTTAGTAAGAACTACATTTTGGTAGAAACCAGGTTCATTTCTTAATATACATATACTCTAACACTTCTTTTGTCAATATTAATTCAAAAGTATCTAACCTGGTCTATTCTGCTGGATATTTCCTTATCTGTGTCAGGCACATTCAATGACTGTGACAGACTGTGTACCACATGTGACTCTTGATCAACACGATGGAGGGCCTCTCTGAAATACAACCAAGTTGCTATTTGCTTTAAGTGGTGCATCAAGTTTATGGCAATCTCTTATTTTGTCAACTTGTTCGAGTAGAACGTGGTAGGCTAATTCATAAATAAGTATTTCCAACATAGTCTGTCTTTTCAATTGAGTTAAAGGGGAATGAATATAGATGGACCTTTAACAAATGAGTATTTCAAACAATAGACAATACCTGATGGGTGGAGCTATCTGCTCAGCAATTTCGTTTTCTCTGCGTGGTTTAGATTTCAGTGGGCTTGATTGTATTGCTGCCTCAGACATCTTCTGTGTATCATGTACAAGTGAAAACAGACTATCATATGACCTTGAGGCAGTGGGTCGTCTGAAAATATTACAGATTGATGAAAGAATATATAGTATGCATGAGACCGTTGTAATATTTAATCACACTTGAGGTGCAAACTGGCTGCCTTGTAAATTACCCAACATTCTCAAAAACTTCATGCCCAGATCTTGACACTAGTCCCATTTTCACTTTGCATCGATAAAAAATTTGTGTTAAACAGTCCAACATTTTTCTTACTTTTGATGAGTCTATCAAGTAATTGATGATTCATTGCAAAATTCAGGAATTCATCTTAAAATCCAAAGGTGAAAATGTCAACTGATATTTTTAATTCTTTTTAACAGGATTAATGATCAACCTACCCCATTTGACTTGAATCTGGCTGGGCATGCACCTTTAAGTCACCAGACTGCATGACATCAAATGTTCTGTTTGTATCAGCACCACTTTCAAACTTTCCTTCAGAAGGCACATTGACCTTTGGGGGTCGAGCCTTATTAGCAACTGTCTCCCTGAAGTCACATTGTGATTAAATGTAAATGAATGAGGCATAAAAGCTGGGGTCAATCATAAACTCATAATATGTGATATGACAAAATTTTATTATTGTTTTCAAAATATAAAAACAATGCATGAACTGATAATAACAAAATGTCAGCGTCAAATACCAACACAAAAATGATGTAAAAACTGTATGTATAATATTCATTATTTCTTATTATTAACTTCTGTTATAAAACATAATTATTCTATTTTAACCTTTTCTAAAAATACAAAAATAGTAAAATTGTTATAATCATAAAATGAAATATTCTACCCTCAAAAACTAAACAATTATCTATGTTTAGAGCCAACACCTTAAGCATATACAGAATAATATATACAGCATAAAGAAGTTCATTGAACCTTGCAGGTACTGTAGAAGTCACATCTCTGGTCTTGCGCAATGTCTTAGCTGTCCCATAATCCTTTGCAAATCTTGAATCCGTCTGCATGCTTCCACTTTGTACTCTTCTCTTTGATTGGTCAGGAATATTTGATCTGTTTTGTGATTGGCTAGGGATGATATTGGTCTGTACAACAGGCTCCCTCACTCTGTACTTACTGCTTTCTAATGTGGCAGATGCTGTAAAAATAATGAGATTTTACAGCTTATCATATCAAAAAGAAGGAAATACAGTGCAAGTGTTATAATGTCTTGTTTCTTAAGGAAAAATTTAAGAAAAGAGAATGTACTTATTCACATTTAGAACTCTCTAAATAATCCACAGTATTGTAATAATTTTAGAATACTCTATTCAAATGATTTATATTAACCTGAAGGTGCAGATTTGTATCTAGACTTTGGTCTTTCACTCTTTACATATCTTGAGCTTGGTGGCAGTGATGCTGCTAAGGGGTCTCTAGATGTTGAAGATGTAGCTATTGGTAGTGTGGATGTGAAGGGGTCTCTTGTTGATGTAGAAACTGGAAGTAAAATGATGATGAAGATTGGCTATGTATAGCCAGAAAATAGACAATCTATATCTTTTTAAATATATGCATTTTACTTTTATTTTTATTTTTGTGAGTTGCTCAATTGTCCAATTCACAGTTTAGCTCAAAATATTTTGTTTGCAAATTTTGTTATTCATTTTCAAATATCAGTTCATTTCAAATTTACATTTTCTATCTGTTTCCCCATCAAGATGGTGATGATAAAGATGATGTGTAAATGTGTGGTGAACAGTTGAGGGAGCATTATTTGTTTGTCTTCCAATAGTCGTCTGCTGCCTGGGATCACTGTGTGGGTCAATTCCATCTGATCCCATACTAGGTTCTGGTCTTGGTCTGAGCCCAATGTCCTGGAAGTCTCTCCGACCTTGACCTAAGACAAGTCCATCTGTGACATCATCATGCAGTGTGATGTCATCGCGAGGATGAACTAACGGCTCTGGGAAAGACGCAGAAGTTGTTGTACTATCTGCTTCCTCAACACTCTAAAAATAAAGAATTGAAGAAAGCACTCTCTTATTGAAAAAATCAATAAAATATGGTATGAATCATCATCATTGTTGTAACAAAATTCATGAACAGTATTACAGATTTATTACACGGTGTATAACCCAAACGCTCCTACATGCACGATGGAGCGTTTCATTACTGAAATTAAACAAAGAAACGCTCCGGAGTAGGAAAACTGACTGGCGGGAATGATGAGCCGTCTGACAATTTCCCCAATAATGGGAATAAGAGGTATGAGTTACATATTTCGAGTATACCATTCGATGGGTGTGATATTCATGTTGTACGTGGCTGGCTGTTGACGTTTGAAGCAATTAGGAAGAGCTGTACGAACCAGTATAGTTATCAAAATTCAAAAACGTATTTGTCATTCTACCGGTCAAAACCCCTTTTGTCGATACATGTGATTAGTTGAGCCAAGATTAGAGCACCAACGTATATTTTAGTAAAATTCCAATGCTTCAACGCACCATACATTATCGTAATAGTGATTTGATGACCGAAAATCCAGTCTTAAAAATGATGACATTCTCATATTCAAGAAACGCTCCGATCTGGTTAACACAGTGAATTGGAAACGCTCCGGTAGTCTAGATCAGTTAAGGAAATATATAGCTTTCCTTTCCTTTTCAGGAAGAGAAAGAAAAGATCTATTATACCCCTTGGCATCAATAGAAGAGAGATTAATTCACATATAACTTTTCGTTTTTTCTATAGTTTTATGATTTAGCACATATGTAGGCATGACATCATCTAATGTATAGGCTTTAATCAGCTAGTTGCACGTTTAGCACCACCAGGTTCAGATGTTTCAATTTGCCTAACAAGTACAACACGTTTTTGAGAGATAGATTCGATTCGGAACTCTTCTCTAATAATCTGAAAATGATATCAAAACAAAATGGTAAGAGCGTTTCTAAAATTGTGGTCTAAATCGACGGAGCGTTTCGAAGAAAACAAGCGATTTCTCGAGAACAAGTAATGGATTTGGACTGGGGTTTTAGGAAATGAGAATATACGAGTTTGTGATCTACTACTTAAACAGAAAGATTAACGTTTTCATAGAAATACTAGTTTAATTCGTAATTTGTGGTCAAATCGTCATCTTCAGATTCGTTCGATCTACACTACGGAGCTTTGATCAAGCAAATAACAGTTTACCACCAGAAGTTGAATAAATAAGATCTTTGCTCACGGTATTGTTCATCGAATGGTACATAATATTTCACCATGACATATGATATGTAAGAGAAACGAGAGAAACAATACTTATGGTCATAGTAGAATCTTCATTAGCCGCCATTTTATTTCGCTTCGGAGCGTTTCCGCGTAAATGTAACGCTCCGTCGTGCATGTAGGAGCGTTTGGGTTATATACCGTGTATTAGAATACAATTTAATACCAAGACATTTCCAATACCATAAATTTGGTTCATGACTGCTATTACACTCTGCACTTCCAAAATAACTTAAACCCATAATCTTAAATAATAACCTACCAGGATTGAATTTTGCTGTCTGGGCTCGGGTTTCTTAATAGAAACAATAGGGGGAGCTACAACCTTATCTTCTTCCAACATTTGTCGCTCAAGCTTCTCACTTTCAAGTATCAAATCTTCTGTGGAATCTGGGGCATCTAAACCTAGAAATTTAAGATATACAACTTGTCAGGTTTTAAAAATGACCATGAAATAACCATGTATCAATATAAATTCTTCTACTCTCACCAGCTGAAATATGATTTTTGATCCTGCTGAATAAAATAAAATAATTTGCTTTTTGGAACACCTTTTCCATTAGCGGGATAAATAGTGTAAAGTAATCGCCGTTTGCGGAACAAATTGTGAAACTTTCCTCAAATGATCACTGATTGCTACTCTTTAAATAAAGCAACTGTGCCAAAAAATCGCTCCATAGGAACTACCCTAATTTTATAATTCTTACCCCCCCCCATGGTCACGGAGGGGGGGGGGGGCTAAAAAAAATTTGACACATTTTTTTTTACTAAATTATGCTCATACTTCAAATTTAATATTACCTTATCATGTTAAGAAGTTAATGTTGAAGTAAAAATATGAAATACCATTGATTTTTGATTGCTATGTTAAAGGGTGGTGATGGGCGACGCCCACTTTTCTTGTATTGAGTATTTTGCACCATATCACAGTAGCAGGAGTAAATCAAATAAGTGATATATGATTTTAAAATTACATCTATATCTAATGCTTCACATGACTATTATTTTTCACCTTTTTCACTGTTAAAGGCTTGTTTTGAGTCACACCCATCTTTTAGATATACAGAAAAAATGGTCCCTACGGCTTGACTTGTGGTTTCTTTTGGCTTCTGAGTGCAGTTAGACTCCATATATCAACTATCTATATCTGTTTCATAGTTCCTTTAGTTTCACTTTGCACACAGTTTTAAATCATAATTTTTATTAATCTTATCAATAGAAGGATTTATACTAGTGTCTATCAGTATCATAGTTACTTTTTGGTATGTTGCAGTGCCCTTATGAAGAACAATTGCCATCACACACACATAATGCTGTACAAACAAGATTTCCTTTCAGGCTCTTGCATCGTGTTGATATGCATTGGTTTTTGCAGCTACACTTTATGAGAGCCTGGCAAGCGTCTGATGCTTGGGGTAAGGTTGTCCACCTTGGTATCCATTTGGTGTCTTAAAATATCCAGCCCCACTCAGCTGGGGAAGGAACTTGAGGATTCGCTGTAAGTGGTTGCCCCCAAATAAATACAGCTTGGTATATGACTCTTTTCATATGCTGTAAAAAGGCATCTGATGTTGGACGAATGTGTGATATTACTGAAGTCCTCTTTGTGAACATCTCCTTCCTCGCAGCATTGATTGATGTTTCATTGCTTGTTTTAAGTTTGAGGCCAGAATAATGAACTGCTCTAAAATAGGCATCAAGCAGGGTATTGGGTCGTATTGAGATATCTGTTAATACTGTAGTCAATTCAGGGTAGGTACTCCATTGGTTCCAGGCTGATGTCTTAGACTTTCCATTAAAGCCTGATGTGGTGTCACACCCAGTCATAGCATGGGCAATTTCGTGGGCTGGAAGGTATCTATAGGACTTTCCCTTGCCAAAGGTGAGCTAGATTTGAATGTTAAGTTGTCCTAACTGCCAGAACAACAATGTCTGAATCAACTGTTCTAATCGTCATTTTTGTGAAGCCTTTTTTCATTGCATCATATATGTGCAGAAAGATTCGGGAATCTGCCACTTCATGGGATGATGGTGAAATCTCAGAAACATGCTGCTTAGGATATGCCTCTGCAGAATTCCCAATTGTTGTAATCATGATTTTATTCTCTGGTACTGGAATGGCTGAGCTGAGACATTTGATGCAAGGAAGGTAAAGAGATCACTTTTCTTGTCATCTGAGCGTAGAAATTCTGGCCAATTCCCTGGCAATTTGTTTTCTGGATAAACTATTTGACGCTTTCCAGATCCATGCTTTTTTCTTGTTGAAGATTTGACACTATTTGGTATATATTGATCCCATACAATACTTAGTCTTTGTACTCTATTAAGTTGATCTGCAGTATACTTATTAAATATGTCATTTGAGTATTGTAGGAAGATTCTTGCTTCTTGAGTTTTCAGCAGGTGGACTATTACGGCACCATCAAGAAACAGGGCTTCAACATCTGGTGTATTGATCTCTCTATTTGGAACAAGGTCTTCCACTGGTTTTAAGATATTTGCTTTGAGTCCAGTCTTGATTGTGCCATCTTGTGAAAGGGATGGAGGGAATGTCTGGTTCTCATGTCGGAAAAGTTCATCTAAGTTGCCGTCTCTATTCTGGCACGCTATGTATAGTTGTGAAAATAGGGCAGTGTCATTTTTCAAGCTTGCTAGCTTTGAACTTGACCTAGATTTGTTTGAAGATCTTGAAATTGTTTCTCTTGATAGGGTCTGGTGATGGCTTTTGATCTTTCAATAATTCTCTCCTTTATATATACTTCACATTGACTTTTCCCCCTTTTCTCAATTGTGTTCAATGTATCAACTGCACTGCTTGACATTACATCTCAAGTGTCCAAAGTTCCTTTGATGTTGCAATAAAGGGGTTTCCTAAATCATTGATAACCTAAGTAAGGGAATTGACATATTTGTTGAAACTGGTTTGATAACTAACACTGTGCTCATGGTTTGCAAGGACCATCATTATTCTTCATCTCATCTTCAAACTCAGTTAACATTCTTGCGATCTCTGGACCATCGACCATCCACTTCTGTGATGCGGTTGGATTGTCGAACAACCCCACAGCTCCACCCTCACTTTTGATCACACTATTATTTTGCTCATGGGCTTGGTCTATTGACATGGAGGAGAAGCTTCTTCTTGACTTGCTGACAGTCAAATGCCCCTTCATGAAAGCATTGTGAACATAGAAAGATGCACATTACAGTGAGTACTATTATTTTAGCTTTGTTTAATTCTGAAGTTTTAAACATTTGCCCAAGGGATAGTGTTTAATAACCTTTGCAAAAGTTCAATTTTTCAAAATCTCAAAATTTTAACATGGTTACATAGCTACCTGATCTGCCACTGCTATGTGCAACAGGTTGTGAGAGAACACTTGGCACTGTAGAGTGGAGTGCTTTAGGGCCTCTTTGTGGAGGACTGTCACTTTTCCTACAATAACCGATAATAAAATTATATACATACATCATAGGATATTAATAATTCACTGAAATAAGTGTAATGTTTAATTTCAAAATTACAATTTCCACTTTTTTAATTCTATAGTTTTTACATTACAAGGCGATTTTTTATAACATGTGACTGCCAAACATTTTGCACAGTTTTTCCATGTTTTATTCAATATTCTTGATTTGTGACACTAAGATTTTTATAGGCACCTACCACTGGGGGAAAGTTTGAACATGTTGATTACCAAGTCCTCTGTCCAAAGCTTCATCAATCAACTCTACACTGATTGTATCTGGGTCACTTTCAGCACCAATATCAGCATCTACAGCAACAAATTCTTTTTTACTAAGCTTTAAATTTTACTTCATATAGTTTAACAGTTCTATTAATCAATGAAATACTGGTAAAACAATATTATTTGATTGTATTGAAGAAATATAGAACTTATCAGCTTTAAATAGTGTTGTACCATCATGGATTTAAGAAAACTAATTTCATTAGTTGATTACCTTCAGTCTCATTGTCCGATGACACGTCACTTTCAATCTTGTTCAGTATGTACTCCAGCAATCCTGAGAAGACTTCCAGTAAATTCAAGATGGCAACCTTGTTTCCTGCGACGATATCATCCCCATTGATGTGCGACATAGATGTGTGGAGAACATCCAACGAGAGCGAATCTATGACACATTGTACATTATGAACCTCATCCTCACTCGAAGAGGAAGAACGGATGACATCTGAAAAGTAATTTATGATATATGTAGTCATTCACTGTCTCACTGATGAATCCAGAGTAAAAATACTCCAAGGAGAATCAGTCAATAGGGTCATCGTGGACACAAAGTAAAATGCCAAAGATTCATAATCTTTTGCACCTAATGATTAATTCAATAGAATTGGCCTCTGTCATGATATCGTGTTTTTTCTTCATGCACAAAACAATACTAGGAAACAGTTAGATACAAATAGACAAAAGTTCAATAGCTTTAGATATTTAATTTTAATAAAATATAAAAAGAGACTTATGCAATACATCATGTAAAATTTTAAATATTTAAATATTTTTCTCAGATTGTGAGATATCCCTGATTTTTCACAAAATTCTGACAGTTCAATATAAAATGACACAATATGTACCTGGTAATGTTTCTCCACAAAGGCCCTCATATAAGGTGACAAATATATGAGACTTGAGTTCCTTCACGCTGTTCACAGAGATTGGCACGTGCAGTTGAGTCAGCATGCTGTTCGCCAAGTCAATGATTCCTTGAAATAAACCAGTTGTCAATATGTAACATATGCTGACAATTAATGCTTTATTTCATTCTCTATCAGCATCCTCACATCACAACGTACTTAATATCCATGATATATTCTTACTCTTATCTTACTTTAGAGAGAGAGGAATGAGCTGTTTTTAAGATGTATAATAAGAGTGACTGAAATTCAATTTTTATTTCTTTATTGTAGAGTTCATGATTTTTTCAATTTTAATTGTTATGTCCATCCCAGGTATATAAGTTCTTCAATTTTTGCCCTCTCCACTGCAGAGTTGATGTATTTTTCCATTTTAATTGTTATGTCAATCACAGGTACATAAGTTCAATTATGATCTTACGGCACCATCAAATCGGTGATATTACTTTTCATTAGACGTGTATATTTCACAAAAGAGAGCATTTTTTCAATGTCATTTAACAATCATTTAACAAGTAAATAAATACTTAATTAATTCTCAAGGAATCAATGTTTTGATATTTAAAGAAATTTTGCAATTTCCTAAGGATCCTTGGATTGATGAGAATAATATTTAATATAATTAAGCATAACACACCTTCATCCTCTAAATCACTGCTTGCACTTGAGGATGTCATGTTTCTGTCTGTCTGATGATCTACTATACTTCAGCAACCTACAAACAGTTTAGTAAAAAGTAGAGAACATGTTTGATCTTCAGAGACTGTCTGCAGTTGTCAATTTATCACATACTATGTTACATTCCAGTAGTCTGATTGGTTGGTTACCGTGTGAGTTTTCCTGTCTCACTAGTTACTACAAGCAACTAGTTATGATGTTTCATATTTTTGTCTTGGATCAGTTTGATGTCACATTATTTCACGGTCAAATACAAAAACAATGGTATGACATCATTCAAAAGCAAAATCTCAAAACATGTAAAACATAATACAGTTACTAGCATCAAAATTACTAATCACAACTGACCAAATCAAAATGTTTAAAATCTCCTAGACATGTGATAAAATCGTCATCACACGTTTTAGTTTATGTAATACATGAAATATTCCACACGGGTAACAATGTAAAAGTTTTCCAGTGTATCACGCTGATGAAAATATAAGTTGTTGTTGGTATCCTTATTGGATAAATACAGATATTCAACTCCACAGAAAGAATTCAATATTTCAATTTGTCTTGCGAATTCATTCTGATTCAACCATTCATGATTCTTACTATATTTGCACATAGCCATCTTTTAGATAAATGGCTATGCAAAACTCGATATTCCCAGTCCTGTATAAAGGTCTTTTGGAAATATGTAAGAAATCTTGGAAACATTTACCCTACTTCAATCGATGCATAACATTCTAAAATAAAGTTTTTCTTACCATATCGGGCTATCCCGAGTCGGGAGACATTGTAATTGATGAAAAATGTTGAAGAGTCGATAATTTCCGAGATGGCTTCTCAGGAAGTTTGGTAATGTGCATGCGCCACAATGCCACAAGATTTCCGCTTCCGGTTACATGCATGCGCATTGGCAAGACTTCCTGGTCAGACGACATGGAAATAACAAGTTCCAAATACATTTTTAGCCGATTACACTGTCTCCCGACTCCAGCTAGCGTTCTACGAATATTAAAACGATACTTTATGATGTTATACATCGATTGAAGTAGTGTAAGTGTTCCAACGATTTCTTACATTTCTGTAAAAGACCTTTAACATGGACTTGGTATATCATGATATGCAAAGCTAACTCCCAAGAGATAGCTTTGTGCAAACTAAGTAACATGATTCATTCATTGATTTCAAAATATTGAAATAAAAATTTAAAATATTATTTGACTCCTTTCCTGTGGATTTTAAAACCAAAAATGTTATTTCTCAAATGGAAATTACCTGAATAGACCTCCAAATTGATAATGGATATTATAATTTGCCGTTATGTATGCAGAATCATCAAAATCTTGGAGTAATTCAAATATTTTGAAAAAGTAAATATTTTTCGAATTTTCCGCGGGGCAGTGATTTATGTTACAAGAGTTCTGATTGGTTCAATTATTCAGGAACCGCCAAATATAGATTACTAGTATATCATTTAAAATGATATTTTTCGTATAAAATCCCTCAAAAGGAAAAGATGAAAATATTGTTTCATAAGTTGAGAATTATTCCAGGTCTGGAATAAGCAAAACAATTTTTTGACCACTTTCAAAATTACAAAATAAGATGGCGGGAAATCAAAAATTGTTTTCTTGTGGTACCCTGGAAGAATGGCAAACAGCTCTGGTTTCATATAAAGATGTGATGAAAGAAAAAGCAAAGCTTTTAACTAAGACCCCTAGAAGACCCAGAGGAGGAAAAGATTTGATTGAACTCGATGACTGGTAAGAAATTTGAAATAATATTGACAAAATAAATCAAGGCCTAAAAAGTGTGGGTGATAATTGACCCAATGACCTTTTGAACCTGGGGCATACTCACAAGCAGTGCTAGTCTTCAACATGCCAATGCAGTGGGTAGATCTTTCACCGCAAGCATGGTAACTTTGCATAAACAATTGACGTGATTGGTTCTTGTACCATGCCCGTGTCGCATGATTGTAAATTTTATTTTATTGATTTGTTGTGTGTATAACTGGTTAACACACTTGTGGTGAACCATTATCAACAAAACTCTTAACTATTAATCTCACTGTGCATATTCTATTCTATACATACACTTTTTCATCCATTTACTTACCAAAATCCAACCACTGGTGATGCTGATAATAATTACAATAATTGGACTATATTCTTGTTTTTAAAATGCCATCTATTCGTCTTTCCACTTGGCGGAATGATCAAAAAGTTGAATTTCCCCATATTTAAATATTAGGGACTTAATGTTCATCTATTCAACATCATCATCTTGTTTAGGAGGATTTAGTACAGTATGAAACATGAGAACACAACTAAGGCCTAAATACCATATTATATTTGGACATGAGTAATTTTCCTCACCCCACACAATTGTCTGGTTTATCATATTTTCCAGGTTTCAGAATGATCTTCCTATTGCGATTACCAGCAGAGATGAAAAACATATCACGCATGAAGAACTTTGCAAGCTTATGAAATGGAAACTAATGGTAAGTAATGAAACTCAGCATTGATATTTGAATGCTTTTATTGACTCGTATGTTTTGCCTATGGGATCAATTGGACATATGAGCATTGGTTTCTCAGTCAGTCCTTCTGGCTGTCAGTCCATCTGTCCTTCAACATTGGTGGTATTAATAAACACTGCTGGTTGCATAAGGCCAAAGCACAGAGAGGGCATGGGTCTTTATTTAGTTACAGGCCAATATCCAGGAGGTTTTGGAAGTTCAGCCCTTGGCCAAAAATTCTTTTAAAATCATGCAGTTTCAACTGATTTTTGGCCAAAGTTGTCAAATGTAAATCCCTGAATTTTTTGCAATGGAATGGACCGAGTGGACCTGAGTTAAATGACAATGAAGTTACAGAAATTAATGATTGATTTTTATTGATATCTCACAAGTATATGTACATGTATGAATTATGGTTAGGGATGTAACCTTCTCAATATATGTACATGTAATTATATACTATACAACAAAAATGCCTGGGGATCTGGGGATTCTTGTGTTTATGACTCTCTTGGTGTAATATATTGAAGCAAGAAGCAAGCAAATATAAGTCTGAAAGGTTCAGAAAAGAATAATTAAGTAAAACTAAAAATATGTTTCCCTTGGTTGTCAAATGGTCCCTCTTGACCTGAAATAGAGGTCTAAAATGAGTCATCACAAATATAGAAGAAAGTTTGTAAAAGAAACAAGTACAGTGTACTAGTACGGACAGAGTGAAAATTAACGAGCAATGGGATTGCTTAACTTTGTAATCTTATGGTATCGTATGTTAGTGTATCTGTTGCTGGGAGTGAGATGGCATCTTGTTGGTTTGGTGCCCAGTTGGGTCGAGGAAAGAAATCGTGAAGCTTTGAAGCATTCCACAATGGATATTGTAAAACATCTAAAGCCAGAAGATCATATCCCAACATACTTCACATGGAAAGCCTTTGTTCAAGCCTATAGAGCCAGAAAGATCGATATCAACAAAATAGCAAAGTTAGGTTCGCCAGCAATTAATTCGAATTTGCTGAAATTCCCAAATAAGGCAAAATGTAAGTTGTTGGACTATGCTAGACAATCCCGTCCTTACGTGATTGCTTTCGGAAGCTGTACATGACCTCCATTTATAGCCAAGTTGGACGAGTTGAAAAACGTCATGTCTGACTTTAGAAGTGTTGCTGACTTTGTGATTGTTTATATTGAAGAGGCTCACCCACAAGACGGTTGGAGCTTTGCAAACAATTTCGAAATCAAACACCACAGAAAAATAGATGAACGATTTGAGGCTGCAAAATTATTGGATTCTCAGATGTCTGAAAAGTCTATGAATTGTCCATTATTGGTTGATGAAATGACTGATGAAGCTAACAAAGCATATGGGGGACTTTATGAGAGACTGTATATAGTATTAAATGGTAGAATTGTATATGCAGGTGAACAAGGTCCAACGGGATATCACGTCGAGGAAGTTTACGATTGGTTGGCTAAATATGCTCCTGAATGCAAACTTAGCAATGATATTCAATAATTTGTCGATAACATTATAAACATGGACATTGAAGAAATGAAGGAAAAGAAGCTCAAAGTCGAACATCATAAACTGTCATTGTGAAAAGTCATTGGTTGCATTGAGAAGATAATACACTGAAATTAAGTTATTGAACAATAGTACAATTATACAATCAAAACATTAAGGAACAATATCAGACTAAATTGTGTTCAGTTATGATAGTAACCATGCCAACAAACTAAGACACTTATACTGAGATAAGTTTTCTCCTAATCAATCAGGTGTAATCGTGTGATGGCATCTTGTCATGTAAATGCTTTGTCTGAAATTTGAAGATACCATTGATATATACAATGTACATGATACATGACTGGTTGATCACTATGAGATGTTCTTATGAATACATATATTTGAAGTGTTGCTAATGAAGGATGAGTTTAAATAGCTGACAAAATCCTGATGTAAACCAAATACTTTAAGAATATGTTTTCATAAATCTTATATTTTATGAAACCTTATTGTAAAAAACATGAATACAGTGTAGTCTACATGAAAATAATCTTGTTTTTTTTTGTATATGGGACCATAATATTTTTGAATAGAATTATTTCTGCATGCTTATACATCACTCAAATGATAGATCTATGGATTTCATGGTGTGTCTGAATGTATTTAGATTTAAGGATTTAAGCCTTGGACTCAGCGCATTGTGTGCTGAACTATTCCACAATGTTGTTTCCAAATCTTTGCATGACCCGGTAGGGTCATTTCTTTCACCAGACATTTTCAAATTTCTCAAGACATTTTGGCTAGTACTTATTTTTCACACCAGACATTCTATATATCGCTGATTATGAATTTATAGTCAGTTATAATATCAGAAATAACAACATTTTTAATGTAGATATGAAAAATGGCCACCATTTTCAAGAAAAATATTTTTGTTTCTTGCATATCTACAATTTATAGATGACTATTAATTTGTTTTATTGTGCTAAAAAAGAATATTTTTTCAATATCTGTTACAAGTAGGTCACTATGACCTGTAGATATTTATCAAAAATCACTTTCTAAATTATTACAATCAATATTTGGAACGTTGTTAGAAAACTTCTATTTCTGAGAACCTTCCTCAATCAAACTAAAAAAAACTTTTACTCCCCAACACAGTTCAAGAATTTGATTGACAGCTCTATATTTGGAAGTGAAATTGATGGCCTGTGTTAAAACTTCAAGGTCAGGCTGATCTGGTCACTCTCTAAGACAATTTTAAAATAGATTTTTCATAGAAATTGATCAATTCTATATTTGTATTTCTCAGTCAAAACATATTTATAGAATAATTTACCTTCCAAACCATTCTTGACTATCTATTATCAGTTTAAGTAAGAGGTTTTAATCATGATTATTTTTGTCTGAACGTAGGTTTTTGCAGTGTTTTGTAGGACTGTTTTGTCAAAGAATTGCTAATAGAAATCACAATTCCACAATCTTCACAAGTTCAGGGTTTCATTTGAACCATATGTGTGATGGAATGATAAGTTCTTCCAGATGAGGATGGCACTGATTCAATGTTATGTAATGAAATGAAGCACTTTTGATAAACGTCAAAACTCAAAATGACATATTATCACTTGTCCAACGCTCTCTTTACTATTTTAATATATTAGTAGATAAGTCAAATACAAGATGGCAGATTTAGTTCTTTTATACTGATAGAATATTAAAGATGACTCAAGATTGCCACTTAAGTTTCAAAAGTCTCTTAAGTTCAAAATGAAGAGTGATTTACTACTCTATCACAGGCTGGTATCGAAATATTTGTCCGCTGTGACGGAGCATGCTATTTTTCATAAAAACGCTAAGAATACTTCACGATTTATTTTTTAACTCATATGTTTCGTTATACCATACAAAATTACTTACTCCATGCAATGGATATATCATTTGCAGGTAACTTTCACTTCTGTTTGGAGTCCAATTACGCTGGGAAGAAAAGCTATTGAAAATGGCGCCGGAGTATCATACTTCAAAATGGACAATTTCTTGTTTAACTTTCTAATGGCACGATATAGTGACACGATAATATTTACACATGGTTTCAGCATTATTATGAAGGTATAAATGAGATGTTGATGTATTTGGTCTTTTTAATTCTTTTATAAAAAATAATGTTTATTTTTTTTGTCCGCTGTGACGGAGCAGTTGCAAATGTGAACTGTGAAAATGCTCCGTCACAGCGGACAAAAAATATAAATTTTATTTTTTATAAAAAAATTAAAAAGACCCAATGCATTAATATCTCATTAATACATTCAGATTATGCTGAAAACATTATGTCAATAGTATCGTGTGACTATATCATGCCATTAAAAAGTTAAAAAAGAAATGGTACATTTTAGAGTTTGATACTCTGGCGCCGTTTTCAATAGATTTTACTCCTAGCGTTATGGGACTTCAAACAGAAGTGAAGGTTACACGCAAATGATATATCCATTGCATGGAGTAAGTAATTATCTTTGATATAACGAAACATATGAGTTAAAAAATAAATCGTGAAGCATTCTTAGTGTTTTTATGAAAAATAGCATGCTCCGTTACAGCGGACAAATCTTTCGATACCAGCCTGTGTCTATGGAGTCGCTATTTTTCTAGTTAATCATACATGAATATATTCTGTAGTACTACCTGAGAAATGTTTGTTTTATCAATGTTTTTCAGAGAGGCAAATTCCGGCCAAGGCTCACTGAGCTTGTGCAGGCGAACAAACCTGAAGAAGTTATTGCAGCAAGTAAAAAAGCCTTCAAAAAACTTCCCAATATATCTGAAGCAATCAAGGCTCTCATTGTTCTCAAGGCTGTTGGTCCAGCAACTGCTAGTGCTGTATTAGCCGCGGGAGCTCCTGAAGTTGCGCCTTTCATGGCGGATGAATCAATGCTTGCGATTCCAGGTCTACAACCACTTCAATATACACTGAATCATTATGTTAGTTATGTGGCACAGATTGAATCATGCATGGAGAGATTAAATAAGGAAGGTAGGTAACACATATTAGAAATAGAGTACCTTATTATTAAAACCAGGTGTACAGGTATGGTGAATGTCCAAGCATCCTTGTCTGGAAGATATTTTCTCATTTTAAGGCATTATTTTAAGGTTTATTACATACTAAATTTAACTTCCTTAATGTGTCATTTAAGATGCAATCAACTCAAAATGGTTTTTGACCCCCTTCTGGACTTATTTTCGTAATTGCATATAAACTTTATACATTGAATAATAAGAAATGTCACTTTAAAAACTCTTGATTTGAATGTACAAGAACTATCAAGAACAGTCTCACTGTAATTTTTGTATTTTTATTCAAAATAGATGGCAGAGATGTCATTGTAGTGAAATAACACACATACATAAAGACAATTTGTTCACTCTGATTCAAAACCTAAGATAGAAACTTCCAGTGCTCCTCAATCCGCCACCTCCCCCTCCCACCAATTTTTCCATATAATTTTAATTGTATAAAATGCAGGCAGAGGGAGGGGGGGTTGGAACGAGAGCCCAAAATACATTGATGAAGGATTACAATAAACCACATAAAAAGTCCTGTCCATAACTATTTCAGATGACATGGTAGAATGGTCGGCACATGACGTTGAGCTTGCCTTATGGACATATCACATGGCTAAACAATTGGACATTAACATTGAAAAATCAGGACAGAAGCGGAAAAGTGACTCTAGTGATACTTCAAAATTAAAAAAGCAGAAATCTAAATCAAAGGACACTTAATTTCTGTAGAGTAATATTTCCTTTACCATGTAAACCTACAGTATTTGCAGTAAGTTGTGATGATACAAAAATTATGCAAAAATATATTTTATATATTTTATATTTGATATATTCATAAATCATGTTAAGCCTCCTCTTAAGTGTTATTGCAACATTTGGAAGTTTTAAAAGAATCCCTTGGTCCATGCTATTAAAATTTGATTCATGTTTTAAGAATATGTTTTGAATCAATCCCTTGGTCCATGCGCAATATTATTAATGTTGCCTTCTGTTCATTTAATCATGTTCAAATATTGTGCCTTATTACTACACTAAAATAGTTCTCTCATTGCTTAAAGTAAACTAAATGCATATGATTTATTTGGATGAAAATCCTTGGTAAATAAGAACCTTATAACCTGTAGGTATTTATCAATCCTTAACATGTTTTTTCAAATTAAAATGATTAGATTTATTTTTATGAGGCCTTCGAGTTCACTATGCTGACTAAGTGTTTATTTACGAGATATAAAATGTTCCTTTTTAAAACAGCATCCAAATGAGAGTAGGTAAATATTTGACCTGTTTGCTCACACTTTCAGCAGTGAATGGATATTATTTTCAAAGAACTTTGCATGTAAATATTTGATCCTCTGTTTTGATATTCATGAGAAAACTGAATTTAGGGCACTAGAAACGAGCAAAGGGAGCCAGTGTGTTAAGGTATGTATTTTTATTTTGCAGTGGAACATTGTGCACTTTGTTTATGCATCAAATAGGTTTGAAACTTTATCTTTATGACAATATATATATTAGTCCGGATGTAGAGCCAGTAGAGGTGGAAATGCTTATTATATGAACTTTTTTTGCATTTTCTGTTTAAACATGATATCCATATTCAGAAACTGCCGGATGCCCAACGGGCATCCTTGAGGAATTTTTTTGGCGGCCATTTTGAATTTTCACACGTTTTATGTATTTCAGCCAGCATATTAGAACAGAAAACTACCATACATATAAACATATCTTGCTGTTTTTTCTATAATAGAGTTTTAATATGATGTAAACCAATATGTTTAAGAAATGTTTCTTGACAAAAATAAAAAAAAATTCAAGATGGCCGCCAACCTTACAATTTATGAAATGTCTCATTATGTGATAATATCAAATCGATATTAGTGTTTCCTACAAAATTATCAATAAATGATACTAAATACATCTGATTATGATCTCTTTCTCACATATAAAATATCTGAAATGAGTAAAAAGTAACCTACATAATAATTATGATGTTCCACAAGGGTCATTTCTTGGTGCTATATATATCTTGAATTTATGAATTATCTTCTTTTACTAAAATTTCATCAAGGATTTCCCTCAATAAATCCTCATCAGTTTCTTCCAATTCCTGTTCAGTTACTGTCTTAGTATGTTGGTTATTGCACTCATTCCCCTTGCAAACACAGAACAATGTACATGATAAAGATGCCTTGGAGCAAGAACATCGCCCAGTTCCACATACATTGCCCTCTGATGCACATGTGCACTTAATGAGCTGGAGAATTCCTTCAGGGGCACAGGGTATGTCCTTGGGCATTGTTGTTGGGACAAGTGATCCCGTGCTGTTAATTTCCCAACCATAATCTGTTGGAAGGATAAGTGGGGGGTCAGGCATATCAGCATTTTTCCATAAAGCTACTTGGAAATGAGCTCGCTTCACATGCTGGGAAAATGCTTCTGTTGTTGGTGGGAGGGATTTTAGCTTTGGTGCATTTGTAATGTGTTTTGCAGCATTTTTCTTTGCCCATACAGCATATCTCACATCAGACATTTTGTCTGTGACTTTAGGTGTAATTCCATAACATCTAGAAACAAATTCTGTTGAAGTTTTCTCAACTTCAGTCATGTCTGCATTGACATCTCCCAAGTTAGCGAGTGAGTATCTATTTAACACCTTCAGGACTGTTAGCTTGCCAATTCCATGCATGCAAGATGTCGTATCACTGCCAGAGAGACCATGCGCAGCTAACAAGTTTGGGATTTTTAATTTGTGTTCATTTATGGTTGCATTAATGTTAATGTTTGCTCGGCCAGATGATGTTCCCTCCATTATGATGTTATTTTCAATTAACTTGTGCTTGAGACAGTGATGAAGAAGTAGAAGGAAGACATCAGTATCATCACTGCGTACACTGATATTCTGTTGGCCTTTACTGGCAGCATGCAGAACCTGGTGTACGATAACAACATCTGCTTCTTCTTGAGTGTTCCTTAAGTCATCACGTTGGCCAATATTTCCTTTGTGAATTTGTACAGGTGTTGGATCAGGACCTGTGATAACAAGGATGTTGGAGAATGATCCTTCACTAGCTTTTTGAGTGAGATGGTCGATGACACACTTTATCAACTGGACCTTGTTCTCAGTCACATTCAGAACAACATTCTGTGCAGGGAGAGGTGTGTCAGAGCTTAACTTATACACTCTACTGGCTGATTGAGCTCGAGATGACCTGGTGCTGTTCTTTATGCTATTGTCTTTATATCTGTCAAAGATAAGGTATACATCTGATTCGGTTAGGAGTCTCAGGATGTACTTAGTGAAAGCAATACAGAAGTTTTCAATTTTGCCAGCCATCGGCCATGTTATGATCCAAAGGATGGCACACCCATCAACGACACGTACATTGCAATTGTTTCCTCTTGAAGTCACCTCAATCTGTAACTTTTGTTTCAGTGTTGATTTTGAAGTTGTGATATTAATTTCTCCATTTTCATCAAATAGTGATGTCGGTACTGGGGAGAGTTCATGGGATATTACTTCAGGGAGGTCTACAGTGCGAGTCGCAATCAACCCAATTACTCTGGAGTATATAAGCTCTGTATCAAATACAGGGGTGTCATTAACTTGCACTCGCTTTTTGCTGACAGCCATTGTAACAACCTGAAATGATTGAATATGAATGTTAAATGTAAAGACAGTAAAACCTACTACTAGTATACATTTTTACATTTTGAGCCTATCAAATTCAGTTCCCAATGCCCTATAAAACTCTCTGTAAAACTAAAACATAAAGTGGAAGTAATGAAAATTAATACATTAATAAAATCTTATTTGTCAAATTAGTGCTTGGTTGCTATATATATGTGTATACTCTGTCAATCAATATCATATTATTCTTCAAATCAAATCCATTTACATTCCCTACCATTAATAAAAAATTATATTAATTTATCTATTCTATATTTTATGCAGAAAAAATAATCAATCATTTTGGCTACCTTAGAGGTTAATGATCCATAGAATCCCTCAGGCCAGGTCTCCTCATACTTCATCCATTCTTCTGTGCCAAGTCTAACAGAGTCATAGGCATCAACAGTTACAGGACTCAGCTTTCCGGTGTTAATATTGATGAGAGATGCTGGATGTGATTCTGGGTCCAATGGATCGATACATGTGACCAGCTTGTCACGAAGTTTCAAGCGGTCTGCTAAATCAGACTTTATTCTGGAGTTTCCTTCCTCTTTATGTGCAGTAATCACCTGATCTTGCTTTCCAGATATGCTTGCAAGATCATTCATCAGCTGACTACAGACATGAAGACTGAGAGCCCACCTCTTTAAACTATTTGGGTTTAGGGTATTACCTATGATTCCACCTGGTCCATGACCATAGCGCATGAATGTAGTTTCAATATACATGTCTGACCATATCCCATTCCAAACACCTGGGGAATGACGGGTGACATGTTCCCCATTGAGGAAATGTTTCAGGACTTCTTCAGGTAGACCTTCCATGTCTCGTAAGTAGAACAAGCCATATTTTGCATAGTTGAAATGCCTTGCTGCGAAGAAATATGGGATCATGGCTTCAACAGCAGCTAAATGCAGCAGCCAATCAGCCTCACGTTCGGCCCTTACAAATGACATCATAATAAACACAGGCTTGATGAGGTTTTCAAGCCACAGTTTGGAGGTCAGACTACTTGCAGCTTTGGTTTCAAGTGTGGTAATCAGGTCTTCATAGTTGGAGCACTGGTTAATAGTTGTCCTCAGAACCTCTTCAGTTAGCATTCTCAATGCCCTGGTGTTATTTGGAAAGTTCTTGCCAGATAGCATTTTGGCTACTCCTGCGAATGTTGAACTGAGGATGTCCTCAATCCCACTTTCAGCCATCAATACTCCAACACACCCCACAAAACTCATGAGCATGTGCATGCCACCAACTCTGTTAATAACATTATTCAATTTCAGGGGATAATGGAATTTGAGTCCAACCACTATCTTGTACAGTTGCAGATCATTTGTAAGAACAACATAGGCTTGTCCACAGTCCTTGGTGAGCTGCTGACTTTCCACAATTACAGTCAGCATTGAATTTGGGTCAGCAGGCTTCATGTCTATCAATGGTCTGTACTTTACTTTAGTGTGGTGTACAGTGGGGTGCTTTTTTTCTCTAGCTACTCTTGTATTATATCCACCAAATTCTGGTGTGTCTGGTGCACTTGTGATTTCATAGAAGAAATTGAAATCTAACTCTCTTGCTTTTTTTACAGTTTCAGATTGGTCATTTTGGAGGTCTGGAGAAAGCGGAGTTTTGGTAGCATAGGCTTGGGACATAGGTGGATTCTTAGGTCCTTCATATATTTGGGATGGGACATCAGGACAGCTTTCCCGAGAATCACTCAAAGGTAGCCTTGGGACAGTTTGTATCATATTCATCATCTGCATCATGAGTAGAATAACCTGATTGGCACTGTGTTAGAAGGAGCGCTAAGGCATGAGTTGACTTTAAACCATTTTGGGAAGAAATATTGGCATCAAAGTTATCACTCATTAGTTGTATGAGTCCATCTTTATGGTCAAATGGACCATGATCATCACCCTCTTTAGATACGGCTGATGCCACTGATGACTTGAACCTATTAACCTCTTCATAAGAACAGCAGACATGGAAATCAAAAAGGGAATTGATCAAGCACTTTTGTCTCAGTAAAACACCTAGAGCAACTTGCAGGGGGGTGTATCTTGCTGTTACTACACTGGTGATGATGTTTCCAATCAATATTGTTGATAAGGATGATTTATTTAATTTTGGTGATATTGCCTTTAGGAGCATGATCAAGGTAGGACTGACTGGTTCTGAGGCTATCCTTCCATTTATTCTTGTTTTGTATGATTTATTATTAGGACATACTTCTTTGCACTCTTTGATTATAATGGATGCAAGTTTTTTAACTTGAACATTTGTGTCATCTTCATCGACATTTTCATCATTATATAGCTTGGTCACTTTACTAGCAGCTGATTTATGAACCAATATATTGGCATATCCTGGTGATGATAGCACAACATAATCATTCATAATTTCAGAAAGTCCATCAGTAAAACTTCGGCGGCACTTTTCACCATCAAATGTACAGTACAACTCATACAGTTCATTCGTATTCCAAAATTTTGAGAAGTCTTTTTTCATTTCTTCCGACACCTTGTACAAAGCAAGATCATGTGTTGAAGATGATGCACAACTTGATGCCGCCTTTTTTACACAACATGCATTCATGAACTTGTGATAGCAGGCCTGGTGATATCTCCCATCTGCAGCATGTAAATCTGATACAGCACCCTGAAGTCTAACTTCTACTTTTTTAGACCATTCATCTCCACGCTCTTCACACTTCTGTAGAATATTATGTTTAAATGAGCCTTTATCACCACGATCAGCGGTTTTGCATTCTATAACTTTTTTCCACCTTTTAGGGTTATGAGGATCTAATGGTTTGCATATTTCCCCACAAAAAATGCAGTGTTCGAGGAAATTAAATGTTGGAATATCAGATCGTCTCACACGTTTTGTCAAGACAGGAGAAGTATCTAATGCTTTGGTCGGTTTTGTTCTTTTCAGCTCTCTCTCGATATGAAACTTGGATGTATATGTTGAAACACAGCTTTTGTGACTTTTTATTGTCCAGTCAGGGTTACTATTTAGCTGAGTTGAAATGTCAATATGTATACTATCTTCCCGCTGTTTACTAGAGGCTATGATCTTTTCAATTCTTTGGGCACCATTAATTTGCAAGTCTGTGGTACTATCTAATGAGCATTTCAAGAACTTTTTAAAATAACATTCTGTTGACATCCTGGAAATTAAAACGGAAATGTGAATTAAGAGAGTATTATGCGGATAGAAATTGGTATATTAATATTCTAAAAACTGAACTTATATATTTCAACTATGAAATACAATGTTATATTTAATTTCTATAATAGAAATACTTATGTTCAGTAAAAATTAAGAAATTACAGTATTCACCATAATATACATGTTATATAAACAGAATGTGTTGGAAGAAATTACCTGAAAGTGTAGGAATTAGCAGAGAAATAACTGACTCAGCACATGGCTAATTTTCAAAATGGCTCCCTTGAGATTACTGGGGATTCCCTCCATTGCAAAGGGAATTGCCTGGGTTAACCCATGCATGACATCACTAGGGAAAATCCCAGCATTCTTATAAAGAATTATCTGGGCTTATCTATAATGCCATAAATGGGGTATAACATATTACTTGAATAAAGGGTTAGTCTATAAAATTCTTTTAGACACAGTTTAGAAATACTTATATTTAATGGGTTCACGATCTTTGTACATGAGAAATTCAGCCATTTTGAAATTATCATGTGAAAAAACATCAAACTGGGCACCTGGAAGCTAAATCTATATGTAAGGGTTATGAAATTCAACATAATCAGTACTATATTATTTATAAATGTGCAGTTTCACTTATACATTGAATAATTAGCAATTAATTTTTCGCCGTTTTGGGCAAACTGGTGTTACTTTTAAAATGGCTGCCAAAAAAATTCCTCAAGGATGCCCGTTGTGCATCCGGCAGTTTCCAAGAGCCAATACCCTGTAGAAATAGAAAATGCAAAAAAAGTTCATATAATAAGCATTTCCACCTTCACTTAAAATATGGCACTTCACATCCGGACTATATGAGAAGACATTAATTAAAGGGAGAATCATAGATAAGTCACATATCCAAAATTAACATTTTTGATTTTTCAATCAGTCGTATGTTTCGTACCATCTAAAATTAATGTTATATATCACATTCACAGAAAACTAGCATTTCAAATGAATAGATTTTAAAGATATAAAATGTGAAATTTGGAAACCAGGAAGTATTGCAAAAAAGAATCTATAATGATTGAGATTTTGCTCTTCCCATCTCTGATGCCCCCTTTATGTATTGCAGGTCTCAGTTGCAAATATTGTCAGATGAACAGTATTCAGTTACTTGTTTTTATAGCTAGAACAACATTTTGTTGCTTGTAGAAAATGGGAGTTGCATTTATTACTAATTGGCTCATATATTAAGGGACATAAAGGGTCGTTTACCTTGAAATTCAATATTTCTAACTATGTACTACAGTGTAGTGGTAAAACATGAACATTAAGGATATCAGGACATTCCTTTACATTTAGAATGTCAGATGCTTTTTTGATGGTGTTGTAGACATGCTGAGTGAATCATAACCAGCAATATTTAATTTTTAAATGTGATGCAATTCTGTTCCCTGGATACCTCGTTAATTTTAGTTTACTTAATGTTTATTCTCTGAAGCAAATATCACTCTTTTGAATAAGCCTGAATGGTCTGAATTCTTAATCATATGTATTATACTACATTTCCATTTGTGTGTACATTTACGTTAATCCAATCGTTCTATATATTGAGATGTCATTTATCATATTAGAATGTATTGTATAAAACTAATCACTATATCGAGAACAATAAAACTAAACGAAACTGTAATAAAGTCTAATCCAAAAATAATTATTCTAATTTCATAAAACTCTTCTCCAGTTTTGCTTGCAAGTATAATTTTCAGCGATGTAAAATTGATTTCATTTCTTAGTAGTCAATGAGAAAAATAGCTTACTTTAGTCAGTAAATTGGTTCTGCTGGCTTGTGAGTAAACTGAATGAACATTATTTTATATTGAGAATGCTGTCTTTGTAATAGGGTTGTTATGGCGGCCAATGAAGAGGATTATCAACTTTCCATAATTTCAACAAATCTACCATGGAGATAGCTAGAACGGACAGGCTGACACATATGGATAAAGTCTAGTAAGTATTTACTTGTCAGTATTTGTTGTTCTTAAAACTTCATTTTTGGAGGCATTAATTTGCCGATTCTTGCTTTGGTGTTACTTGGTTTATGTTATTATGTGACCACCAAAAAGTGGTGACATATTGTTATGGTCTCCGTTTTTTTGATGGCGGTTGGTGGTTGGCGATCCGTATCTGTAACAAATTCTTACAACTTCCGACTTCAATTTTTTTCAAAATCATCTACATGTTTTCAAAAGTTCAAATCTGACTTTATATTTAAGACTTGACCTTGAATGACTTTTTCAAGGTAAAAAAGGTATTTTTTCAACTTGCTTCAAATTGACCAATTTTTTTTAAAAAATCATCTACAAGTTCTCAACAATTTAAATCTGACTAAAGATTTGACCTTCAATGACATTCTCAAGGTCAAAAAAGATTTTGACCTTTAATGACCTCCTTAAGGTCAAAAAGGTATTTTTTCATCATGGTTCAAATTGACCAATTTTTTTCAAAATCATCTACAAGTTCTCAGAAGTTCATTAAGATTAAACGCATAATATTGTGAGCAACTAGGTGGTGACATTTTGTCATGTTAATGCCTTGTCATTTTCAGAACAATTTCAAAATACAGGGTATCCACAAAGACTCTTTACAAGGGCTAGAGATTGTATTGTAATTGTAAAGACACTTTATAGATACCCTGTACCCTTTAAATGTCAAGTTTATGAACTATTGAATTATAATTAAGGTAGGTCTTCTCCATGTGTGCCAATATGATGACAACATGCACACATAGGCCTAAAATTATCCCACTGCCCACCTTAATTGTGGTTTGGCTTATTATTCTTCAACACCGGCAGCAATAATAACATGCGATATTAAAAGCTTCCGAAACATCGAAATTAGCTTCCGTCAGCCTATAACTGTAATATTTCAGAATATTCTTCATTGATTTGTATTGACAGGATCTTCACGGGGCATTGATCACACATTTAGGAATATCCGTACAAGAAAATATTGAATTGGACCAAAGTCACACAGACACGGTGAGTAGAATTATTAGATATTAAAGGGAATTATTTAAGCCGATTTTATAATAAAGATTTAGAGTAATTTTTTCAGATGGGGAAACCTTTATAAATCTAGTTATTAAACATGAATGAAAATTTTATTAATGAGATATGTTATGAGATGATGATTTAAGGGCTATGTTTTTGTCAAAACATTCAGAGTTTATTACCAATAGTGTCATGTTTGGAGTAGTGGTAACCCTTTAACAGAGATCAACACATCTTGACTCTTTAAATGAGAAATCCTGTTTTTTTTGTTTTTTTTAATGTGTCATGAATAACAAATCAGAATATGTAATCAGAAAATGACAACACTACATTTTCTGCCTATAAGTTGTTAATAATTTCATATCCAAACAAAGCTTTATTTGAGAGTGCTATTAAGTTTTAAATTAGTAAGCCTCAAAAAACCTGTCAGCGGATTGTGTGATTAGATCGTGCCGGATCAAATTCAAAGTAAGTAGTAGCCATTATCCTTTTATGTTGATGGTTTAGTGGCAATATACAGGGTGTCCCGAAAGTATGGGGCCCCCCCCTAGGCAGACATACCACAATGTCCCCATAGTATATAGTATGTGTCACATTTCAAAATATAGTGTTTTACCAAAATTAAAGTTTAGTTTTCCCCAAATTTATAGTCAGCGTGTCTCCTTTGGCCATGTTAACAGCAGCATTTCTTTCCAGATATGACCTTTAATGCACTTCAAATAGGGGTATGGCATTTTATAATCCTCATAAAACCTTTTTAAGGCATTTTAGAAGAGTTTCCTTGGAGTATCTGCCCTTACCAACCTCTTTTTACAACTCAATATTCATCCTCTCTTTGACGATAGCACCCATATTTTTAATCACATTCAGGTTAGCGGTGTTTCCAGGATACTGATTTTAACTTTAATTTTGGCCAAACACTAAGTTTTGAAATGCCTGTAACCTTTTCTCATTTGTAAGTTGAACAATGATACTTGGCAAATCAATGTAACTTTGGATAAGCTTTAAAATGATATATGACACATACTATGGGAACATTGGTGTATGTCTGTCTAGGGGGGGCCCCATACTTTCGGGACACCCTGTACAAGTACAGATGAACAATTATTAAATATTACTCAAAACATTTAATCCATACCTAAGGAACTTAATTAGATATCTTTTGTGTGGTTGTTTTGTATCTGTAATTTTGGCATCCTATGTATGTTCAAAATATATCCAGACAAACAAACTACCTAAATACTACAAAAAATATTTAAAGATCATTTGACCAGAACTCTTATTGTTAAAGGACCATCACATAAATAACTCATCCAGAACCAAAGAAATACAAAATCTCTATCTTAATATTGAAATATGGCGATACATCTCTACTTGGGATGTTCTCAAATCCTATTTTCCAATCAAGAACACACATTATTGAGAGAATTAAGCAAATCCAAGATCTTATTCTTATATAATGTGTTCCTAACAACTCATTAGGTGAAATATTAGCTTTATAATTGAACTTTGAGCTATTATCTAAGACATCTGGAAATAATAATTCAGATTGATGCTTACTGGTATTGAAAAAAATGAAAGAAAAAAGTATTTCAGTGTAAGATATTTCAAAAATAAAATGATTCAGCTTATGTGAATTATGGGGATAATTCTTAATGTTAAATGTCTATTTTTGTATTGAATTATCTAATTCAATCTTTTCACATATTCACATTTCACAGATTAATATAGTGTTTTACTGTTTAATCAGCTGGAAGGTACATTTCTAATTAATTTTTCTGATATTGATATCATTCTTGGGCTGAATCTCATATAATACAGTGAAACCTGTATATCTGAACACCTCTCTAATCCAAACACCTCTTAATGTGAACACTTTTTCTTAGCCCCTTACTCTTTCTCTGCCATTGACTCACATGTTCATGAAACCCTAAAATATGAACACCTGCTAATTTGAACACTTTTGACCAGTCCCAGTGGTGTTCAGATTTGACAGGTTTAACTGTACCAAGAATTATTTTGTATGTTTTTGCTATTATCAATTTCTATGTCATGTTCTTTTATGTAAATTATTAGCCGAGGTTTTAAAACGAAATACCATTCATCCCAACCATGTATTTATTGTACATTATTCGTAAATACCTTAATACAAATTCATAGTTGTAACACGTTCTGTAAAACCTAATCTGAATACCACAGGACTCGTCGGGAGTGTTTAGGTGTTCACATTCCAACATTTATGGAAATCTTTGGTAGAAAAATGGAATAAAAAGTGTTCTCATTGAGTTGTTCGATTCTACAGGTTTTACAGTAGTTCAAATTGATACAATATAATCTATCAAATAGGGAAGTGAAATATAGTTAGGATTCTATATGAAGAGTAAATTGACTTATACAGAACAATAGAATATTTTATACATGTACTTCATGTAAATCAGCTTATGGATTCCTGTGTAAGAGGTCTATAGAAAATATCAATGGGCAAGTACTATACATGTACTGTATATTGCCTATAGGGGCTAAATGGTATATTTCCTCAATTTGGATGAAAATTTTAAAGCAGAAATTATAGATGGTCAATAACAGGCACTGGTGGTCAGAGAATGCAATAAAAGTAAACATATTTTTGGTCAGTATTTACAAAACTATATTTCCATTAAAAACTGTGCAGTTGTATTTATGGGCAGTTATTCTGGTTGGCTACATTACGTATTCACTCTACTGTTATTGTACTCTCTCAAGAGTTGCCACGCAGGAATTTAGCAATAGATAATTCAATGTTTTCATTCTATAGGCCCGAGTCTTATCTAAATTGGTTTAGCAAATGATTGGTGTAAAATTGTAAAGCTCATGGCATTGATTGAGGACGACCGGCCATAATTCTGGTTCTATTCACAAAATCATGTTCTGGTTCATTTAACATTATTCTGTTCTTACAAATTCTATTTCATTCTAACTAACTGAGAAATTAGGTTTTGGAAATTGTCAGTGTCAATTTAAAAAAATGTTTTTTAACATTTACCCAGAATGCCGAAAAAAAATTCTATTTTATTAAAGATATCAGTATGTAGTCTTGACTTATCTGCTTCTGTTTCAACTTATATATCATGTATATATAATATTTGCGTTTTAATTCTGATGCATGTGTAGTCTTGCCTCTCATGTCTGTGCTTTAAATCCAATATCAAGGGTCTTAACCATGTACGTACATGTACGTTTCTTTGATATAAATGTCTGATATGTCGTTCATTTAACTTTGATGTTTGTTCAAATGGCAAATTAATTCTTTGTTGAATGTTACTATTGACTACACAGTGGAAACTCCAATCCGCTTGTCAATTGTTTCCCTTTAAATGACAGCTCATCAGTTGTTTCTGATCTTTTGAAATTATTAATTACAGCGCTATGTTACTTCTGAGTGGTATGTTATAATAAATATTATATTTGATCTCGTTTTGAAGCTGGTTTAATATTTTAGTATTTGGAGTTAATTAATATCCGCCATTTGAATTATAAGACAACCATTAGTGTTATAATGACTCTAAGAAAATAATGGTTTAAAAGGAATCATTTGAAATGTTCAATAAATACAATGTACTACTTACGTTGTATGTACATGTACTTAGTGGGCATCCTGGGTGTTTTGCTGAAAGTGTACTCTTTGCATTCGTTTTACTTCAATTCTTAAAAGAGAGCTTCGTCTTCACTCTTTCAAACTAAAATAAACCTATGAAGTCACCGCACCAATCAGTGTTCGTCGGCCAAATTTGACCGACATTCTATATATGGTCATTCCTTCTGACGTCATCGTTGAGCCCGGAATTGACCAATGACATGCGCATATTTAATTAGAACGCATTTGGCGTGTTTTTTCAAGCTCGCTGATTGGTAGTCAGCACGTAGGTCAGAAGTGATTTACTACCCAAACTGTCACCGGTATCCGCTGTGGGGGCGGGGCTACTAAACTGTAATATGGTCTCTACTAGGCAGAGTGTAGTTTAACTAGACTGCACGCAGGGTACTGAAAGTGCAACATTTATCCTTGAGTGTCTTGTTATATTTAGAAAATATACTATACTGTAGTACAGTAGTAATCTACTATAATGTGTCATCGTGATAAATAAGATGATGCTGCATTGTGTCCATGAATGTAACATCTTTATCTATTCAAGATATAAATGTTGTGATTAGTTAGATAGTTTTCTATGCTTCACTGTAATCAGCATCACTTGATGAAATAGAAAAAATCATGAAATTTGACAATTTGGAAAAAACAAGATTTCCCTGTCCGAACTCATTTGAATCTTTCACCTATATTTGAGGAAAATCTCTCCGGAGAAGTCACTGACATTTTCACATATTTTTGCAAATTTCTCACATTTCATCTGATTAATAAAATGCTCAGATTTGCGGATCAATCTCTTTGATCCATTTTGTCTCTATCTAAAAGGTCTCTTGATGTGAACCTATTAAACACAGCTTTTCAATTCCCAAATGTTAAAGAAGGGTTATTATAACCTTTAGGATGTCATTGTTAGTCAACTACTCTGGGAATTAAAGATTACATAACCTTTTCTAGTAAAATATCAGCGTTTTATCTGCCCTGTACCACAGACGTCCCACATGGTTTCATGGTGCAGCAAACTGGAGACATTAAAAGTTCAGAATTTGGAGTTTAATCTACTTAGTATTCAAATTATTTGATCCCATGGTTACAGATCCCAATGAAACAGATCAAATACTGTATTAGATATTCTATAGGTGGGTAGATAGCATATTTGGTTAATATTTCCTTTTTCGTTAAATGTTTGTTCTCTCTAGGATCTACCTCATATGTTTCCTTGGCTGAGCTGGAGGTTTCTTGTTTTTAAAGATTACATCCTCAAGAGCATTTTACTGAATATATATAATCTTGCAAGAAAGAGGGAGAAAACCAAGAAAAACAAAATGTTTTGTTCATGTAACATAAATCATCAAATTCAAGCAAATTGCGCATCAGTGCAGCAGTACCTTGGGTTGACTCCCACATCTGACAATTTTTTCAATAATTATTCCCCATTCGTTCCCCATTCCCCATTCGTTTGCTCATGTTACATTGAAAATTATGTGAGATATGCATCGATGATTATGTGAGATGGGCAAAAAAAGGTTTTGAAAATTGTTCAATTATTTTGTGCCAGATAGAGATCACCATTGTTTTGTTTGTTGTTTTGTTATGCCACGGATGCTATAATAACATTATCGTGTAGAGCAACATGCCATTCATCTGTTGCGTTTGTGTTCTTGTAAGAGAGGATGAGGTGGGTTTCTTTTGGATTTCTTATAACAGGCGAAACAAGTTCCTTAAAACAATAGGACACAGGCCCGTAGCCAGGATTTGCCAAGGGGGATCACTTTTTGAAAAATTCCAGGGGGGGTTCACTTGTGACAATTTTGGTCCAAAAATGGCCAAAATCACTTAAAAAGTGCTCAGAATGGTGAAAACTGCATGACTTTGAAAGATTTTTTGGCCAGGGGGGGGGTTGTTCGCTGGAACCCATCGAACCCGCCTGGCTACGGGCCTTGGACATTTCAGTGAAAACAGCCAAAGAAAATCACCTGTTGGTAATGAAAACTCTGGAAAGGATCATCTTGGTCATGGTCAGTTAAAATGAACTGTTCTATTTTAATTACAGTATAAACTCACCATCTATTAATACTGTAGTTCACCCAAGCTTCACTGTGAGGTTCAATTAATCAATTACAAACAGATACAAATTCTTATGTTCTCACACTTCCTTAACATTGCTACATCTGCAGAAAGAATGTGAAATAGGCCAGAGTAATCTAGTTCTTTGTTTTGCATTATTTTGTTATCCAAGAGGAATGAGCCATTCTTATCTTAATAATGAAACACATGTTTCTATCAGTATGTAGAATGAACCATAATGTATTTATTATAGTGTGTAGATTGAAATATATGAGAGATAATGCTAAACATATAATTATTTTCTCTTGCCTGATCAGAAAAGTAAGGATTAGTGGCAGTCTGTTTAAGACGATTATAAACTAAATCATCCAAAAGGAAGATAATCTGAATTAGGTGAGTAGAGTTGTTATTTCATTTGAAATGTATCCATCTCCTTTAACAGACAGTATTTAATTGATCAAAAATCTATAAAATTCACAAATTACTGAATTGTAATCCAAGTAATCTCAATAGAGGATATTGAATGGTTTTTGATTTTAAGGGGTTTTCATCAAGTGATGTCAAAATTAGAGATGAGCTTTAAAAGCAGTTGAATAAGCATTTAAAGGAAGATTTGTATTACATAACATGTAAGTCAGGAATTGGTGGAAATACAAAAATCTACATCAGATCTCAAAAAGTGACAATTATATCAGACCAGATTATGTGGTCAGATAATCTGGAGACTCCATTTTCTGCCTATATTTGGCAATAACAATTATCTCACATTCAAATGCCCATAAAAGGCTATTAACGCGACTTCCTTATACAGTAATGAACTTTGCTGATGAGGAATCAGGATACATATTGTTTATGGAAAATGCCAGTTCTTGATTGAGTTTATATCATGGTCAGATTCATCCATGGTTAGTCTTATATTATTTTTGCTTAAACAACAATTTTTCACTTTCTTAAAATGCTATTATTTGGATTCATTCATTCCAGTTTTAGGTTTAAATTATTTTTGAATGTTGAAATGCAATATTTGCTTTCCAAGAAAAAATTAAAAAATGTTTTCCTCATAATTTTCATATATCACAGTTACAACTCTTTTAACCAGTTATATATTTTATGTAAGCCTGGAGGAGCCAATCATTGTTAAAGAAGATTCAATATAAAATAAACATTTTCTTTATTGACAAGTGTAATAAGCTTCATAAAATACTTGGATTACTGTCTTTAGACTGTTTATGAGCATCTGCAAATATTGCATATGGATTCTATTTGTATTTCAAAGGTGCTTATTACAACAATAAACCTTGCAGATATCTTGAATGAATATTACAAGTGATACAAGCAGTTCATTTGTTTAATACACAACCTGATATGTTGAAGAAAGCATGGTAAAAATGTCGACACTCTTAATTTATTTGCATACTTTAATCGTTTTATGGACTGCATCTAATGTAAATGATTTTCTATATGAGTATGATTTTGTTTTTGAGAGTTAAATAAAGACAACTGGAGTAAATACAGGTAGATACAGAATGGAGGTATAGTAAAAAAAATGTTAATGAACAAGAAGAATAAATATGGTAGAACAGAAAGAATGTATGAACAAGCAAACAAACACACAAATTAGGAAATTGCAATACAAAGTTCACAAAATTGTACATTAACCTCTTGAATCACAGGCTCTAAATTCGGTTGAAACAACAGAATTTTTCATTTTTGCCACATTTTGACATTTAACTTCATACCTATACAATTTTAGATGCTCAACGTAGTAAAATTAGAAGGCAGAGATAGAGATCATTTCTACACATATTAAAACAATTTTTGTGGAAATTGGATGAAAATGTTCAAATAAGAGCAATTTTAGTGAAAATTTTGTGACAGATTTTCACGTCACTCTGGGCTTCAAAGTCATTTCTGAGGTGACAAGAATCTTGTAACTCCAGGTAGTCAAGAGCTTAACATTCAGAATTGGAAGTTCATTAAACCCAATTGTTGTAACTATAGATACATTGATGTCATAGTTAGAGAACAATTGACTTAGTAATTCTAAACTTTACAAACTTTCTGTTAATGGCCCCCTGGTCCTTTTGCCAATTCTAAGGGGAACTTTACAAGAGTTGATTTGGCTGATGTTGCATGTAGAACTTAATTGCAACTCATCATTCATATCATGTTTTCTTACATCCATTACACTAATGGACTAAAGCTGAATGTAATTATACCAGAAAATATATTCAATTTTCAGAGGCAAGCTTCAGTCTCTACTCAAATACAAGCCAATTTAGGAATTATCTCATCAATAAGTGGCCTTTTAGGGCCCATCTAATTAATGTATTGTGGTATCTCAACTTAGGGCATCTGGGGTTAAATCCTCCTAAATTCTTTTACATGTTAACATTTGAACCCCTTCTTAAACAAAAATGTATCAGCCCTGATATAGACAGTTTCAGCCCCTATAATTGAAAGAGTGTGAGTTGACTCATGAAATCAAATTTCTACAGTAATATGGATAGATATTTCAAAAGGCCTGACAGTTAAGTCTCATTTACCCAAAACTGGTCCAGGCTCTTGTTTTTTCCTGGTTTATACAACTGCTGGTCCTTTCTGTTTACTTTTACGGGGTCATGCTTTTCACCATCAGCAGATAACATGTGGTTGTAAAACAAGGAAGAAAACAATTCCTGTAGCATTCATGGGGTTTACATTAATGGCTTTCCTGGTCAACATTTCACTTAGATCAGCTTTAGAATTTTCTGTAAGTTCATGATTTTAAGATACTCTAAATACTGTATCCTGAATCTCCATCAGCTGGGTTCACTCCCTCTGACTATTTTAGATAATTTTACAGTTTCGATTCTGATATGATCTCTACAATCTCAAATGGACCTTTCAAAGAATTTAATACAAGCATGCCACTAAATGCAGAAAGGGTAGTTATTTTTCTGAGTACATATTCTGATTGGATATGGGGTTGATCAAAAATGTATCTCTCATTTAAAGAGTGTAAGATGAAGTGTCCCTTTTCAAAGGGTGCTTTTATTGTAGAATTCAAGGTTTTAACAATAATAGCTCTTTTGTAGAAGACTCTTCAAAATTCATTTTGACAGTTTTATTATGTTCAAGTGACAGTCTGATCTGACAAATCTATATTATTTGGTAAAAATCAATATTTGTGATCAGAATACAGAATTCTGATCATGAATAATTCCATATAGAATATTTAAAGGTGTTTAAAGGCTTTTTGAGGTGTAAATAAAGAATTATTTTATTCTTCTTAAAGACCTACAATCAATATAAATTGAATCCCTATGGATTTTTGAATATAGTATAAGTATTTCAATTTCCTCAAATATAAAACAGATAATATATGATTGTATGTCTTATGATATTAGTTCCTTTGTATTATTATATAGGGTAGGTCACAAAATGTTCACCCTTTTAATTTAATTTTTACTAACTCTAATCCTCATCCTTAAAGGATGATAATTACATTATTAACCCTTTTACTCTTAATGAGGTAAATTCAAAACTAAGAGGAGAACCTAATAGCTTAGAAATGGAAATAAAATTTTGGGGAATGAATGAAGAGTTGGCATTTCTTTTACCCCACCCTGTATACCATTATATGTCACCTTTGAAGGAGTATACCATTATGTATAACCTTTGAAAACTGATATTCCCCCTTAAAAATTGTAAAATGCCCCCTTAAAAATTGTGAAATGCCCCTTAAAAATTGTGAAATGCCCCTTCACAATTGTGAAATCGTGAAATGCCCCCTTGAATATTGTGAGATGCCCCCTTAACTCTATCATCCCTACACTTCCTAACATACCATAATTAGACTATCAGAATATGATGCATTGGCCTTAAGCGCTCTCTTGGCAACATTTTCATATCAGTTAACTTCTGTAAATTATGAGGACAATTAGGAACCAGAACCTGTTAATAATAATAATAACAACATCACGTTTATTTTATTTTATTGCAGGCTATCAGATGGATTATATGCCTGAAACCACTCACTAGATGATGTCGCCAGATTTCTTCCGATATTTGATGCTTGGAGACACACATTGAAAGATGGCTAGCAAGCGCTCATTACTAATCATCCTAGGAGTAATTGGGGTCATAGAATGTCTGTCTGGAATTGTCAGATATGATGGGTATGTAATAATGAAAATGAGTGTATTATGTTTCAATCAGTGCTATCTGTTCTTGTTCAAAATCGAATCAATATATGTAATCATGCGTTTCACCCTCACTGTTCTTGAATTTGCGATCCTGCTTTGTCAAGAGTTCTAGGATAAGATTTTGGTGTAGATCTCTGCAAAACTGTGGCATCTGTCAAATAAAAATACTTGCAAGGAAAAGGAGAAATTCATAGAAATAGAAAAGTCTTTGCTCAGTGAAATAAATATTGATTTTGGGAAATATCAATTATGAGATAATGAGTTACCCATTTGTTTTACCCATCTTGTAAACAAAAACAACAAACATGGTTGGTTCAGATCCTGCCAGAACCTACATTTTTTAACTCAGAATCAAAATATTGTTTTCGGACTCAGTAGAGTAATCTACACTATGAATTTTATTTTAAGCATTTTAGTTGTTTGAAAAATTTCTTGTTTACATCATCACATGTGCACACTTGCTCATACATGTATGTCAATCATTGTAGTGTAAGTGGGTTTTAGGGCTAAACATGTGAAATGGCTGAAAAGTTATATGAACATGAACATTTTATCTTTCAACAATTTCGGCCATTTGGTTCAACCATTTCAAATATTTCAATCATTTTGCTGTATATTGTTACAATTAATCAGTTGCTAACAAATACAGGATTTATTTTTTGACTAACTATGATATGTTTTTCTTCAGATGCATGAGGAAAGATTTACTATTTATTTTGAAGTGTTTGGTTGTATTGTCTTGATTTATGTCAATGACAAAAGTAAATGTTTATCAAACTCTGTTTTGGGACAGCAGTTTCTCAACTTAAGCAGTATATCATTGATAGTAATAAATGAGATGAAAGGCAGAATCTGATGAGTGAGCTACATTTTTAGAAATTGTTTTTGAATTTTAGAATAAGTTACAGATATTTTAGGGGAAATACATAATGATATGGTAAAGACTTATAGACAAGTTAACTTTGTTGCTTGTGATTCCCCCCCCCCCCCCCCCCCTATGTATCTGATTCTGCCTTTAAAATTACTTATTTTTGTAACTAATTTGTAAATATAACCTAAGCTAGGCCTTGGCTAGACTCTGGCAGACCCAGAATTTAAGGGAGGTCTTAGATCTATTCGCAACCAATCTAGGCTTCCTTTGGACATAATTTATCAAATTGTTAGATGATATACCCTGGGCACAGGGGTAAAATATGTTTTTTGGCCCAAATGGTTTTTTGGGCAATTTTGCTAAATTTTGAAATATACACTTGGAATACACATTGCACCCTTCAGGCCTAAATGTCATGTTAACTTTATCTTTATACAAATTGAAATTGTTGACATTATTCCAGATATAAAGTTTTACGTATTCAACCTTCTGGACTTGACCAACAGAGTGCTGTCGTGAACCTGATCAGAGATGGACAACATGAAGTGAGTTGGGTCATAACTTGGGAATGTCTGTTTTTTAATATGTTGTTTAACATGGACTTGACTTTTCTTAAATATGTCTCTGGATTTGACATTGATAAATATGATTTTATAATGTTTTGCATGCTAATGAGATTTAGGACTTTTGGCAGTTCACTCATGGGTTGTTTTTCAAAAATACCTCATCATTTTTTGTGTTAATCATTTGAAACTACAATGACAATGTATTTTTCAAACTCATCTCTATTCTCCCTTCATAATTTCCTTACTTGCATATTCGAATCAATTTTAAGAGGTTTGGTATTTTCAATAAAATTTATCCCAGAGATTTAAAAAAAAAATTTATCCTTTATATGATAAGGTTAATGCATATGATTAATCCACTCATTTTCCCATCACTTGACAATCATCAATATGTGCATATTGTGTGTTGCTCTCAGACTCCTACCAAAGTATCGTAATTGTTTGAAACATTCATTCCTTACAAGCTCTTCATGTCAATTACTTAATAGCCCTGGGCTATTGTCACTGACTTTTTCAAATGAAGATTAATTTACACATAATTTGATACCTTCGTTCTAATATAAATGTGCCAGTTTTATGTAAAAGTAATTTTGGCAGAATTTTATTTGATAAGCTAAATAGAGGAGGTCTAATCAGCTTTAGAATTAATGAGAGTAACACTTTGGCCTCAACCCATATATTCTTTTCAATTTGCCACTTAGTTATGTAAACTTCAAGTTGATTAAATAACATATTAAGGCTCTGTGCTTCTGTCAGCAGATTTCCTCCATTAATCACATAGCTTGACTTGTTTTTATTTACCGCTATATGCTTTTATGCTTGCATTATTCAATTTGATATGTTCTACCTCAGTTATATTGATATACACAAGACGAATTGCAAATACATTGTTTACTGCAAATTAATGAAATAAGAATGTATATACGGTAGTAATTTTTGTAGATAGATGTCTGGTCGGAAATGTCAGGGGAAGGCCTAGATGGAACAGGAAGCACCCTAGAAATTCAAGTTTCCCCATCAATACTCCCCACTATACTCTCAACTTTGGAGGTAAGAAGTTGTTTGATAATTAAAGGAGCTAAATATTATCAATTCCTGGATGCTTTGACAAAAAAGAAAAATTCAAAAAGGGATTCAGTTAAATTACTTTTAAAACTACAAACTTTAGAAAATTAGAAAGTTGATAGCAAGACATGGATTTTAATGTCTTACAACTTCCAATAATTCAACAAATACTGTTTAGACTGGCTTCAATTTTTTTCAAAATCATCTACAAGTTTTCTGAAGTTCAAATCTGACTTAAAATTTAAGATTTGACCTTCTCAAGGTCAAAAAAGGTTAAAAATGTCAAAAAGGACCTTTTTCAACTTGCTTCAAATTGACCAATTTTTTATTCAAAATCATTGACAAGATCTCAAAAGTTCAAATCTGAAATAGATTTAGGAGGTCAAAAAGGTCTTTTTTTTATTTCTACTTGCTTCAAATTGATCAAGTTCTCAGAATGTCAAATCTTACTATAGATTTAAAATTTGACCTTCAGTGACCTTTTAAAGGTCATAAAAAGTCAAAAAGGTATTTTCTCAACTTGCTTCAAATTGACCAAATTTTTTCTTCAAAATCATCTACACGTTCTCAACAGTTCAAATATTAATGACCTTCTCAAGGTCAAAAGAAATCCATGAGCTACAAGGTGGTGACATTTTGTCATGTTAATGCCTTGTCTGACTCTTGTTGCCTTCACATTTTATTCCGGTCATCTAAGAACAGAAAAAGCTCTCTCTTCAAAAATAGCTTTCAATATTACTTAATTTGTTAGTATGAACAGTCAAAGTTTTGAGAATCTTGGGTAGTATACAAGGCAGCCATTTTTCTCTATATGCATGACATATATCATTTTGGGTCTTGTAGAAAATGGGCATACATTATGATGTGCTGATAGATGATCTCCAAAAAAGTATAGAAGAACAGCTACAAGCTAATGGCATGCATCGCTATAAAAGATCTGCTGATAGTATTAACCTAACAACAGGCTATTCAACCTTCCACGACAAGTATTGGAGATATGAGGAAGTAAGTAACGGTATATGGAATATTAACTTAAAAAAGAAAAAACACGATTATACAAGAAAGGATGTGTCCGGGTATATGCCCTTTTGGTCCCTCAGTCAAATGTATGTGAAATATGGTTTTTATTACTGTCCTAGTTATATTTGATAAGTGTATTTACTTTTTCACGAGTTTTGATGCATAATTAACCCCCTGCTGAGAGTCAAAATAAGTATCTTAACAAAAAGAAAATAGTCATTATCATAGAAAAAAAACACCAATGGCAACATGTATGACATACAAAGAAGAAATAACTTAAGACCCATGAAGAATTAAAAAGAAAATCAAATTTTTTAAATATATTTAAGGATTAAATTTTTTTTCAAATTTTTGAATTTCCCGCCAGTTTACTTTGAAGGGGGAAAAACAAGATGGTTGCCATTTGATGTAAGAAATATCAGAAAAAAAGTTGCTTCACTTTTAGTTTTCACAATGAACACAGTTTTCCGGTTTAGGTTTTTTGACTGATTCTGACTCTTCACCACCAGGGTCATGTATAGAGATTATAAAATTGAAACCAAAATGTTGTGCTCAGCATGAATTTGACTGAAATATGTGTAACATCACCAACACAATTGAAGTCTCAAAACTGGATGCTCAGTAACTTTGAGTGACTATAATCCCTTGATTACCCAGATAAACACCAATTCACTTATCCAGAAATACCATTCAATGTCTATACAAAGAAAGTAACCAATGTTTTGGAAGATATGTTTCAAACCTTTTGCATAAATAATTCATTTCATATTTGCCATTGATTTTTTTCAATTCTGACAAAGTGATATGCACTGTCTTTGATGCCAATATTCTTCATCAATTGTGATACAAATTGATATTCTTGTAATCTCAGAAGAAGGATAAGATATTGAAGTTTAATAATATGTGTGATTGAGTTGGTTTTTCAGACATTATAATTTTCAATATTTTCCAAGTCGATACTCAGACTCATTCCCAGACTCATCCTTTCTCGTAAGTCTGAAGTGAAGAAAACCAATGGTGGCAGGCAGTTAGTGTTCCAATGTTAAGGATGTTTAATGATTTAGCTAAAATTATTCTTGTGGAAATCTGTATTTTTTATCTTTTTGCAATATCTCAAGTAACATAGAATACTGTGATTTGTAATTTGACTATGGGTGCCATCTTTATAGACTTCTGTATACTCAAATCATTCAGCCAAGAGAAATTGTCAGCCAAATTACATTGCGATGTATTATTACTGATCTGATAGTAAGTTTTTTACAATATCTTTACTATGTATTAATTGTTGACATATCTTTTTCATGTACACTGTCTACAGTACCTCTGAATCTATTTCAGGCTCACAATTTTTGTTGTAAGTCCATCAATATAATGTAAGCTGTTCTTGGTCTATTTCCAGATAAATGAATGGCTGTTGAAAATCTGTAAAACTTACCCTAACCTGACAGAATGTATCAACTTGGGTATGTCCTATGAAAACAGACCTATCTATGCAATAAAGGTACATGTATACTCCTATATTTGCCTCGTTTCATGGGGCAATAATAAATGCCTGTTGACAAGTAAAAATGAGTATATGTTACGTATGCAAAGAATAATTCATTGAATGCATTCATATATACAGTAGTAACTAAATAAGTGGCAGAAATGACTGAATGGATCAGTTTGCTTATAAGTTTCTTTATTTTATGTGACTAAACATCAAAATGTTTGAATATAAAATTGAAATTATTAGATTCATGAATTTGTTTTGCTTTTACAATAATTTTCAAATTTCAGTCTTTAATTAAGCGCTTCACTTCAGATTTCAACATCCCTGGATGATGCAACCAAGAGACAAGCAATCTGGATAGATGCAGGGATGCATGCACGTGAATGGATCGCCCCTTCTGTAGCCCTCTTTATAATTGACCAGGTAGGACAGTTTCTCATTTTACATATATTTTTTTTTATTTTGTTTATTGCTATATAAAGTATTTACATAAAAGCTACATGTTACACACAGAGACACCACAAGTCATATATCAGCATATAACAAGAGCAAATAACAATAAGCCTAACTAGTAAAAAAAGTGGGGACTCCCTTAAGTAATATTGGTTAACATAAAAACTACGTATTTACATATAGAGTACATATTAGAGATTTTGTATTTAAAACTCTTAAAACTTGACACAGTTCACAAGATCAAGAATTTGATATGAAAAATTTACTTCAAGTATATTAGATTCTCTCTTGAATATTTCTATTTGATTCTCTCTTGAGTATTTATGTACGTACTTTATCTGTACGTGTATCAATGTGTTTATAGAAAATGGTTGTTTTCATTCAAGTTAATCCATGGTTATTCCTCAAACAGTAATATTGAAGAACTTTTGAGCCAAGTTGACTTCTATATTCTCCCAGTCTTCAATGTGGATGGATATGTCTATTCATGGACAACTGTAAGTTAGCATAGAGTTTATAACATTCATATATCATTTAGAGCTACCCCATCTGAGCCTTTTTAATAAAAATACATTTTACAGAAATATTTTACTAAAAAACTCCCTATCCTGTATATTGCATTTCTAACTTGTATTGTGAATTGACTTACATGTGTGCAGGGAATGATGGTTATTTTTATGATTGCCTTTTCAGGACAGATTGTGGCGCAAAACTCGCTCTCCTAACCCTGGGTCTAAAAACTGTTCTGGTACAGATCCCAACAGGAATTGGGACTTCCACTTTTATGGTATAATCAGATTTCTTTCTTTTTACACATTATCAAATTATTATTGCATCTTTTATTTTTTGATATATCTTCTCATTCTGGGAAAACTATTCGCAGATTCAAGTACAGCTGTCAAATGATATCTAATTCTAAAGCTGGTTAAGTTTTAAGTGGCCATCTTGAATTAAAAGGTGGCCATATTGTCCGGACATGGTAGCTATCTAATATTCCATGCCTTACAATACCACTTGGAAATGAAAATATATTTTAAAAGAGAAGCCATGAATTCAATAAACATTCAACTTCAGTGTGTCTGATGAGTCCAATCAATCTGTTAGTCTCAGGTTTAATTCAACATCCTGTTTTCAGATGAGACTGCCTCAGGATTTGGCTGGACAGCTGCCACTGATCCATGTGCAAACATCTACCAAGGAGCTGAGCCTCATTCTGAGATTGAAGTTCGTCATATGGATGATTTCATTCAAGCTCATGCAAAACATATCAAGGCCTATGTGACTTTACATAGTTATGGCACTTTACTTATGTGGCCCTGGTGCTTTACTACTAAACAAGTTCCTCCTACTAATTATGATTTGGTAAGAAATATTCTTTTTTTTAATCTGGAGGCCATATCTGTTATCTGTTATCTGATAAGTTTCTTATCGTTTGAATTTCTAAATCAATCTTTGTAACAATGGATGGAGATAGTGATGTCATGGTAGAAGAACACTAGATTTTAGGCAGTCTTGACTACAAAGTTTCTGCTTATGGCCCCCAGATTCACACGATTTCTGTCTGTTGCTATAGACTAGATTAGATACACCATATTATCTTCAAAATAAATATTTTGTCTAAACTGGATTTGGAATACATGTACCTGTAGCATGGATTTACCACAGTATTTGATATTTTCAGCTCTCCCATTTATAGAGGCATGATTTACAATTAAACAAAATACAATAGGGTAAATTTCTTGGATAAAAGATTCTTGAACTCACCCTGTATAATATATATACATGTGATGTGGTATTTATGATTTCCAGGCCTATGTTGCTTTAGCCATGCGAGGAGATATAAAAAATGTCCATGGCAGGATTTATCGCACAGGAAATATCGGAAAAATGTTAGGTATATTGATTTGTTTTCTGTTATCTTAACTATTTTGTAAAAATCACAGAAAATATATCAGTAATGCAAGTTAGTCATTGCATTAACATAATCTTTCTGATTAGCAATATTTCAATAAATCTTGTCATTGCCATTCCATAAGACGCTCATCAGATTTTCTTCAGAAATTCATTCACATCTTAGAGGGTACCATGTTCTATAGTTCTTCAATTTTTGGATAGACATCAGATTTTCTGGCAGCCATTTCAAAAGTTTTTACATAAATTCAAGGAAAACCTTTCATTGGATTTTCTTCAAAGATAACTTCATTTTTTCTACCTACTTGGTGGTGTGCCCATTTGCCTTGTTAATATTGTACAGTTCATTTGTTTTATATGTAATAAATTTAAAACTGTAGTGTGGTCATATGCCTGTAGAGTTCACTTGTTTTATATGTAATAAATTTAAAACTGTAGTTTGGTCATATGCCTGTAGACTTCACTTGTTTTATATGTAATAAATTCAAAACTGTAGTGTGGTCATATGCCTGTAGACTTCACTTGTTTTATATGTAATAAATTCAAAACTGTAATGTGGTCATATGCCTGTAGACTTCACTTGTTTTATATGTAATAAATTCAAAACTGATTTTATATATTTCATAACTTTTTTCAATATAGTTATCACTGTCGATTTATTGAATCTAGTAAAGTCCTAAGTTCCAAATATTCTGAATTCAAGTTCCAAAATCTGTTTTGATTTTAATTTGTTCCGTGCCAGTCCTAATTTATAATAAACTATGTGTATAACTTCTGCTTTCAGGGTTTGCATCAGGTGGGACCAGTGTGGACTATATGTATAATAATCACAGTATTAAATATTCATATGCCTTTGAGCTCCCTGGAGGCCCTTTCGTAATGGGACAAAGTCAGTTAAAAAGATTTCTCCTTCCGCCTGAAAATATAGTGCCAATCTCTGAAGAAATTTATGTAGGAATAAAAACACTGGCAGAACACGTAATTGGAGGTGTTAAATATAATTTAACTATGACTGCAACTGTCGCAACAACAAGTTCAGCAACAAATGAAAAGATTGGATTGTTTATACATGTATGTTTGATTCTACCTCTGGTTTTAGCTGTATTCAGGTCATTGCGTTAAGTGTGATATGCAATTGTGTATGAGATGAGGTCCATTTATCAATGTCTACCCAAAAACATAATTAATTTTTTAAGCATCTTCAACATGAGGTTTCAATGCTTCAGTTTCACTTGATCGTTATTGTATATAACTTTGTCAGAGTAAAAACAAAATGCTAGTCATACTTTAAAAGTAAAAGTATCATGTGACTTCTTGAATTCTTGATTCAATAGTTTCTCTCATTAGAAACCTAATTAATAAAGGACCATAAGATTATCATTTGTAAGTGTGACTGCAGATGAAACAAATATTTAACTACTTCTGATTGGTTTAGAGAAGATCCCAATGACACACCACATAGTTAGCGAAAGCCCATGATATGTACATATATAGCAAATCTGTAAATGTATCACATGTATATAGCAAATATTTGAAAGCCAATGCTTTATAGCTTTAAAAGCTTCTTATTGTTAAAATATTTTTGCCCTAAATCATATTTTCAACGTCTTTGATAATATTATGCCATTGTACCAAATGTTACATTTACTGGGCTATATTGAAATTTACTAGTCATATAAACAATTATCCCATTATAATACCCCAGTATTAAAATCAAGTGTTCCAGTTGTGACATCATATATCATGTTAGAATTTTTCAAAAGATTTATGTAACCTTAGCACTGTAGGTACTTAAACATACATGATTACCTCTGGATAAATTCAGTATCTAATTATTTTGTGTACATACAGTTAAGTGGAATATACAGGTTGAATCTGAGAGAAGCATGCAGATAATGGTATCTTGTTTATCAAATGATTGGTTTACAAGCCAATCAGAGAAAGAAAAATATTATAATTAAATTAAACCTAGTGTTCTGATTGGCATTTGTACAAATCGTTTCATGAATTCATCTGAAATTTTCAGGGATGTTTCTACGTATGAAAGTTTAGAGCTGAATAGTATTTGGGCATTCTGGGTAAATGCTAAGGTGACCATTTTGGTTTTCTATCCTAAAATCTTGTCTGTCAAGGCTTGTCTACAGGTCTCCAGCCAAACCGTTATGTGGATTCATCTGAAAACTTAAGGGATATTTCTACATTTGAAAGTTTAGAACTGATGAGTTTTTGGGCATTCTGGGTAAATGTAAGGGTGGCCATAATGAATTTTCCATCCTGAAAACTATTCTGTTCAAAGGTGTGATCCTGTTCACTCTGTCTTGATAGTTTTTTTTACATAGAATTCTATAAGCAGATGGAAAAAATGGGACCAAGGGTATAAGAAATCTAGTGACCCCCATTCTGTGTGTTAAGTCTCTATTGTTGCAGGCATCTACAACAATGTAAAAGATTATGTTTCATAAAATGTAGATATTCATTTTTTGCAATGTGTTGTTCAATATTTGTAAGACAATTTGGAGAATAAAGTAATTACCATTACATCTGTCTTTTCATTGATATATTATATAAGAACGCATTTCTGAAGAACATAAAATTAAGTTGACATTTTTTATCCTTTTGATATGAATATCAGTACATCTTTCACAAAGTTGTATTCACAAGATCTATTGATATTCACCAGTCACTGGAGTTTCTCACATTTGATGTTCAGAATTTGTAAATACCACCACATTCACATACAATCACGTCAATCGACCCTCATCAGGCCTCCTAGACTTCCAATAACGAGAGCATTAGTTCTGAGCTGGCGAACTACGTTCCTAGTGCTCAAGCCACGATTCTCACGTTGCGAATGAGAAATCTTTAGTCGCGCACCACCATTTCCTTGCTCCCGAACATATTTCTCCACTTGGGAACAGATAACCATGCTTGAGAACAATTTGTACAGTACATCCGGGTATTTGGGATCCCAATTGCAAGCAACAACAGGAGTCTGGTTGCAGTTTACATTGACCCTTATACATGTGCATGTGAATTTCAAGAGAGTCATAAACTCTCTGCAGCATATGAAAAGCCATGTTTTTGTTTTTATTACCCAGCCCTTTCACTGAAAATGTCAATGCGCCGTGGGATCCCAAAGAAGTCCCAATTTTTTGTGCTTCCTGGAGCTTAAAGATGCTGTTATCTTCAATTAGTGGATGTTCATTAACATGCATGAATACTGAGAAGTATTTCTTCAGAATTCCAAATAAGAACACTACATTGGAATTTTAGTTATAATGCATAATAATAAAAATAAAATTACGGACTTTTTTTGGTCAGATGTGTGGTTAATGAGCAAAGATCTCTATTCACAAGTGGAGAAATATGTTTCGAGGAAATGGTATTGCACGACTAAAGATGTCTCTTTGGTGACATGAGAATCGTAGTTCGAGCACAAGGAACGTAGTTTGTGAGTTCAGAACTGATGTTCGCGTTGTTGGAGGTCCAGGAGGCCTGCTCATTAATTGTGAATACTATAGGATGTGCTGCCATCTATTTATTTATCCATGTATACAGCAGCGAGCTAGTCAATTGTTTATAAGATGCTTTTACACTGGTCAGTATCAAAGGGAGGTGAGGGCTGTAACCTCCACATTTAAGATGGTGGATATTTTTAGTTTTCATCGAATTAACCTACTTTATAGTTGAAACTAGAAACACAGCAACTCCATTGAGTAGAAACTCCCAACGAACAAAACATATTTTGACAAGTGAGTGATTGCAAAAGCTAACCATGTGAGCTAATAATTAATGGTCATCTGGAAAATTTCTTCTTAAACAGCTATAGCATATCAGCATATAAAATTTGAACCAACTCCATCAACTGGGATTTTAGTTATCAAACATTGTTTTTTCCGAAAAATGGCAGCCACTTTGAAATTCAGCTGCCATCTTGAAAATTTCTTCTAGAGCAAAGCTCCTTTGTCCCTAGGTTTGCAGCATATAAAATTTCATATCAAATCCACCAACTGGTACTTGAATTGTATAATGGAAAGCTAAGATGTTCAGTTACCGCATCATCTTGAAAACAAACATGACCATTTCCGTATCATACATTTCCATTTACCTTCCCTTAAGAGGTGGAAGGTATCGTTGAACTGGCGCCCACGCACGATATATGAACAAATTACATATTCCCGAGTTTCCATGTTGTATAGGCCTGATTTGGTTGAAATATCAAATCATTGTGTCAACTATAAAAAAGTCTTCTTAAATGCGAAGGTAATTGCTAACTTGTTGATTTATCAAAGGAAAACCAACACTACAAATGTTTTTTGTTATATTTATTATTTATTCTGTGATTGCTATAGCAACTATATAGAGCACATGTACATCAATAATGCAAATCTGGAAAAAGAACAAGATGACAGAGATAGCACTGTAAGATACTATGAGGTTATATAATGGTTGATTCTGTATATCGTGTTTATACTCAAGTGAGTATATGATATATTCACGAGTGACTGAAGGGAACGAGTGAATATATCATATACTCACGAGAGTATAACGATATACAGAATCAACCATTATATGATCTTATTATCCCACCCTAATCTTTAATCAATAAAAGGTTAATCTAAATTCAACAGTTGTATATCAAGTCGAGGAGTTGTATACGCTGCCCAGGAGTTGTATACGCTATTCAGGAGTTGTATATCGTTCTCAAGAGTTGTATACGATGAGTGTTGGTTTTATACTGCAGTTATACAATGCTATTATACAATCATATAAAGCACTTAGGGTGGGATAAAGTTAGATACACAATGGTGGATATCCACTTAGGGATAGTGTCCATATGTCAACTCTTGTAGAAAAAATGAAGTAAATTTCAATCTTGTTTGACCTCCCTGACACCCACCCCCATATAACAAAGTGTGAAAATTGTTCATTGCCCTTTGCTTGATACAAAAAGATCAAAATACTTTACACATGAAATTTACCCTACTGTTGATAACTGGACACGATCCTTTACTGGGCTACATTCACAAAACATCTCAGTATATTTTATTATCCAAGATCCGAAATATTGAAGCAACCATGTCACTGTAAACAGAGATACCAAATTGTGTTAATTTTAAAAGAATTCAAAATATTTTAAGAACTATTTTATTCCAAGAAGGTATGCTTTAGAAATAATTCTGAGGAATTGTTAAATAAATTTTAGGAAATGGACAGAACAAATGCTGATAATTAAAACATTTTGACATGTTTATCGAACTCAATGCTTAGCTATATGCTTAGATATATAGGCTTCCAGTTCAAAAAGGTGTCTCAAAATAGGACATTGGGGGTGTGTATGGAATGAAACAAACGTGAAATTACAATGGATACTTCATATTGTTGACACAAGTAGACTAAAAATATCTACTCTTCAGAAATTCAAACAAGAATCAAAATTTTGAATGTTTTTTAAGTTTGTAAGCATTCAGCATTTACATGGTCTTTGAGCACAAACTTTATAAAAATCAGAATGCCTTAACACATATGTGTGTAAATGGTCAAGTTATGTATACTCCTAGGAACCTTTTATGTACATCATTTCTGGAGAATTTTTACATGTCATTAATCAATATTGAGTCTGCTTGTACACTAGACACATGCAATAGAATGTGCTAAAATCATTATAAAATACAATCTCTCTATACATATATTGATAGTTACAATAAAGTCCTGTTAGTTCATAAAGCATTTGCTGTAAAGCCATTTACCCACATTCCAACCTACACTTTAGGATTACGCATCTGTTAAGTTAATTCCTAGATATTCTTAACTAAACTACAAATAAAAAACAATCATCATTTTCTTAATGATACTCAGTCAGTCAGTATTATGCAAAGAAAACAAATCGGGGACAGGTTTGAAAAATATCAATTGAGCTCAAAAGCATTAGTTTTGAATATGTTTCCCCCTCTGTTTGTGAGGAAATAAAAGACCGACTTGGGCCTACTTCAAGAATCAACTAGATCATTAAATTAAGCCTATTTTTCCAAAACAGCTTTTTCTCAAAAATGATGCCTGTTTTAAAAATGAGATCCAAAGCCCATTTATATGCCCAAGAGGAAATAAAAATATAGGCCCCAAACATATTTTTAGACTCATCTTTGTTCACTAACCCAATTAGAGTACATATTAGGACATGTAAATGAATGAAGAGGTTCCTTATGTCGTATCAGTATTCAGTATGGATATAAAAGGCTGTTTGATCATTTGATCATTAACACCATCTTTGGAAAAGCAGAAATTTGAAGTGGATGAGGAATAGACCTTCTCGATAAACCCTTCAACCTTTTGGTACAACAAAGAAATTGGAATATTGGCAAGATTGATGATGTTGCTGGTTGAAGGTCAACACATAATTCTCCTGAAATAGTCTCAGTCTGAGCCCTGGTCTCAGCAGCAAGCATCTTCTACTAGCAGCCCTAGAAGCTGAGATTTAAAGCATGAGAAACTAAAAGTTTGGGTAAAGGGTGAACCATGACTCCAACAAGACAATAAAAGTCAAGGGATCAAAAACTCAACATGCATTTTCATGTTCTCGAATGGAAGGAGGTAAGTCAAAACATTTAATCCATTGAAAAATGGGCATGATCTCTTATAAAAAGTACCAACCCATATATGCTGTGATCTCCCCAGTGTTGAAGCAACCATCCACCCACATGACCAAGATGAAATTATCCTGTTTCAGTTAACAACTTAAATTTTTCACAAGAAATGTTCAAAACTAGATTGAATTATGAACCCTGTTGAAAAATACAAATCCTGGAGAGAACATTTTGTATTTGTATATTGTAATATATTAGTACTATACTCTATGTTAGCAAGTTAATAAAAACATGTTATAACAGAGAAGAGCATAACAAAGGAGTTCAAATACAAAATAAGAACGGAACTATACAAATGGAAAATTTGAATTTTAGTTTTATCAAGTTACACGATCTGTGACAAACACATTGTTTATGTTGAACATATTTCTTATTTTAAAACAAAAGTTTTGGACAGTTGAGGACCATGTCTAATATCAATGTCATTTTTCACAAAACTAATTTTGTTAAGGGGGACAAAGTCACAATTTGCTTATAAAATATTGTATATCTCGTTTATAATCAAGAAATTTAGAGAAGAAAATGATTCACTTTCAATGAAATGAATACTTGAATCGATCGATTAAATAAACATTTCTCTTAGTATAAATACATCTTTTTGCAAATAGCAAAATTTCAATTCACATACTCGTATACTTATAATGTACAGATATATGGATAAAAATAAGTTATACTTTCACTTATGAGCAAAATCTGCTTAAACAGGCAATGGGCCTATTTTTGAATGAAAAAGAATAAAATATTGTTTGAGACATGTCACTCACACAGTCAATCAAATATGATAAAAAAACTTTAATTTGGGATAATACTGAAGTGAAAAAAAAATTAATTGCATAGAAAACAGCATTTGAAGTTCAGAGATTGAAAAAAGTGAATTACCACTTTTCACAAATAGTGTATGTTTTAAATAACTCTTGGATTAAAAGATGGCATATGCTTGAAAATCCTGTCAAAATTGAATTGATAATTAATGCAAACAGATGGCATTGCTAAAAACTTGACATATATAAATTGATAGATCAAAAATATTTTGTCATGATCAAGTGTCAACTCTGATGTGGTCTGTTTGAGCTTTTTTTGGTGTCAAATGAAAGATCGGGTACTTATTAATCCATTTGAAATACTATGAAGATCAAAAGTGAGACTTCATTTACGCACTTTGTCCCTTTAAATTACCTTCAGTAAGATTTAAGATTTACCGATCAACGTGAGCCTCAATTCATTTGGTTTCACAAGAAAAACATTGATAGTTGACCTGATCCTTTATATCATTCAATCCTCATTTTAATAGGCTATGTTAAACTTAGTAATTTCATGTTACATTTAATTAATTAATGCCACAATATCAACATGTATCATCATACATGTAATGACATAATTATTTGTCATATGCCTTCATGAGATACAATGAATGGGAAATATGTCGCTACTCTTTACAAAATATATATCATTCAATAATTGAAATAAACATCAAACGTTTTAAATCATTTTACATTGCCTAAATAAAGGAGATAATGATAAAGAATTTGCCAGTTTCTGTTCTCCAGCACCCTACCAGCATCTACAATAGAAATGAAAGATCAGTGCATTTGGACTACAAGACTGAGATTGAGGAAAGATTAAATCAAACCTGTAACAATGGTGAAAATAAAATAGAATTAAAAAAAGAAATCAAATATCATTTTTATTTGTTATCAATGAATTAATTCCAATATTACTTTACTCAATCTCAAGTCATTACATAATACATACAAGTACATTCACTATTTAACAATTCAATTATAATTCAATTTACCAAAGTGGAAAGGGCATTTTACCGTAATAACATTTCTTAGTTCTTTACATGGAATAGAGTTCTGCATTTTAACTTATATTCTTTTTTATGACACCTTACATAGTTAGCATCATATATATTTAAGTATCAAAAATAATTTCTTAATCTTTAAAATGCCTTTTCACACCATGAAGATTTACTCCAATTGTGTGCCAGACCCCAATTTGTAACACTACCTATCTCAACACACAAAAATACCTGAGAAAAAAGCACACATTTCCTAAAACAGCAAAACATTTTCCTATGGCCTAACTGTATAGCACATAAGAGGTACAGGCATATATACTGTACTCCCAGTATTTTTACGCGCAATTTAATTTCGCACAATCCGCGATTGTGGTAAATATGCCAATTAAAAGGATTTGGAAAATTTGAAAACCAAATTTGACCAAAATCTAGCAAATGTAAGTCAAATCCAAAAAGTGAGCTTGAAGATTCAGAGAAAAATTAAAATCAAACTTGTGAAATCCGTGAAATGTAACAGCCGCAAAATTGTGATTTCTCAAAGTTTACGAAATTAAAATTTGCAAAATGAACTGGGAGTACAGTTATCATTTTGTTGTGATAAATTGTCCTGGTGGATCGTTCTACGTTGTTAAGGTTGAAAGGTCACACTGGGATTTCTGGGATGAGTCCTCCTGTAATTTGCCACAAAAATTATTTGACATATTTAAACTGCAGTGAAATTTCATTTCATGAGTCATTCCTTCGAGCTATCATCGTATGGCTCTTTTTTAATGCAAATAAGTTTTCGGACTCCATTTGAGTCTGAGTATTGTTCGAGGGAAAGATATTTTGACTTTAAAGCTTGGAGTTCCATTTTCACAATTTGATTCTCAGTTTGTAACCGCTCGATTTCCTCTAAAAGTGCAGACTTTTCAAGTTCAAGTTCCTCACGCTGTGACATTCTTTTTTCACGACAATTTGCCGCATATCCACGGTTTTTAAGTGTACGTCGACGTTGTTTGAGACGTGCCACATCCTCTCTGTTGAGGTTCTTGAGCACCCTATTGAGTTCTCTCACAGAAAGGCTAATGAGGTCTTCGTCTGATATCTCATCCACGTTATAAACTATTTCTGAATCTGACATCTGGTCCTGCAAGAAATAAAAAAAATCTGATTATTTTTGTGAATTGACTTAAAGTATTGCTTCATATTTACAAAAATATCAAACTATTTGCTGCCCTTTCAAATAACTATTTTTCTGTTGAGGTAGGTTATTATATAAAAAGATGAAACCTGAGTCTGGTTTATTTCTCTAAATTAGTGATTAAATGTTATTCTATATCACATAGAAACCTATAATTCAATTCTTGACATGTCAAAGAAGATGCAAAATCATTTATACATTCAAAAATATTAGAAATATCAAGCAAATGTCAAATGGTTTAGATATCAGATGGAATGTAAAAATTTAAATTTCCAGCATCCCTATTTCTTACCTTAATCTATTTGACCATTCATTTTTCTAAATTTTCCTCAGTAGCAAATGTTTTAGCATTCAAACTGCGGAGGTGTTCACTTTACTTTTTGACTGAATTTACCAATTTGAGATTGCCGATTGTTGGCATTGATTGAGGTAAGAAATAGGTGTACAGCTAGTGCGCTAGAAATAATACGCTATTGAAAAATGAAGGCTATAACAAGATCATACCTCCTGCATAACTATTTCAGTTGGATCAGGAAGGGAAGGTTCCTTCTTCACAGTAGCAGTAGGAGGCAGGGAGAAAGTTATTGTCAACTTCTTCTGTGATGCCATTTGTTTCTTTGGTGTTGCCATGGGAGCTGTCCGTAAGTGTTTATCTTAGTAGGGTTCTCTGTAGATCTATCGATTATTCACATAAAATTCTGATAAATTTTTCTTTCATCCACTTGAATACAAAGATGGAGTTCCAAGTTATCTTCTTTCAGGTTATGTTGACCTAGCCTACAAATAAAAAGGTTCTTTGAAGTTGATTTTCACCAGGAATCCCTAAGTTTTGTTATGATTTTACAATGTAAGCAACAGATCGTTTCAAACTGCTGATGTGGTTAATTTCAGAATATGTGTAGGCATATTAGTAATATAAGTGAAATGCACCTCGTGGAAAACTGTAACAATGGTTTTGCAATATCAGGAAGTAGGAGGTAAACATGAACCAATCAAAAACGTCCATTCAGGCATTTTTCTCATGAATCAGCATTTCGATCTAAATAGGTCAAACTTCGAAGACAACTTTCTCATACCTATACAGAAAAATCAACATTAAAACTTGTACCAAAATGACCCCTGTTTACTTTTACATAATCTTGACATATTTAAAAGTAGAAATATAATTCCGATTGGAAGGATTGCTCGTGTTTTATAAACCTATGAAAATGCTTACAAAGCACCTACCGTGAACCTGGATATGTACTGAAAAGGTCAAAGTTCAACACGTTTTCCCGCTAAATTTTCGTACTTTTTTCCATATAAAATATCATAATTAACAATGAGACGATATATCTATTAATGTGACAATATACGGTCTTTTGTTTTAGTGAATATACTTGAATTATAAATATTATAGTCAAAGGTAAAATTTACATTTTAGAAAAAGCGAAACAATTTATAGTAAAAAAGCTAGCGAAGGCCTAACTAAATTTTTAAAAAGTCGGCAAACCTCTCTAGAAAATGTGAAAGCAGATCAACATACGCTGTTGCTATCCAAATCAAGTTGTCGTTATGTGATATGGGTGACCAGGACACCAGTGGGATTGACAGTTGCTCGTCAGACTCTCACGATACTTCTGTTTCAGACGGCGAAATCCTGGTAATATATTAAAAACTTAGATACAGTGGGGGACAAAAATAAAACTCAACGTTCACAAGTTGTCACAATGAGCTTATTTCCGAGTTTCGTGTCTCAAACTCTCCCAAGCGGTAGAAAAATAATTCCCGTTCACTAAAGTAGCACAATAAATGAATACAAAGCTTCATACCTGCAAATAATGGATAAATCCCCACCAAATCGAATGAATGTTTTCATGAATCGCCATGTTTGTTATCCAAGGAAGGTTGACTCCCAGAATGCAACATCAGTTACCGTATTTACTCATGACAGGTTTCAAAATGGCGGAACAGCATTTTGAAAGCTGGCACGTGTCATGTTGCATTCTGGGAGCCAATCCTCCGTTCCGGCGCAATCGGGCGACAAAATCACCTCAACATTTGAAGAGTCGGCATAACATGTGAATATCCACTTCAACTTTTGAAGTTCTTATTTGTCATTAGGGACACAAATTCCACTATATTTGGACTTACTCAGACGGAGAAAATAGAGCACTGAATACACTGAGGTAAGAATTTATTACATGTGCGACAGCATGTAATTTTCATAGCTTTTGCAATTCTTTATGATCCCCACTGTATTTCTAAGGCTAAAGTGGGGAACAAAAATAAACCTCAACCATCAAAAGTTGTCACAATGAGCTAAATTCTAAGTTTCAACCGCAAGATTAAGTACAGTCGGAGATATTATCAACCTCAACAATCAAAAGTTGTCACAATGGGCTAAATTCTAAGTTTCATAGAATTATCCCAAGCGGTAGAAAAATAATTCCCGTTCACTCTAACTAGCACAATAAATGAATCCAAAGCTTCATACCTGCAAATGATGGAAAAGTTTCTACCAAATCGAACGAATGTTTTCATGAATCGCCATGTTTGTGATCCAAGGATGATTGACTCCCAGAATGCAACATCAGTTAACCTTATTTACTCGTGACAGGTTTCAAAATGGCAGAACAGCAAATAATGACTAACACTATGAAAAAGACATTCTGTCACATATGTCATAAATTCTTACCTCAGTGAATTGAGTGCTCTATTTTCTCCATCCCGGAACGTACAAATATAGTGGAACTTGTGTCTATAATGACAAATAGGAACTTAAAAATTTGAAGTGATATCCACATGTTGATGCCGACTCTTCAAATGTTGAGGTGATTTTGGAGACTGATTACGCCACAAGGAGGATTGGCTCCCAGAATTCAACATGGCATGTGCCAGCTTTCAAAATGCCGTTCCCCCATTTTGAAACCTGACACGAGTAAATAAGGTTAACTGATGTTGCATTCTGGGAGTCAATCCTCCTTGGATCACAAACATGGCAATCCATGAAAACATTCGGTAGGAATTTATCCATCATTTGCAGGTATGAAGCTTTGGATTCATTTATTGTGCTACTTAGAGTGAATTTTTCTACCGCTTGGGATAGTTTGAGACATGAAACTTAGAATTTAGCTCATTGTGACAACTTTTGATTGTTGAGGTTGATTAATGTCTCCGACTGTACGAAATCTTGCGGTTGAAAACAACCTGGATTAGTGCTTATTTAAATAAAATTCAGTTTTCTGTCAATTACTCATATCATTTTTCAGCCCAAAGATTTCAATACACAAGTAGTTGTACATATCCATTATCATATCTGATGGGAAACGCATGGTCAGATACGAGACATGATACGAGACCATTGACCATTGACCTTGAAATGACCTCTGACCTTTATAAAATACCTATTGACCACTGACACACATTGTTAACCTAAATTCATATAAGTCTTTGAAATCATGAAACATGTTTTTAACTCTTGTTTTTGTAGAAATACAGCTCAATGCGAACTAAAAGTGATCACCAGACAACTACTGATCTCGGAAAGTATGAAGAACTATCAGGCATACAATTATTAAATATTCTTCCAATAAGTCATGGCTTCAATTCCTTACCATATCTTCAATTAGATCATCACAATAAGTTACCAAGATCAGGGAATGTACAATTGAACAGAGCTAGCGCTCGAAGTAAAGTGTACAATCCAATATATCCAGGTGTGATTGGTAAGTGAAGGTACATGTACATGTACATGGCAAAAGTGTATGATTTACATGTATCTGTGAGCTTTGAATGTGCAAGGGTTTCATCAATAGCAGGAGATTGATGAACAGGAGATTGTCTCTTGTTGTTTTCACCAAAAATTCCTCTTCTTTTGAGGAATTTCCAACTGTCACAGTTTCCATACTCAATATATAATTGCCTATTTTCAGAAATTCTAATGAGACCAGATGTGGCATGATTTATGTGTGTTTGTCTGTCATTGTTTCAAATCTCACATGAATCTCTTTGAAACCAATAGGCAAGAGTGCTTTTCCAAACTTCATAGGTTCACTTTCTACTCACTTTCTAGTCATTCCCCAGTGTTGATCCAAAGTTTTAATCTGTATGCCTGATGGTCCTTTATACTCTTCCTCCAATATTTGCAAATCTGCAAAATGTTGTAAAACAAATGCATAATTTTGAGAGAAAATATTATTTGTTGAACAGAATTGGCTTTCAGTCTTTTTTAAATATGTTTTTACATTTCCAGCCCAGAGAGGACCAGGGTCCAAAGTTTGACTTCAACAGTTGGAATGTTGAAGGACCCCCAGGCATACAGTTTCTAAGTCTATTACCCCTACATCAGGGTTATGAATTCATTCCCTGTCAGTACCCTCAAAGTGCACTTGTCACCAAGTTAAAACCTTCCCAAGTGCACCGTAAAACTAGACGTAGAGAATTTGCATCTGGCCGTACTATCCAAAGAGATATTCTAGGTACATGTTTTTCTATGTGTTACATAATACTGATAAAATTGGTTAAAAGGGATTGTGCTCATGCATAAGTCAGTGTTCTTTTCTCTTTAGAAACCACTACTCCTTATTTTAGTCAAAATGATTATCCCATCGAACGAAGTTTGGAGGGATATAGGGAATGGCTCTGTCCATCCATCCTTCTGTCCGTCCATTTTTTGTCCATTTTGCTATAACTCAAAAAGTAAATTTTATATTTGCCTCCTTCGAAGCATATTACCCTTTCTGATGACAATTTGGCCATATTTTGTGCTATTTTTGCTGTATACTTAATTTGTACAAATGCCAGCCATGGCTGTCGATGGGATTTGCCACGCTTTGGCGTTGCTGTTGTCTAGTTTTGCCAGTATTTTCGTCCTTTGAATTTGAACATTTCCAGGTATATGCACACCATGTTCCGGTTTTATGTATGTACTATACTGTAGATTCAACTGTTAATCTGTGATTTAGATTGTTCAAAATGATTAAAGCAACACAAAAATGCATTGATAATTAAGGTAGTAGTTGTTGTGTAATTGTGAGCTATTATTTGTGTTAAAATTGTAATTTACTACGAGTTTTTTAATAGGCTATATAAGTTTGTTTTTATTTTATATTTATTTTATACTTTAATAAGTCAAATGCAAAATATAAATTTAAAGTGATTTCATAGACAAACCTTTAGATGACCAATTCCACCAAATTACAATTAAAACATTAAAAAATTGACAGAGATGTACTGTATACATGAAATTTCAAAATACGGAAGTATAAAAAGTTCACATTGTAACTATTATTTTCAGAAGAAAGAAAACTAAGACAGGCAGCTAATTCTGATGATTTTATGACAGGTATGTGTTTAAGTGTTTGTTGAGTTTATATTTTAAACACTGCCAAATGTTGTAAACTTGTAAAATTATTATTTAAATAGTATTCAGTAAAATTTGATTTTATTGGCTGTTGAAGATCCATGGTTTCTTTAATTTTCATGTGTGTGTGAAATTAAGTCAGGACTGATCTAATGTGTTCACATTAAGAGGTGTTTAAGGTTCTACATATTGAGTCAATGGGAGTTGTGAAAAATGTTCAATTGAGAGGTTTTTGAATTAGAGGTTTTATAACATTGGAGTCAATTGAGCTGGTTTAAAGTGTTCACATTGGGAGGTATTCTCAATAAAGGCTCAAATAACATTGGGGCATCAATTGGTCATCCAAAATAATGAGCCTAAAAGAAGTGTTCGCATGTTGAAGATGTATTGTACACTGCAATGTTAATCTTGTATTTGTAGTTCTACGTCTATTAGATAATGGTGTAGACTCCAGGTGTATGGATGAGAAAAAGCGAACTCCATTGCATTTTGCAGCTTCTAGAGGCAACTCTCAGATAGGTAAGTGAGGGATTTAGGTGAACATTGGCTGATGAATCTTAATAATGTCCAGGTTGTTTGAGAAGTAGACAGTTATTCCATATTCTCATTGAAATTGAATAAAGGTTTATAGATTGTTGAACATTTCAAAGTTTCTTCGCTGGAAAAATCTACTTCTGGTTTACATAGATTCTTTATCAGTTCATTTTTAAAAGTGAACACCATCTTCATCTCTGCTATTATTGCAAATTCTTTGACTGGATCAACAAAGTGGGAAGTTTGCATAACATGTTTTTTATATCTAGATGTGCATGAAATTGGTTAAAAACCATATTTTTGTTGCAGTGAGCCTTCTCTTGGATCGAGGCGCTGAGCCAAATCAGAAGGATGCCATCGGGAACACACCTCTCCATCTTGCAGCATGCACCAATCATATTGAAGTCGTTACTTTACTCCTGAAGGCTGGTATGTTAATTCTTAAAAGTCCAAATGGTTGTCTATTTATATTGTATTTTGTTTACCACCAATGAAGGTGAGCTTTATCTCTTGAGTAGGCCTATATCCCGTATATGTATGGTCGTAATTTATGTATTTAATCATGGAAGAAAGACCCAGAAACCCCTCCTTAAAGGAGTCCTGTGTTATTTTATGTGCACTCATGCATAGGCATACAAGAACATGCCACAGCCTTTTGTAAGAGTCATGGATTTCTCGGTCAAACATCCTGATGTACTTTATGCAGTAATCAAATTAATCTTGCCTGAAACAGGGATCGAATCCAGGACCTACCGTAAATGCTGTACCACTGAACTACATGAGTATTCCTCAGTCACTAATATCATTTTTAAAAAGAATTTTGATAAAATTATGAGGTACATTGTTGATTTCCAAATACCTTTAAAAGTAAATAAAGACCCCTTGATAAATCCCCAGATTTCGTAGCTTACCCAAATGGCTCAGTGGGTAACATGTCTTTCTCTGGTTTGGCTGTGTGGTGTAGAATTTGTATAAAAGCCTGTTGTGTGCAATTGTACATGTCTGGGACATGTCTTTCTCTGGTTTGGCTGTGTGGTGTAGAATTTGTATAAATGGCTGTTGTGTGCAATGGTACATGTGTGTATAACATAAAAGAACAAATGGAGCCTTGAAGGAGGGGTTCCTTAGTTTGTTGTCAATGATTGCATGAGTAAATTATGACCATACTCTTAGGGCAGTAAATAGTCATAGTTGCATTATTAACACTATAAGGGTCTCAAATAATTCTGTGTCCATAATCACGTTGAAGGCTATTTTAAATGGCGACAACATAATGCTTATTAAGGAAAAAAGTGTTGTTTCTAATCTATAAAGAATAAAGCAACAATATGATCTGACAGTGATTTTTGTACTAAGGAACGCATTGCTAACCTGATTTGGAAGTCAAAAGTGAATTCATGCATTTATGTTCATAAGTTTTTAAAGAAAGAAAGACATCAAAAGACATGTTTTGTTGACTTCTTGCCCAATTTTTTATAATCATATCAATGCCAGTTTTTTCCGCATCATTAAAAGATATTCAATAGAAGACATATTGCTCACCTTCATTTGTTGTAAACAAAATACAAATTTTTACTTTAGGAACGGACATTCACGCATTGGATAATTCTGGTCGCAGCCCCTTGCATCTTGCCCAATCACGTTTCCGGATTTTACAGCGAGATCCAAAGTTCACTGAGGAGACTGCAACTGGCTTTAAGGAGAAAATTACCCAGGTATCAAAGTGCCAGGGCTAACTTCTGTTAGATGACATTGCATACAGTAAAAGTTCTCGTTTTGAATAATAAAAATCGATTTGTTTTCTTTACTAAGTAAAGTTGAAGTCAGAATAGTGAATGGCAGCCCTTCCAAACAAAATGCTGACCAGATCGTGAGATTAAATGTTCACATTTTGGTTATTATGTAGACACAAGTGTCAAAATGAGACCAAGGTATTAAACCACATTTAGAAAAATGAAAATCTTAGAAACGGGTTAAAGAGAAACAATCCCCTCATCCATTCCAGAACTATTATCACACTCTAAAACAATAAGATCAATTTACCTTTCATTCAATGTCAAATTGTAAAACTCAGATGAATTGAAATTGTCATTTGATTTCGAATTTTAGGTGACAGATATGATGCAGGCGTATTTAAAAGTATCAAACAAGAGTGACAATGTTGATGTTGAGCAACTTAATGGACTTTGTGAGAAACTACAACTCTCTAGCACAAAGGCTGAGGTAGACCTTGTCAATGAAATGTTAGCTGATTTCACACAACTAACAATACAGAAGAAAAAACCAGGATAGGGATTTCCCACTTATGAGTAAAATGTCTTGCGGAAAAGTATGCAATTGCATGGAATGATAAAATGGCAATTTATTCTAGAATCTATGTTGAAATGCACAAAACTGGACAGTTCGAAGGATGAGGTCAATAGTTTGATGTTGACCTACTGTTTTGAGTATTGTTATCATAGATTAAACTTTGTTTTAACAAATACGGCAACTTTTGGATAATGTTCATTTTGAAAAAAATTAATAAATGTTCAGTTACATTTTTCGAGGCTTAGTCGGAAAAATTCTAGAGACAACATGAAGATATTGACCTGATCTCATTTAAGGGTAAATTCTAGACTGGTGTCCAAACCAGATAGAACAGATAATCATAATTCCAATTGAATGCACAGTGAGACCTGAATAAAAATACATTGTTCAGATTCTAACTGAAAAGATGCAATATTTTTTTGAGAAAACAACACATGTTATAATATGTCATTCTAGTATTTCATTCAAAAAGTTACATAACACATTTATTTATTTTATATGACTAGTTTCATTTTTATTTGTAAAACATGTTTTTCTCAAAGATGTTGTAACATATTCAGGTGATTGATTTTTCAATATGTTAGTATAAGCTACAGATGTGAAGCTCTTTACATTTAGAGATTCTGATAACTTGAGAGTGTTGGGGACAAAAACGACCGAAGAAATATGTTAACAAGGCCATGTCTAACTTATATTTTTATGTCATGGACATGGCAAAATATGTAACAATAGATACAATTGTGCAAAATCAAATTAAAGAATGAAGAAAAATAAAGTAAAAAGAATTTCATATGCCGTGTTAGCATTAACAATTTAGACTTCAAACTGATGAGATTTCAAAGAGACAACAAAGGACACTTTCAGAAAATTGTCACAGTGTTACATTTTTGCTCACTACATTTTTGTGACACCTATTTTCTAAATTATGCTTCACTTTTGACGATGTTTCATAAAAATAATCAGACATCTCAAATATTTTTTCAGATATTTTTTGAAAGTAGGCACACATTGTCATTAGAGAGATTTCGCACCTAGTGAAAGCACAACTTATAACGTATACTTATACTTATAGGTAAACGTACAAGGTGTTTCATAATGTGAGCTTTTCGTCAGGAAAGATCTTCTCGGACTGTAATAAATACAGGCCAAAGGGATGCCATTTGTACTTTCTTGAATTGTATCATGTTTAGTTGATCCAAATGTGTTTGTCTAGAATAAAATAGGCTCATAAATAATACATATGTTATAGACCCATCTCTTCTCAAATTGACTTTTTGGAGATGCTCATTATGAAACACCCTGTATGTCATTTGTTGAGCTACTGAATGGGTCATTTCCAGGAATTGTTAGAACCTACTGGTTTGATTGGTGTTTCAAATTGATGGTTAAAGTATTTGATTGGATACTGTTCCCACTCAGCCAATTAATTTTAAAAAATGCTTGCGGTCAATTGTTCCACACACATGTAGGCAAATCTTTATACGGAGATCCAACTGTATACGTTATCATCTACGTAAATATAACCGTTTTGTAAGTTCATTGAATTTACAGATCATGAAAACGTTGAAATAATCAACTTGTTTATGTAATGACTCACTTTAAAGAATCATGACTCACTTTAAAGGATCGTGTTTATAATACACTACAACTAAAAGGACACGGAAGCAAGCATTTAATTATAATGTGCATAATCTACACGTGCAGATGACAGTGCATTCACAGTCTCTAGTTGATGGAGCTTTTCTATAACGGGAAAAGTTATGTTCCATTAAGTACAATTTAAAATTGATTCTAGTAAATATAATAGTTCGACATGACCCTTTAAACTATACGTATACGTATAAGTTGTACTTTCACTTATGTGCGAAATCTCTCTTCTGACATGACTTATTTACTAAAAAAGATCATTAGCATTACTTTACACTCTTTATCATTTGTTCATGATGCCAATCAACCCCACCTGCTATGGAAACACCAATCCCATTTATGGGGAGTTTTTGGCCTTGTTAGATAACTGAAAAATATTTGTCAAATAGCCAATTCTTAAATTCAAGAAGTTGAAACACCAGAAATAAGCTTTTATTGTACTTTCAGAATAACTATAGCTAGAGAGATGGGTTATACTCAAGTGTGTTTTCCAATATTCTATTGCACCAACAACATAGTTTGGCAAGGTTTTATGAGGGTCAGATTTTTGTTATGTTTTATTGGGTGGTGTAGTCCATGTTTGAGTATAACCATAGTTAATGGGGGGTGTACTGTTCAAGTTCTGGGATGCTCAGATACATTTGTAATGTTTTGGGAAGTGGTAGCATCCCCACTCCTGTTACCAAATCTCTTTCAATGTGATCCCTGATCACTACTCTGCAGATCTCTGATAGGCCATGTGGTACGGAAGCTGTGCGATGTAACCATAGCAACAGGTCAAGGTCATCCTCCATGGTTTTACAATCACCCGTCATGTCTGGTAGAAGGTCTAATATAGAGGGCGTTGTGTAACCAGCAATGATTAGCAATCTTGCTGTGTTATAAAACTGTTTAGTAAGCGCTAGATGCAACAGATCGTGTTTGTTCATTGTTTTTAAACAGTTTTGTCTTTTTGTGTTTCGAAGTAAAAACGAAATGATATTTACTCTATCGTATTGGACGGCATAGCTTAGTGGGGTTGCCCCCTCATTATCAAGGCTCCCTAGGTCTCCCCAGTGAAGCGCAAGTGTTTGCAAACAATGCAGGTGTCCCTTCATGGCTGCGTAGTGTACTGGTGTGCGCCCATCGATATTCTTGACATTTGTACTTGCACCATGTTCCAGTAACGCTTCAAGTACATTCATAGTTCCTTCACTGGCTGATAGATGAAGTGGTTTGTTGCCTTCGAAATCATTGATGCTATGCAGAGCACCATGTTCCAACATGAGGCTGACATCTAGCCCCCTGGTGGCAGCATAGTGGAGAGCAGTACGTTGTTCTGAGTTGCGTATGTTCACATCACAACCACTCTCTACCAGGAGATTTATCACCTGTAGAAAAACATGAAATTATTATATATTATGTGTAGATCTAGTACTTGATTAGGTCCATGGTTAGTAGTCATAATTGTAGGACGTTCATAATTCCACTCCAACATTGGGGAACAGACCTGTAGATGTATGATACATATGTATGACCCGACTTTGACCTCAATAAATAATATGAAAAGAACACACTTTTAAGAAAATAAAATGAAACATTTAGAAATAATCTGACAAGTGGGTATAGTAAAATTCAATTTGAACTTATGCTGCTAACTAGACTTTTTCAAGAAAAGACCGTTTGTGCCAGGGTAAGACGGCACATGTTATAGTTATAGACTCACAGTTTGTGCTTGGTAAGCGTTCTTAGCTGCAAGTATCAATGGTGTGTTCCAACCACCATCTTGCACATCAGTGTCTGCACCGTTACCTAGCAACAGCATCACCACCTCATCATATCCCCACTTGGCTGCCTGATGGAGAGCACAACCCCTATGAAATATATATATATTGCATATATCATGTCCGATGGAGAGCACAACCCCTGTAAAAGATGTATTGATTGATGTGATGAGAGCATCGTCCAACATTTCTCCCCCTGGGATGTCTCTCTAATTCGCCCACTCGGCGTTTATATTTCACATTGGCGTTTATTTGATAGCATTTTGATAAAAACCGTGGGGCTTTCGATAAGGATAAAAATTGATAACAGTACAACAAAATACTAAAATATACACTACTTGTTTCCAGAGCGTTTGTCAATGTTACATCCTGCAGAGATGAGCTGAGAACACAGTCTAACAGAGCCTATTTCTGCAGCCAGGTATAAACAGGTACTTCCCTGTGCATCAGTACAGTCAGGGCTTCCACCTGAAGAAGGCTACAGAATAAGACATTCCATTTGTACAGTCGAAGCACGGCCAAAAATTGAACTAGAAAATTTAGACCTACTGAATGAATGGTTCCAAGGCTGTTCTATCTTATGGAGTTTCAAATGAAATCCAGCCTTGGTGTCAAGGAATGATAGAATGGATTGTGAATCAATGTTACCAGGGACATTTCCCGGATTTGCGCATTAACCTGGATAATTCAAAATTGAACAAGAAAATGATCAAGGTTCAAACAAAGCAAGTAAACAAATGACACTCAGAATACATTACATTGAAAAAAGAACTGGATTCGTCTGCAAGCCTAAAACTGATGCTTTTGGAGAATGACCAAGGGATGGTATGCAAATATTGACTGCTGTGAAAAAACGAAACCAATCTTGTTATTATTAAACCCTCCCCTCTTATAGGATGATTTGAAAATGGTGACTTGCTGTTTAGCTGAACATCAACATTTTCAGTTACGAAAAATCATTATTAGTTCACCCTGCTTATCAAAATCAACTTTATTTTTTCACAACTGCTAATCAAATTTAACAACATCCCAGGGCACTACCTGAAGTGAGCAATATTTCAACGCACTCTGTGTAGCCAAGTTTTACCCCGTGTAGGAGGGCAAGGTTCAGCTCTCGTTGATGTAACCCTGTGTGGACGGTGAGCAACAATTTTAGAATTCTGTGGTTGTTTGTCCGAACGGCATCAAGGATACTGGAACAATGCGTTTAATTTGATTAAAATAATCCTGCGGACAAATGAAACAATGCTTCACTTTTAAGTGATTCCACAATTTAGTCATTGGTTATGTTGCAAGTAACTGATTTAAAATTTTCTTGATTATGTACGCTAGACTGAACAATTGTTGCATGCAGTTTGCTACATACAGTAAAACCTGTCTTAGCGAACACCCGTATCTAGTAACACGTTTTCACAGCACAATCTCCATTGGCTTCTGTATAAAATTGCCTCTCTGTATGTAGTGAACACCTACCTACAGTTTACTCGAGTGGCCATAGAATATCGTAACCTACACAGAACACATTTTTGTGGCTATACACAGGTTTGACTGGTGTTCAATATACACACGTTTAACTGTATTTCAAATCTAAATTGATTTAATCTATCGTTGCGTTAAGTTGGTGTTTAAAACCAATTTCCCCAAGAATGATTCATTAAAGGATCATATTTGTAATACTGTACGTACCTAGTCATTCGAAGTCCAACCTGTTTGGTTTCCTTCTCAATGAGTGACTACAAATTCAAAAATTGCCAATTGCATTATTTATTTTACTTGTTATAGATACGAACTTGTGAACTTTATTGCAGGCTTTAAAACATTTCTAGACGTAATAACATATCGTATATTTTACAGCAGCACTTTTCATGAGCAACTGATATATAGTCTACGTTCCGCTACGATTAGATACGAGGTACGTAAAAGACAAAATTGTAACCACGATAGATACGATTTAATGGTTTTATAATGATGTCTCCATGTAGCTCACAAATCAACAAATCAACAAAAAGAACCTTTGGATGTACACTATCGATTGGCAATGGTGAAATTATCAAAAGCTTAAATACCCCCCCCCCCCGTTCAAAACTTAAAAGTACCATGTTATTCTCGAGGTGTTAGCGTCTCTAAGAATTTTTAGTGCGCGGTGAATTGGTTTACTAGGTTTCAAAAAGCTTTCGTATTTACAACTAAAATAATGTTGGTATCAAAGTCTATTCATTGTAAAGGTGAGAGATCGTCAATCTCCAATTCAATTTTGATATATTTTAAGATCAGAGTTACAGGTTGAGACACTTAACAAAACCTTTGTAAACACAATCTCCACATTGTAAGGTCCAAAGCCTTTACTATCCCTTGGAATACACAGCATTATATAAAGTGAGAGTCTGATAAACACAATGCAATCTCAAAGAAAACTCAAAATCAACAAAATGGCTCACCATGACGCCCACCGCCCACGCCGCTGCTAAAGCAACCATGATTGCCGCTGTTGAGAAAAGCGCCACCCCAGCGTTTACGTCCATTTTCATTTCCGTCCAGTGAACCATCAACATGGAAGATATGACCATTGAGAAGCCTGCTACAGCCACTGACACCATCACGCGGACATGAATCACTGAGGCTGGTATGGCTAACACTGATGCTGCAACTGAGGCAACTACAGCCGTACAAATTGTCACACCTAAAACAACGCAAAAAGAGTTTCTTAATCCGAGAGCAAACGAATGGATAAACATTGGCAACTGGCAAAAAGCTAATTATTTTGATATTGATATTAATTAGAACTATTTCAATCTAGAAGAAAAATTCAATTGTTATTAGTAATACTGTAAACGATTTTTATCCTTATAGTGGTCTGTTTATGTCATTCAATGTTCTTACCTGAACACAGGGCTGCCAACAAAGCCACTATAAGCTCTCCAATGAAGACAAAAAGGCTTATTATCACGTGAAAAGCAGACTTAGCTGATACAATACAAAATAGTGATGCTGTTGTCATGGCAACGACTAACGATATAGCTGCAATGGATACCACGAAGACCCACACGGTTGTTATCGTTTTTTCGTAGTTCAATATCCCTCGTTCCCTCCATTTCAAAAGTGTTTCTAGGACTACAGAAGCAACTGGAGTGTAAATGTGTTTCATTTTAAGATGTTTCTATAGCAACGACACAATCCATTGAGTTTCTTTTAGAAATGATCCATGTCGACCACTTCTAAATGTCCAACATCCGCAGCCACATGACAAAATAGACATCTGAAAAATATTGGAATGTTTATTTTCCGATAGATAAGTCAAAAACTGGGACTTGAAACATGAGTACAATGCAGCCAATTAGGCCTACAGTAGAACAAATCGTCCTACATTCTAACCCGCCTCATACGACTTATACTTTGCAAAACGAGTTAACACTCGAAGTAGCGTATTGGTGGACGTGAATGAATGTAGTGAACCCTTTCAATAGAAGTATCTTTGGAGCCATGTGTCATTGAACTGTAATTGTACTTTAAGATACTTCACACGTGCCAGTGTCACGTTTGCTCTACTTCTAATTGTGACTCACAAAACCTGAGACATGTAAATAGATACGTATTTGACTTTCACATAACACATGTACTTTATGTACCCCCAAAGAAGTAAAATATCACGAAATGAAAAACAATCATCATCGTTTAAGATTTACATAAGGGTAAGTGTGTATGCCGGGAATTACGCAATCCTCATTGGACGTTATTTCCAGGAACACATACCTCATTCCATGTCGAGTGTACATCGTTCAGTTTTGTGCAAAGAATGCTCTAAGGTACTTAGAAAAAAGTGATGAGAATAGTTGTATAAAATGAGAAAAATAATTGACCTACTTATTTTGTATTCTAAAAAGTAGGTCATCGAATTTTCTGATTTTATAAACATTTTTTAAAACAATATTCTCTTCACTCTTCTCTTAGCACATATTTGCACTCTTTGTGCGCACTCTTTTTACAAAACTGAGATGTAGCCCATGTATGGAATGAGTTGCATGTATGTGTTACTGAAAATAACATGTGGCATTCCAAGCGTACACACTTACCTTAATAATGTTACGTTCATATGAACTGATTATTAGGGGGCTTAAGCTTGCATATAAAATCGAAACGCCAACCTATACGTATGACCAATCGCCCATACAAATGCATTGCTTAAATATTTCCCGTTCACGTTTAGGTGTTCATGTGCTACTTCGACATCCGCGAGTCATTTAACTGTGAGGTAATACGTGTATATTATGTTCTCCATCATAAACGTGGATAATACGAATAATTAACGAAAATATTCATTAAACCAACGTTATATTTACAAACATAACTACTTACTTACCTTCAAGGTCGAAACTGTTTGTTTATTATCCGGATGCACACAACACATAGTCAGATAGTCAGAGTATATTCCCTGTAAGACATCAGTGGAGCTATTTTTAGAGATTATCTTCGTGCTCTTCATTTTACAGTTACTGCACTGGGATGGATCATTCTGATGCTTGGTTGGCAAAGTCATATATGATTCTTCATAGTTTTGACTTTATGATAAAACCGTTTAGAACTTGAAATATAACGACTATTTTTTAATTCAATAAGGCTCCATAATAGTCTTTTGCACGGTGAATAACGTTAACGCACCGGTATAATATTACGATTCATTGCCAAAAATTGGTTTAGGTAGTTCACCCTCTCAAATAATAAGATATACAATCCAACCGATTCTTATGCTCCCCGTGAACAAGTGGAAATCTGTCCACTGTATCTTCTTTCCAGTAGATATGTGTTCCTTACATCCATTGACATGTAAGTCAATGGGAAAATGTTTGGTTCTTTTGAAAAATGTTTCTTGTTCAATAAAGAAAGGTGTCCATCAGACAGGTTTTACTGTATTGAACATATTAAGCTTGCAAATCAAAACTTGAAAATGATTCCATTGGTTAATTAGTTAATATTCGTTGTCAGTCAAGCAAGCATTCACACATTCTCTAAAATATATTGATACGCAAATATTTGAAAGATAGTATTGTTCAAATTCATCGGGTTTTGGTTTTCTAGCTTCTTCAGTTTCTACAGAAGGGCGAGATATTATCAAGTCACAATTCTAAACAGAATGATAAAATTAATTAGTCAAAAAATCATGCATTCTCTCTTGAAAGCCCATGATTGAATCGTATAAATGATATGTCATCTGAATGCAACCTTTACTTAACATCATGAAATCATAATGAATCCGTCGATAATGCAAACAGCATATCACGTTCCAAAGGTCCGATACCATAAAATTTACAATTCAAAATTATGACCAGTTTGTTAACCTTTCCATGTCTACCATTCAGTTGAAACAAAACATTGGTATCAGCATGGGATACATCGGCGTCTTGGCCGCTTTAGCGATAACAGGTTAGTCTTAACTATATCCAATTTTTGCCAGGAAATATCATTGAGACATCGTATTTGACATTATTGAAAAAAATGACAAGAATTCGTGTCCCTGTCCCCCTAGGTTACACATTATTCAAAATGTTTCTTACGCTTTTAAAAGAGGTTTGGATTCACTATTTTTGCACTTTTGCACGTTTTTGTTAAATATGAGTTCAAAGTTGGTGTTCTCTTTAAGCAGTCCATTTATTTTTGACTGGTTTTATACTTTTAATCGCTTGAAATGCTGTTCAACACGTTAGTCGATGGTGCAGGGTGACACCATCTGGTTTAAATTTTATACTTTTAATCGCTTGAAATGCTGTTCAACACGTTAGTCGATGGTGCAGGGTGACACCATCTGGTTTAAATTTTATACTTTTAATCGCTTGAAATGCTGCTCAAAACGTTAGTCGATGGTACAGGGTGACACCATCTGGTTTAAATTTTATACTTTTAATCGCTTGAAATGCTGTTCAAAACGTTAGTCGATGGTGCAGGGTGACACCGTCTGGATGGGCCAACATGGGAGTAGTAGGAAAATTGGTCCCATGAGGCCAGGCTGCTCAGGCTGTTCATCTAAAACCGGAAGTCAGCCATTTTGAAGCTTTCTAGCAGGAAGTCGGCCATTTTGAATTTGTTTGGGCAAGAGGATGACATCATAGCGGAAGTGAGGCTTTCCAGCAGGAAGTCGGCCATTTTGAATTCTGTCTGGGCAAGAGGGTGACATCATAGCGGAAGTGAGGCTTTCCAGCAGGAAGTCAGCCATTTTGAATTCTGTCTGGGCAAGAGGGTGACATCATAGCGGAAGTGAGGCATCTTTTAGTCGGTCTGAACAGGTAAATGATATCATAGAGGAAGCTCAGTCATAGTAACTGTGTCTAGGCAAGAGAATCGATAAACGAAAAGTAGCTATATTGATGACATCATACAGTCTTGTCTGAGCAGTACGATGAGACAAGCCTAAGTTCCGAGTCCAGACTGAATAACCCTAACCCTAATATAGTGATATATACAAGTTGCAAATAACCCCAACCTTGATATTATTAAGTTTTATTTAGATTACTAATCTTTATACAACATCTTTATTTCTTAATTTATATCTTTTTATAGCACAATCCAATTGATTAATCAAGAATAAACATTTTTTGCATAGGATCTCCGTATAACAATCTCCATATATTGTTAAAGAAGAATATTAGTCCAGACAAGTTGTCAGAAAGATATGTTCTACCACCAGTCAGCTGATTGTCTGAACTTGCCAACTTTTAGAATCAAACAATAATATGCGCACACACTATTTAATTTACTCCTTCGTACTTGTAAACTCAGACTGAACAATCAGCATTGACAGTGCTTTTGACCTCTATGGGTTTAATAACATGGGTTAATGGGCAATAAATGTCTCATTAACATTGATGGATGGTTTATCATGAATTTATAATCTAGCTTCAGCCCGCACTTAGGTACAATCCTAGCAATTTGATGAGAAGGTTGACAGCTGTAAGTCGTAAAAAAGGAATAATCAAACTCATAAACCCAACTTCGATTACCAAGTTCGAAACGGCCGTTAAGCAGTCCCAGTATATATAAAGACAGATTAACTTATCTGTTACAACATTAAATGCTAAATTACTAACGATGCCAATCGGAAAATTTCGAGTTCCAGCTCGTTTCAGCTTAAATTGAAGTGTGTCCAAGGTTTAACCTATTATCGATTTCCTGGCAATTTTTACATATCGATACTGTATACAATAGCCTAGTTCATAAGCATTGTAGTAATGCTTAGTTATAGCAGATACATGTAGTAGAATGAATAAAACTCAGAGGGTCAAGTCATGATTTCACTAGAATTCGTGACAGAATATAAGTATATGATTATCACTGATTAAACATATCATTGATATTAATATACTCTGATTTACAAGTAGGAATTAGACATAGGATGCATTTCAAACCTTCAGATTATTGCTCTGGTAAGTACTTTATTGATTTTAGTTTGATCAGATAAAGCTTCTCTGCACATGTGCAACAGGATGTTATGACCAGGAGATCAGCCTTGTCTGGGCATACTCTATTATCTTTTAAATTCTCTTATAAACTCTGCCTAGACACGTTAAAATAATCTTAATTCACAATTTAATATTTAAGACATATTCCATTTGCTCGCTTCAGGAAAGTGGACTCGTCCAGTACACACGGTCAGTATTGTAAATTTATATGACTTATTTTTAAGGTATCAGGCCAAAATGAAAGAGTTTAACCTGTTTCACCTTTCCAACTATTTGGACTGATCCTACATTATAAATATCTCGGAACAAAATAATAGTGTTCTTTTACAGTTGAAGTTTAACAATACCGGATCTAAGAATATAGAGAAAATAATATTTCAATAATATTTGGATATAAATATTATATACGAAGATTGGTGAAACAAAATTCATAATCAACAGACACAGAAGGAATATCATTCATTTTGGAATAAATGGTAGATATGGGGGCAAATCCAATGTTTAAAGTATAATACATAGAAATATCAACGAATAAAGTAAAATATACTATTATTATGTCAAGATAAAGTATTTACATACATTACAATCGTACTTGTGTTATTGTAAATTAATCTTTTACAGTTACAGGATCAAGATGCCTGCTGCACATACAAGTTACAAATGTCAGTATTGCGCCAAGGAATATCGCCATTTAACAACTTTATCAAGACATAGAAGGACTGAACACGCTCAGCAAAAGTCATCATATCAGTGTGAGACATGTCCTAAATCATTTACGTATAGTCATGATCTCATACGTCACAAGAAAATACACGAAAGCTCTAATTATGAATGCGGAATATGTAATAGGAAATTTAACAGAAAAGACAACTTAAAAAATCATATGGAGACACACGATGTCAATCAGTATGGAGCAGGAGTGGATACATCGTCAAAAGGTAACTTAGATACTGAACCAATTATACAAGTGCCATCTACATCATACGGTGATTCGACTCAAAACGTCAACTCAAACGAGGATGAGCCAATGGAGACAGAAACTTCAAATACGTCAGAAGATGAAATGTGTGACTTTGACGATGAAGCATTGAAGGGAACACTACTTGTTAAAAACATCAATGCGAATGGACTCTCTAGATTTGATCCTTTGCGTTTTCTAAAGGAAAAGGAGGATAAAGTTAAATCAATATTACAAAAACAAATGAAGAAGAAGGGTGGCATAAAATGGTATGCTTCCATTATGGTTCAATTTAAAAAGCAAAAGATGGAAGAGACTGAATTATCATGGCCTCATTTCAGAGGTCATTGTCAAATAGCCTTACAACGGGGAGACCTTGACGAATCCTGGAAAGATAGTGTCAAGAAAATATATGATTCTTTCATTTCCTACCAGAGGGAGGGTAGTTCATGGATATTAGACTTTGTCATTCATCTGCGTCTTCATATAGCACAGTGGAAACCTTTGAGGGGTAGTAGTTACATTCCAACACCAGTCCGATTAAGGAACAAACGAGCCATAGTGAATGTAAAAAACAAAGATAAAATGTGTTTCCTGTGGGCTATTTTATCAGCGCTTCACCCTACACAAGAGCATACATCTCGTGTCCAAAAGTATAAACAATATCAATCAAGTTTGGACATGACAGGAATAGAATATCCAGTGAAAATCGGCGACATCCCTACATTTGAGAGAAACAATAATATCTCTATTAATCTGTTTGGTTACGATGGGACAACATTTCCCATTCATATCACTCCGAACCGTTTTGACAAGCACGTGGATCTACTTTTGTTATCTAACCAGAGACGGTCTCACTATTGTTGGATAAAGGACTTAAACAGATTACTGTATGAAACAGCTCCTGGCAATAGAAAACGTCATTTTTGTCCCTACTGTCTCCATGGATTCACCAAAGCTTCTTTACTGGAGTCTCACATTGACTATTGTCAAATACACGGACCACAGAAGATAGAAATGCCATCAGAAGAAGATAAATGGCTTTATTACAACAACGTAGAGAAACAACTTAAG